CATCGTCAAGACCAAGCTGTCTGTATTGACATGGCCAGTGTTAAACATGGGGCCTAGAGCGTGAACCACTAGAGGATGGAGAGGAAACTTACTGTGACCAGGAGGTTCAGGCCCTCTAGCTCAGCATCGTCAAGACCAAGCTGTCTGTATTGACGTGGCCAGTGTTAAACATGGGGCCTAGAGAGTGAACCACTAGAGGATGGAGAGGAAACTTACTGTGACCAGGAGGTTCAGGCCCTCTAGCTCAGCATCGTCAAGACCAAGCTGTCTGTATTGATGTGGCCAGTGTTAAACATGGGGCCTAGAGCGTGAACCACTAGAGGATGGAGAGGAAACTTACTGTGACCAGGAGGTTCAGGCCCTCTAGCTCAGCCTCGTCAAGACCAAGCTGTCTGTATTGATGTGGCCGGTGTAAAACAACAAACATGGGGCCTAGAGAGTGAACCACTAGAGGATGGAGAGGAAACTTACTGTGACCAGGAGGTTCAGGCCCTCTAGCTCAGCATCGTCAAGACCAAGCTGTCTGTATTGATGTGGCCAGTGTTAAACAACAAACATGGGGCCTAGAGAGTGAACCACTAGAGGATGGAGAGGAAACTTACTGTGACCAGGAGGTTCAGGCCCTCTAGCTCAGCATCGTCAAGACCAAGCTGTCTGTATTGGCGTGGCCAGTTGTTAAACATGGGGCCTAGAGCGTGAACCACTAGAGGATGGAGAGGAAACTTACTGTGACCAGGAGGTTCAGGCCCTCTAGCTCAGCATCGCCAAGACCAAGCTGTCTGTATTGGCGTGGCCAGTGTTAAACAACAAACATGGGGCCTAGAGCGTGAACCACTAGAGGATGGAGAGGAAACTTACTGTGACCAGGAGGTTCAGCCCCCTCTAGCTCAGCCTCGTCAAGACCAAGCTGTCTGTATTGATGTGGCCAGTGTTGAACAACAACAAACATGGGGCCTAGAGCGTGAACCACTAGAGGATGGAGAGGAAACTAACTGTGACCAGGAGGTTCAGGCCCTCTAGCTCAGCCTCGTCAAGACCAAGCTGTCTGTATTGATGTGGCCAGTGTTAAACAACAAACATGGGGCCTAGAGCGTGAACCACTAGAGGATGGAGAGGAAACTTACTGTGACCAGGAGGTTCAGGCCCTCTAGCTCAGCATCGTCAAGACCAAGCTGTCTGTATTGATGTGGCCAGTGTTAAACAACAAACATGGGGCCTAGAGCGTGAACCACTAGAGGATGGAGAGGAAACTTACTGTAACCAGGAGGTTCAGGCCCTCTAGCTCAGCATCGTCAAGACCAAGCTGTCTGTATTGCTCCGAGATGTGGAACAGGGGTAAAGGGAAGGTGAAATCCTCCTGTAGGGACTGCCGGAACATCAGAACAGCACAATGGGGCACACCCTGCAACCAACATACCTGTATGAGACATGTTCACTAAACTGAAAGACAGACAACTTAACCAGATTTTACACAATTAACATGAAATAGATATCAATGATGTCATGGCTTTTAAAACACCAATATCACAGTCCAGGGATTATGAGGTTATTACACCAATCTGGGTAAGAAAGGATAAGATATATTGATAAACAATTATTATAATTAGTAGAACATTTTGCTACAGGGCCTAACACCGAGATCAAACACATGGAGAGTATGGTTGAGAGGCATAATCACAAGCATGAGGATGTGCTTTTAGATTGGTTTGGGGTGTGGTTACGATAGAGTAGAGAAGCCTGTTCTCCTATGAAGACTACTCGAGAGGGAGTGAGTATGGTTTTACGCCGCTTTTTGCAATATTCCGGCAATGTCACGGCGCGTAACACCAGAAATGGGCTTCACACATTATACCCTTGTGGGGAAGCGAACCCAGGTCTTCAGCGTGTCAAGCCAACACTCTAACCACTAGGCTACTCCACTGCCCCTGAAGACTGCTAAGCTAGGTGACATCTGCTTCTATTATTTTAGGATCATACTGATATTATATGCAAATTCAAACAATACCCATAATCCTCGTTTGGCTGTATGAGATGTAGAATATATTCTCACCTTGTGGGCATAGCACTGTCCCATCAGGTGGTGCATCCTGGATCTGTGTGACGGACATGAGGAGCTCCGGTGTAAGGCAGCCTCCAGTACAGAGATGTAGAATATATTCTCACCTTGTGAGCATAGCACTGTCCCATCAGGTGGAGCATCCTGGATCTGTGTGACGGACATGAGGAGCTCCGGTGTAAGGCAGCCTCCAGTACAGAGATGTAGAATATATTCTCACCTTGTGAGCATAGCACTGTCCCATCAGGTGGAGCATCCCGGACCTGTGTGACGGACATGAGGAGCTCCGGTGTAAGGCAGCCTCCAGTACAGAGATGTAGAATATATTCTCACCTTGTGGGCATAGCACTGTCCCATCAGGTGGTGCATCCTGGATCTGTGTGACGGACATGAGGAGCTCCGGTGTAAGGCAGCCTCCAGTAGAGATGTAGAATATATTCTCACCTTGTGAGCATAGCACTGTCCCATCAGGTGGAGCATCCTGGATCTGTGTGACGGACATGAGGAGCTCCGGTGTAAGGCAGCCTCCAGTAGAGATGTAGAATATATTCTCACCTTGTGAGCATAGCACTGTCCCATCAGGTGGAGCATCCTGGATCTGTGTGGACGGACATGAGGAGCTCCGGTGTAAGGCAGCCTCCAGTAGAGAGATGTAGAATATATTCTCACCTTGTGAGCATAGCACTGTCCCATCAGGTGGTGCATCCTGGATCTGTGTGACGGACATGAGGAGCTCCGGTGTAAGGCAGCCTCCAGTAGAGATGTAGAATATATTCTCACCTTGTGGGCATAGCACTGTCCCATCAGGTGGAGCATCCCGGATCTGTGTGACGGACATGAGGAGCTCCGGTGTAAGGCAGCCTCCAGTAGAGATGTAGAATATATTCTCACCTTGTGGGCATAGCACTGTCCCATCAGGTGGAGCATCCTGGATCTGTGTGACGGACATGAGGAGCTCCGGTGTAAGGCAGCCTCCAGTACAGAGATGTAGAATATATTCTCACCTTGTTGGCATAGCACTGTCCCATCAGGTGGAGCGCCCCGGACCTGTGTGGCCGGACATGAGGAGCTCGGTGTAAGGCAGCCTCCAGTACAGAGATGTAGAATATATTCTCACCTTGTGGGCATAGCACTGTCCCATCAGGTGGAGCGTCCTGGATCTGTGTGACGGACATGAGGAGCTCCGGTGTAAGGCAGCCTCCAGTAGAGATGTAGAATATATTCTCACCTTGTGGGCATAGCACTGTCCCATCAGGTGGAGCGTCCTGGATCTGTGTGACGGACATGAGGAGCTCCGGTGTAAGGCAGCCTCCAGTACAGAGATGTAGAATATATTCTCACCTTGTGGGCATAGCACTGTCCCATCAGGTGGAGCGTCCTGGATCTGTGTGGACGGACATGAGGAGCTCCAGGTAAAGGCAGCCTCCAGTAGAGATGTAGAATATATTCTCACCTTGTGGGCATAGCACTGTCCCATCAGGTGGAGCGTCCTGGATCTGTGTGACGGACATGAGGAGCTCCGGTGTAAGGCAGCCTCCAGTACAGAGATGTAGAATATATTCTCACCTTGTGGGCATAGCACTGTCCCATCAGGTGGGCGGCCCTGGATCTGTGTGACGGACATGAGGAGCTCCGGTGTAAGGCAGCCTCCAGTAGAGATGTAGAATATATTCTCACCTTGTGGGCATAGCACTGTCCCATCAGGTGGAGCGTCCTGGATCTGTGTGACGGACATGAGGAGCTCCGGTGTAAGGCAGCCTCCAGTAGAGATGTAGAATATATTCTCACCTTGTTGGCATAGCACTGTCCCATCAGGTGGAGCATCCCGGACCTGTGTGACGGACATGAGGAGCTCCGGTGTAAGGCAGCCTCCAGTACAGAGATGTAGAATATATTCTCACCTTGTTGGCATAGCACTGTCCCATCAGGTGGAGAGCGTCCTGGATCTGTGTGACGGACATGAGGAGCTCCGTGTAAGGCAGCCTCCAGTACAGAGATGTAGAATATATTCTCACCTTGTGGGCATAGCACTGTCCCATCAGGTGGAGCATCCCGGACCTGTGTGACGGACATGAGGAGCTCGGTGTAAGGCAGCCTCCAGTAGAGAGATGTAGAATATATTCTCACCTTGTGAGCATAGCACTGTCCCATCAGGTGGTGCATCCTGGATCTGTGTGGACGGACATGAGGAGCTCCGGTGTAAGGCAGCCTCCAGTAGAGATGTAGAATATATTCTCACCTTGTGGGCATAGCACTGTCCCATCAGGTGGAGCATCCCCGGATCTGTGTGGATCGGGACATGAGAGCTCCGTGTAAGGCAGCCTCCAGTAGAGATGTAGAATATATTCTCACCTTGTGGGCATAGCACTGTCCCATCAGGTGGAGCATCCTGGATCTGTGTGACGGACATGAGGAGCTCCGGTGTAAGGCAGCCTCCAGTACAGAGATGTAGAATATATTCTCACCTTGTGGGCATAGCACTGTCCCATCAGGTGGAGCATCCCGGACCTGTGTGGGACGGACATGAGAGGAGCTCCGGTGTAAGGCAGCCTCCAGTACAGAGATGTAGAATATATTCTCACCTTGTGGGCATAGCACTGTCCCATCAGGTGGAGCATCCTGGATCTGTGTGACGGACATGAGGAGCTCCGGTGTAAGGCAGCCTCCAGTACAGAGATGTAGAATATATTCTCACCTTGTGGGCATAGCACTGTCCCATCAGGTGGAGCATTCCAGACCTGTGTGACGGACATGAGGAGCTCCGTGTAAGGCAGCCTCCAGTACAGAGATGTAGAATATATTCTCACCTTGTGGGCATAGCACTGTCCCATCAGGTGGAGCATCCTGGATCTGTGTGAGCGGACATGAGGAGCTCCGGTGTAAGGCAGCCTCCAGTACAGAGATGTAGAATATATTCTCACCTTGTGGGCATAGCACTGTCCCATCAGGTGGAGCATCCCGGACCTGTGTGACGGACATGAGGAGCTCCGGTGTAAGGCAGCCTCCAGTACAGAGATGTAGAATATATTCTCACCTTGTGGGCATAGCACTGTCCCATCAGGTGGGCGTCCTGGATCTGTGTGGACGGACATGAGGAGCTCCGGTGTAAGGCAGCCTCCAGTAGAGATGTAGAATATATTCTCACCTTGTGGGCATAGCACTGTCCCATCAGGTGGAGCGTCCTGGATCTGTGTGGACGGACATGAGGAGCTCCGTGTAAGGCAGCCTCCAGTACAGAGATGTAGAATATATTCTCACCTTGTGGGCATAGCACTGTCCCATCAGGTGGAGCGCCCTGGATCTGTGTGGACGGACATGAGGAGCTCCGTGTAAGGCAGCCTCCAGTAGAGATGTAGAATATATTCTCACCTTGTGGGCATAGCACTGTCCCATCAGGTGGAGCGTCCTGGATCTGTGTGACGGACATGAGGAGCTCCGGTGTAAGGCAGCCTCCAGTAGAGATGTAGAATATATTCTCACCTTGTTGGCATAGCACTGTCCCATCAGGTGGAGCATCCCGGACCTGTGTGACGGACATGAGGAGCTCCGGTGTAAGGCAGCCTCCAGTACAGAGATGTAGAATATATTCTCACCTTGTTGGCATAGCACTGTCCCATCAGGTGGAGCGTCCTGGATCTGTGTGACGGACATGAGGAGCTCCGGTGTAAGGCAGCCTCCAGTACAGAGATGTAGAATATATTCTCACCTTGTGGGCATAGCACTGTCCCATCAGGTGGAGCATCCCGACCTGTGTGACGGACATGAGGAGCTCCGGTGTAAGGCAGCCTCCAGTACAGAGATGCAGAATATTCGCAGTCATCAGCCTTACCCTCCTTCAGGTAACACAGTCCTACAGAGTGGGATATACATGTGGTTAGTGGGACATCATGTGGTTAGAACTCAGCAATATTCCATCTATACAGCAGGGCTCTGTAATTAATCAAGTCTGCACCAGACAATCCAGTAATCAACAGCATGAGCATTGATCTGCACAAATGGGATACGATGACAGTGTCAACCAAGTCAGCAAGCATGACAACTGATCCCGTTAGTCGCCTCTTACGACAAGCGTGGGTTACTGAAGATCAATTCTAACCCGGATCTTAAGAGAGAGAGAAATAGCTGTTGCTGGGGGATGGTTATTTGGTTTAGTGAGTGAGTGAGAAAGCGAGCAAGCGAATATAATACTGTACTGTTGATACATATAAAGAATTAACTTTGATTAGTTAAAAATTACCAGAAGTCGTTGGGGAAAAATATCTGTCTGAAAATTAGACCTACATTGTGACTGACATATGATTCTTAGTTTGGTAACTCAATTTGTGAACATGAGAAATATTACATAAAACAAGGTGTCAAGACATCCATACAGGCCAGCCAGCTATCTGGAATCAAAACCTGCACTCATTAATGAGTAATGATATCATTGACATCTAGCTCCCTATCGGCAATTGAGGCAGTTGCTTAAAACACAATATTAATTCCTCATAATATTATAAAGCATGAGACAACTTTGTCATATGACATACAACAAAGTTATCTCATTCTTAATAATATTTGAATCAATCCTTAAATATTCAGGTGGTTTTCATTTGCAAAGTAAAGAATATTACAAAAATTATAACTCACCTATTACATATTTCACCTGAGTCCGCAGACTGTCCCCGTGTATCCCTGACAGGCACTCCCTACTCAGCCCCCAGTATGCCAGCTTGTAGTGACACAGCCCCTTGAGGAGACCCACAAGGTCCGGGGCAAACAGGGTTTCCGTGTGGCTGGCTCGCTGCCGGACTTTGTCTCCTGGCACTGACACACACAGACGGAGTCCAGCAGAATTCACTGGCATCTGGGAAAACAGGTGAGTGAGTGAGTGAGTGAGTGAGTGAGTGAGTGAGTGAGTGAGTGAGTGAGTGAGTGAGTGAGTGAGTGAGTGAGTGAGTGAGTGAGTGAGTGAGTGAGTGAGTGAGTGAGTGAGTGAGTGAGTGAGTGAGTGAGTGAGTGAGTGAGTATTTTTTTTACGCCGCACTCAGCAATATTCCAGCTATATGGCAGAGTCTGTAAAAAATCGAGTCTGGACCAGACAATCCAGTGATCAACAGCATGAGCATTGATCTGCGCAATTGGGATTGACCAAGGCAGTGAGTCTGACCACCTGATCCCATTAGTCACCTCTTACAACAGAGTGAGTGAGTGAGTGAGTGAGTGAGTGAATGAGTGAGTGAGTTTAGTTTAGTTTTACGCCTCACTCAGCAATATTCCAGCTATATGGCGGCGGTCTGTAAATAATCGAGTCTGGACCAGACAATCCAGTGATAAACAGCATGAGCACTGATCTGCACAATATGGATTGACCAAGTCAGTGAGCCTGACCACCTGATCCCATTAGTCGCCTCTTACAACAGAGTGAGTGAGTGAGTGAGTTCAGTGAGTTTCTGCCGCTTTCAGCAATATTCCAGCAATATCATGTAGGGGGAAACCAGAATGGGCTTCACACATTGTACTCATGTGGGGAATCGGACCCTGCTCTACAGCGTGACAAGCAGTCGCTTTAACAACTAGGCTACCTCACCGCCCCTATGATGAATTCAGAGAATGAACTGAGGACCATACAGAGATGTCAAGCTTCCACAGAGGCAGTTTGGTATATTTGGGATGATTGGTTCCATAATTATTGATTGTCTTTTACTCACCACAAATATGGAAATATTTTGACAATATTCCAAAAACATTCATTGTTCATGATCCAAATTCTTATCAATAGTTAGAGAAACACAGTTCAGTCACACCAGATCAATGGGATGGAAAGGAGTAGGTTGGAAAGCTAGACATGGCTACCCTCACCCGCCAGACACATCAATCTGACTCCAGCCAACCAGTCCTTGTTTCATCGCTCTCATGCCTAAAGCCAGGTAACGTGTACCATTTTTAACATGTTTAAATATGACTTGGGATTGAACCCAGACTTCTATTATCCAGACATACACTCTTTCAAATACACCAGAGGCGGTCAACAGATCTACTGAGGTTTCACTGTAGATACATTTTTAAAGTCTTAATCATTCTATCACATAACTTATTTGTCTGAGTTTATGCTATGAGCAGATTTATCATCCAAAACTGTGTTCCACAGGAGATATTGCTTGTGTGAGATCACAAGGAGATATCGTTTTGACAGTAGATTTTGTACAATGCCCTGACAATGCTATGACATCATGAACTTGATGACGTCACAGTGCTATGACATCGCTGCACTGCAAATCTAATGACAGAACCGTGTTCAGAGATGTACAGTTTTCATTGAAAACTAATGAAGAGTGATTCTGGATGATAAATAGAATCTCACCCTCGTGTCTTCTGATATCAAATATATCAACACTTGTTGATAAATGTTAAAATATCCCCGACAAGCCTCGGATATTTGTACCTTTATCAACTCGTGTTGATATAATTGATATCAGAAGACACTTGAGATTCTCTATATATTTCTATATAGTTGTGTCTGGACTAGGCAAATCAGGGACTGGAAGCATGAGCAACAATCCATCAGTGTAGTGGGGGCTAGGCGGTGGAGTAGCCTAGTGGTTAAAGCGTCCACTCGTCACACAGCATACCCAGTTTCCATTCCCCACACAGGTGCAATGTGTGACAACCCTTTCTGGTGTCCCCTTCCATGATATTGCTGGGATATTGCTTAAAGCATCATAAAACCTTACTCACTCACTCACCATCAGCATACACTGATACAGAGAAAAGGACATATTCACCCTTGGCATCCTTCCAGGACACAAGATAAACACAAGTACTACCAGCAAGACGAGGGAGAGACCAGTACCTGTGATGTATCTCCTGTTTCTGCCAGCATCTGTGTGAGAGACTCTAGGCAAGTCAAGGCTTCTTTCTCTTTCTTCACCAGCATCTGTAGACAGGACCAGGCACATCCAGCAAAACAGATGGGGGACGTGATCCCATATGCTGGAAACAACAACGTGTGAGCGCTTGAGTGTTTAAGAAAGAAAATAAAATGAAATGTCCAAAATGAGCAACTTCACTTAAGATAATCTATTGGGGTCTAACCTCTACTTAAGAATATTTTATATGATGATATATCAGTTTGTGACACCATGAGGTGAGGTGAGGTGAAATGGGGTTTAACCTCTTACTTAAGAATATTTCGCTCATATGACAACGTGCATGCATGTGTATGTGTGGCTGCTTGTACTAGCCCAGACTGAAGCTGGTTTTATAGTGCTAGCTCACTGAGATACCATGCCGCAGTGAAGCATGAATACCCACTCCGCTCAGACACAATATACTGACATTAATGCCGAGCCGACCAGTCCTTGTTTTACCATTAATGCGGCTCGTGCCAGATTTAAGCTGGTTTTATAGTGTTTGCTCACTGAGATACCATGCGCGGTTATATTTCAAGCGTCTTTTGGTATGATGTGGCGCCAGACAGGGATCGAACCAGCGAACTTCCGGAAAAGAGCACAACCACAAAGGGTCTGCTCTCGGGTGGACACTCTAACCATTACACCACGGTGGCAGTTTGTGACGTCATGAACAATGGATAATGTCATACCACATTGTTAGTGAGTGAGTGAGTGAGTGAGTTTAGTTTTATGCCACACTCAGCAATATTCCAGCTATATGGTGGCGGTCTGTAAATAATCAAGTCTGGACCAGGCAATCCAGTGATCAACAGCATGAGCATCGATCTGCGCAATTGGGAACCGATGACGTGTGTTAACCAAGCCAGCGAGCCTGACCACCCGATCCTGTCCGTCGCCTCTTACGACAAGCATGGGTTACTGAAGATAAATATTCTAACCCGGACCTTCACGGGTCTCACATTGTTAGAAACAATACAGGGTGGTGGTAAGCGTAGTGGTTAAAACATTTGCTAAATCATTCGCGTCACATCAAAGACCCAGGTTTGATTCCCCACATGGGTGAGAAGCCCTTTTCTGGTGTCCCTCACCGTGATATTGCTGGACTATTGCTAAAAGCGGTGAAAGCCATACTCACTCACTTAGAAACAATACAACAAAGTGACGTCACATCAACTGACCAGTCAGGTTAAGCTTCATTGTACTGCAAAATTATAAGTGGATCATGGCTCTCACCATGCAGAATCTGTGAGTACTGAAGAAGCTCATGTAACTGTGACATGACCGCCTGGTCTGGGGAATCAGCAGGAGTTCTGGGACATGGGATGTGCTTAACTGCTGCCAACACTGAAACATGATGCGCTAATTTCAGATGACTGATTTCGTCAAGGCTTTAATAGTTTTTACTAAACATGGTTAGATGGAATCCACCAGGATTATCTAATGGCCTACAGAAGGTCAAGGTCTACCTCTGGCAAGACTCTTGCTGAATACAGCTCCACACTGGGACATCACCGCCTGGCCGTCATCGCCGCCGCCGCAGTGTGTGTGAAGTAGCAGATTGAGGTAAACACTGTTGTAGACTATAGTCATCTCAGTCTCCATGTTCAACATCTCGGGTGGAAAACCTGCAGATGAACGACACCAACTGTGAAAACAGTTAATGAAAAGTCATTACATCTGCACTTAAACACCAGAGATAATACAGGGCTTTAAGTGAACCAGTGTATTTGTCAATCTTCTGAGGTATATTCAGGAAGGAGGAAAACCTGGGAACACAATTTCATATGGAAACTTATTAACGGCTTATCTAATTCCACATCCTGTGACAGTTACCATGACCATCAGCCCCCTTGACACATGGAGTTGCCTCCCCTTCCACCTGATCTGCATGCACATCTAATAGCCCTGAGAACATGTGAAATGGGGAAACGAGATTTTTTGTCAAAATCAGAATTTGGGAAGTATTCGTTTTCTCAAAACAAGGATGTATTTTGACATTGCATTCCATATATGCAATAAACCTTTTTTCTTACAATTGGTGCTAGCTTTTCAGTGAAAATGTCCTTTTTGCTAGCTACAACATAGGTGATTATTACAATAAAGTAAACTGGGAAACTATTACGTTTGCTGAATACCAGCTGGTTAGAATGTCAGATAAATCCCTGTTATTTCAAACATGATAATAAATTCCATAAATACTAACTCTGTATTTGTATGAGGTACTTTTCCAGCTCGTTGAGAGAGGTCCTCAAAGTTTTCACAGCATCCACCGGGGAGCATGACAGTGTCTGAATCAATGTAAACAAATGTCATATTGAACATTGACAGTGTTGAGCAATATCATGCCAATGTAGCAGGGTGTGGTGTAACGATTCATCGATAGTATCGATGTTTACATCGTCAACTACGTGATACATGAGTGCATCGATACAAAACACATTTAGGCAATATATCAGGATGTTTATATCGCGAGTGTCCATGATACATCGATGTATCTCCACAAGAGACGATATATATCCCGACACAACTTAAATACTACTTAAAGGTGTAAGGAGTATTGCATTAGGAATAGGAAAGGAGACTCTTTGAAATTCTTCTGAATTTAAAAACAAATTGAACCTTAAAGGAATTTGTGTCTGTTATCTTTGTTATGAGAACAAAGGAGTTGGTGTATAAGTCAAAGAGTGTGAACATTTTGCAAACTCTGTGAACTGTAGAATACTTGTGTTCAAGTAATTGAAATATGCAGATATGTTTTAGTTGTTTGACAAATAACACCATTTATTAACAACTATGAACAATGTCTTAGCTGTGTTAAGGAAGAGAACAAAAGAAGATAAAATTTAGAAAGCAGTTTTTCAGTGATTCTGAATTCTGATATAAATTACAGTGAGTTGTTTGTGAAAGCATTGGTGTAGAAACACAACTTCCCAAGGGAAACTTCAGTTTCAGATTTATATATTAGATCAAGGTATACTGAATATGTGTGACTGTACTTTCTTAAGCATTAAATGCTGAATCTTTATTAGATGTACAGCATTTTAAGTGTGTGTGAATGTAACACAAGTTCTGATGCATAACAAATAAAGTTTCAGTCATTTTATCTGCCATATCTGTTCTGTTACTAGAAACTGCAAAGTATCGGGATACGTATCATATCGCCACCATTGTATCGTGATGATAATCGTCTCGCAGGTTCCTTGCCAATACTTTCATGATATATCATCTCGCCTCATTAAACTGGTATCGGGATATATCATCTCGCCACTTAGGCCACAATACACAGGTCTAGTAGCAGGGCGTGGAGTCATCCCACAGATGATATCCTTTTCTTGTCAGCTTGCTGACAGGGTTAACCTCTTTCGTCACGAGGGCAAGGTATCTGATTTTATATCAGGTCCATAGTTTGAATCCTTTCACAGTACTCAGAAATTTTACATATTGGTGCCCAATATTGAGCTGAGTTTGCTCATATATAATTTAGTAAAATAAGTCTCAGTAACACACATGGCCTGGGACGTGCCTTGTTGACAAGAGAGCATGTAGCTATTCTGAGCTCATCTTAACAGATACTGTTGGAAGGTCTCTGAATTTTTCAGGCATTAACCCGATATTGGATTATAGTATTTGTTCCTGTTGAGCTAAAAGAAACTTACTCTGGAATTTTAAAATATTTTTGGAAAGCATTCCTCTTAGTTTAACCCGGATGTATTACCATGAGAAGCTTGCAGACAGCCTTGTTAGACTGTACTTGTACTTGTGTTGGCTGGAACTTGCCATCTTCACATCCCTCCAGATACTCAACACATTTCCTGTATCTCCCACACAGAAAGTCATCCAGTAGATCCACCATTTTGGTTAGGACTGAAACATCAACTTCACTGTGGCAAGGGAGCATCAGTGGAAGCACATCTGGAATTCTGTACAACAATTTCTGTTTGGACTAACATCTTATACAGTTGCAAATGGGTATGAAACAACTTTTGAAAGAAAACAAAGGATGTTGAAAATAAAGAATGAAAGTGGTTAAGCAGAGACCATATAATAGATTACATGGTCTCTGGGTTAAGATATAAAGCACATCCTCAAGAACTGTTCAAGTACCCATGTTAACTACAAACTAGTAAAAACATAGCCAAATTTGTTTGTGATATATCTATTCAGCTGAAGAGGTATATATCTCAAACAAATTGGCAGTCCTTGCAAGTTCAAGTCATGCAAAAACCTACATAGTGAATCTGCTAACTCATTGTATGATGTATCTAGATGTATATTAAGAGCCACAGCATACACACTAGGTTCATATTACAAGTGACAAAACGTGCCTGTTTGGTTATAATGGCTAATATGTCCAGTAAACCAGACAGTAGTCAAAACTGACCACAGAAATACCAATCAAATTAAAAAGAAAGGCCAAATATTTAGTCATAAACAAAATATACACTAAGGTGGTACAAAACAAAATCATGCGGAAAGACTTCCGCCCGTATCCCCCTTAAATTTCATTCTAGTTAAATCATATCACCTAAATATATATTCCTCATCTGATAAGGATGAGTTTAAGATATTTCTTTCATTGTATCTGAACATACTGAAAGACATATCCAACTTCTAAAAATGCAACTCAAAGAAATATTTCCTCATCGTTATAATTAAGGGGGGATACGGGCGAAAGTCTTACCAATTATGCTCATTAAAGATAGTAAAATAAATAGATTTACGTATGTTAAAACGATCGATCACAGACGGAAGATCATCTGATCAGTGTCTTTTTTGAAACCATTCTTTTCAATGAAATTCTTCTATGGACAAATGTCATACAATGAATGATACAATAAATGAACGATGGTATTACTTTGTAAAAGGTGCCTATTGCATTGTCACCTGACAGCTACGATTTGTTGGACAAAAAATAAAAACTCTCCATCACAACGTTCAAAACATAAACTTTTGCCGCCATGATGAACTTCGCCATGCCGCTTAATGCACTCAAAATGACAAATTCCGTTAGGCATATATCACGTTATATACAACCTTTAACGCTACTAATACGGGGTTATTAAGGTACACTACAGGCTCATCAAACGTAAACTAGAAACATAAATATATGTATATTGCAAGTGCTTAAGGGGCAATTGAAGTGCTACTAATGCAAAACATTCTGTGTTGAACATCGAATCTAAACGTATAACAGTTTTATAATTTTAATGAGCAAATACAGTAACTTATAAATAATTTATTAATAAATTAGGTTTAATATATGTATTTTTAAACAATACATGTAGCAGAAATGTAAGACTAAATTTATTGTTTAGTAGTAATAAAATATGTGGATGTTGGGAAATATTACAATCAACGGGAGACAACTGCCTTTGTAATTCCAGCGGGAAGTTTGCATGGAATTGGTTGTGACGAGATTGGCGAAACTTCTCGAAGTACTCGGAGACCAATAAACATGACAAGCGCAAGAGAAAAGCATAAAATTACCAACACACTTGTGTGTCTGTTAAAAGCCATGGAAGGTGTGAGGACGACTGTTGAATTAAGGAATGAAAATTCGGTGCATGGCAAAATCTTGATGGTTAGCGGACAGATGCACTTGACTATGGAAAATGTCATTTTCACACCCGTCAAAGGACCTGAGCAAAGGTTCAGTGATTTCTTTGTTCAGGGTCACAATATCCGCTTTGTTCATATACCTGATCATATAGATATCAGAAAAGCGATGGAGAAAATGCTTCTTACACGACAGTCAGTGTTTTCTAATATATCGAAAGCAAAGGAACAGCGCCAAAAGCTGAAGGAAAAGATTGCTCAGAAGAATGAGATTCAGAGACAGAAACGGGAAGAAAGAGCTGCGAGGGAAACTCATCAATCTATTCAGACTGTAACCAGTAAAAGACCTGATGTGTAACCATTCAGAGTGTTCAGGAAATATACAACTGATTTCAAGGCATTTTGCAATCATGATGTTTAGAAACTATGTTCAGTCCTTGTCTATAACCAGTGCTATAAATGATATGGAGCTGTGAAATGGAAATTCAGTAACGTCTACTGCATTCTCATGTCAGGCATTGTTGAGTTTTTATTAAAAAATATTGTTTGTTCTAAGGTGTTCAATGTCATTAGTCTCTTAGTTAATATGCAATGGTTGTGCTGTGATATTGAGTGTTATTTGTAGAAAGTTGGATCTTTGGATCATATAATCATGATAATAGAGTGCAGGCTAAATCAGTACCTCAGTTAACCATCACTGATTTTGTTCATAAAATCAATCAAAACTAAGACCTAAGAATTATGTGAACAATTTGTTTTATGGTATATGACCAGATAGCACAGCAACGTTAAGCTGATAAGACCTGCTTTGGTCTAACATGTAAATAATATACATCGTCCCAACATTGGTCAAAGCAGTCCAGACCCTCTTTTGGCCAAACAAAAAAAGTGTTGTGGTTCTGACAACACCTCTTTAAAATTTAGGCTAGATAGGTAGGATTTTTTTTCACCTATTTTTTTAGAAATAAAGTACTAACTAATAACACATTTATCAATGTATAATTGTTTATTCAATCAAGCTTGCAGCCATCATGTCAACTTTCTCTATCAGAATGACAGATGTGCGTCGGTGCCAGAAGAAAAACAATGGGATCTGAAAGCTTATTTTATTCATAGCTTAAAAAAATAGGGTCGGCACCAGAATTCAAGGGTCAGTCGGGTAATCGGAACCACAACATTTTTTTTAGGCCTTGGCTAATCCACCCCGATTCCTTTTTGCCTTGAAGCACTGACATGGATGTTATGGTTGTCATAGGCTGATCAGTAATGGCCATGTAAAGAAACCATTTGCCTTTTGGCTACACAGAAGATAAGTGGTAAATCAGTGTTTCACCTAGCTGGTAATTGGTCATATTCCTCTTTGCAATACAGTGCAGCCAACATGGGGAGGTTGCTGCTAATCCTTTGAATAACAGTATTTGCTGTCACAGTAACTTATGCTTGTCAATCAATCAATTCTTTATTTCAGTACTGAGGGAGGACAGGCCTATGGTACATTTCATATATACAATTTTCTAATCAACATGGCTTGATAAATGAAAATCGCAACATTTTTAATTACAGATTCATTTGAAGAATTTAATAGAGAGGAAAATTTATAGATGGATGGACAAAATAGAGTTCTTTAATATATTTTTTACGTATAGTATTATATGCTGGGCATAGTAGAAGAAAATTATATTTGTCTTCTATAACAGTATTATTACAACATCTACAGATTCTATCTTTTCATTTGATATTCATAAACCTACCTTTTTCAATTAATAAATCATGTGATGAACAATGGAAACGAGCTAAAGCTATTCTATATTTCTTAACGTTAACACATGATAAATAACGTTCAGTATAAATGTGTGTTTTAAAGATTGAGTAATAATCAAATTTTGTAGCTACTGAAATTGTTCCCAACCATTTTTGCTGGTAAATATCTTTTAATCTTTGCGTGAATGTATTTAGAAACAATGACGAACATGCTTGTCGTAAGAGGTGACTAAGACTAACGGGATAGGGTGGTTAGGCTCATTGACTTGGTTGACACATGTCATCGGTTCCCAATTGCGCAGATTGATGCTCATGCTGTTGATCACTGGATTGTCTGGTCCAGACTTGATTATTTATAGACCGCCACCATATAGCTTGATTATTGCTGAGTGAGTGAGTTTAGTTTTACGTTGCACTCGGCAATATTCCAGCTATATGGCGGCGGTCTGTAAATAATCGAGTCTGGACTAGACAATCCACTTGTCAACAGCATCAGCATCGATCTGCAGCAATTGGGAACTGATGACATGTCAAATCCTGTTAGTTGACCGACCTGATCCACCTAGTCTCTTCTATGATAAGCATGGGTTACTGAGTGAAGGCTCATTCTAACCCAGACCTCCCAGGTCAGAATATTGCTGAATGCAGCGTAAAACTAAACTCACTCACTCACAGTAATAGGATGTGGAGTCTTCCAACTGATGACCTCTTTACCGTCGCAGGGACCCGTGAAGATGTGGGTTAGAATTGGTCTTCAACAACCTATGCTTGTCGTAAGAAGCGACTAACTGGATCGGGTGGTCAGGCTCGTTGACTTGGCTGACTGGGGATTAGGAAACTGCAGTAGGATATTTCAGTGGAATATCACTATAATATCAGCTATTTCCTGACCGATGTGAGAAGAAACAGTCACACACACAAGCCGAAAATTATCCCCGCAACGTGTTTTGCCGTGTCTGTGTGTGTGTGTTAAAATGTGCTCCGTCTGTGCACTTTCAACTTTTCCGGACCAGAACTTCTAAACCATTCACTATTTCTTCACCAGACTTTCCACATAGATAGGTCTGGTGGTGAACTAGTGCCTTTTGGTAGTTTTGGAATTCTGTATAAAAATAGTTTTTTGTTTCCATGGCAACAAGTTTGACTTTGACTGAAATTGGTGGTTGTGCTCTTTTCTGGAGCAGAACTTTAAAACCGTTCACTATTTCTTCACCAAACTTGACACATAGATTGGTCTGGTGGTGAACTGGTGCCTTTTGGTAGTTTTGGAATTCTGAATAATATAATTTTTTTGTTTCCATGGCAACAAGTTTGACTTTGACTGAAATTGGTGGTTGTGCTCTTTTCTGAAGGAGAACTTTAAAACCGGTTACTATTTCTTCACCAGACTTTCCACATAGCTAGTTCTGGTGGTGAACTGGTGCCTTTTGGTAGTTTTTGGATTCTTGATAAAATATGTTAGGGAAATTGTTCCTCGTTCCTTTGTGGTTCTATATAAAACCTTCAAGTGGTTAATGGGAGGATTCTCAAATATTTATCACAATTAAACTTGTTAATCAAGTCATAAGACACTACCACCAGGCCAATTGTATATTTCAAAGCATGACCTATTCTGGCGCTAGAACAGTGTTCGAAATAATCAACGGCCTGGAGGCCCAGCTACCAGGTAATTTATTGTATGACCTATTCGGGCACTAGGCAGTTTCAAATATTGCAGGCCCTTGTGTGTATTGGGCGGCAGTCAGGGAATTGTCTCTCTCTTTTTTTTCAACTGGAATCTTTCCCATATATTTTTTTTCTTTATTAACGTTAGGAATCATCCGTGACCCATCATGTTACAATAACTTACAGTTTCACTTCTTGGTATTTCAGTGCTTTACACATAGGAATGTCAACAAAAAACTTCTGTCTGCGTCATGGCTTCACTAATCGATTTTGTAGAAACAGTGAGAAACTGTACAGTGTTGTCTATTTTGGTTTGACTTTAACAAAGTGGGCCTGCAGATTTTAAAGCCTGCAGGCGGCAGCAGGCCCTGATGGCCAACTGGCAAATTAAAGTATTGCAAACACTGCGCTAGACATTTTCAAATTGTTGCAGGACCATCTCTCCTATCAGCCAGTAGGGAGAAGTCAAAACTTCACTGACCATTAGCTCTCTTGGAGCCTTGTCAACACAAATAACAAAGCTCTGTTGATGAAAATGCTGATTTTATTGCTGCTTTTAAAAACATTAACATACATATTAACGTTCATAATAATGCTTCTTGAAATAACAGTCTTGTGAGATTAACTTTTCAAGTAAGAACAAATATGTTTGAAGAATTTTGTTACACAGAACATAAAACCCCAGATCTACACATCCTTGAGGACACATACTGGCCAGTTGTCTTAGGCACTACAGTTTGCAATGCAACATTTGGCATGCCATTATCCTGTGTTTGAGGGTTCAAACCCAAAATGTGACTGTTTGCAATGCTTGGTTTCTTAGCACCAACTCCTGGATGTCAGTTTCACCACAGTAGTGGATGTCTGAGATAAGTATCACCTTAGACTGTTTGGCCTCATCAACCGAAATACTGTTAAGAGTAGAGTTAAACCAAACACTCACTCCACAGATTATGTTAACATGTTATATGTAATACATATGGCAACACAATCTTAACATCCATATTTCCATAATGAAAATTAACCTATATAACAAAAATATTAATAATCTTTAACACTAGTTCCTGTTCACCTGGCTCAAAATACAAATCATTCAAGAAATCATTTGTTCGACAATTGTCTCTGAAGACCAACATAAACATCCAACTATCACTTGTCCACTATCACTATGCTGTGTATACCTGAAAGTTTTGTTCACGGAGGAGCAATACCCCAAACACCAAAACCAAGTGGAGTTGTAATTGACTAATTGTCAGTAAAATTGGCACATTGAATATTATTAACATGAAGTAAAATTTGAACCTGTTAAAAACTTCGAAGAAAAGGGTTTGTGAGACATATTATTAGATACCATATTTATCTTCCCTCCAACAATCTGACACCAAGCCAAATGATCCCCCGAAGTGAAACAACTGACCCACCACTTACCACATACATGAACACCTGGTGTCATGAGTTTACAATGATCTCAGCTGAGGTTAGTCAATTTGTAGAATCCATTGCCTTTGGATAAACATTTATTAAGAAGTTGACTGGACAGAGATAAACGTCAACAACACATGACATCAATAAATATGGGTGACCAGCACCTGGGGAACTTTAATAACACATGTACACATGATCTATCTAATACTACACTGTTTGTCTTACTGGAGTATATAGTTTATAAATATATAAATACATTGTATTATTCAGCTGTGGAAATGTTATGTAAATTACTATAAAATGACATTATCCTAAATTTTCTGTATGTGTGCCCAATTAATTTGGCATTTTAAAGACTTATTCAATCTTACATATTGCATTTCTGCCAACTGATTTGTATGAACTCATTTGTATAATGTAGAAACAGGGGCCAACCATTTGATATTTTGTTAGTCTCAATGTGTGTGGGATGAATCAAAAAGTATCCACCAACCCTGAAAATCAAATGGCTGCTGCCTTAGTTACGGTGTAAAGAATATAAACAATGGTTGTCCTGATCTACATTGACTGGATCCTATTGCCAATACCTACTACAAACTATCTCTGTCAAAGCTTATCACAGTTCTTTATGACTCCGGCACAGCTATGGCAACTTGTGAGATGACTGACCTTATAAGGATATGTTGATAGAGGATACTAAACGACCTTCCGTGTAATACCATATTTATTAAACGAGTTAATGATTTGGTATCCAACGAGCGAAAGCAAGTTTGATACTAAATCATTCATGAGTTTAATAAAAATGGTATTTCATGGAAGCGAGTTTAGTATTGTTTATTACTCTCAAACATAAATTGATAGAAACTCTAGAGTGTGATGACTTGAGTCATCTTTCCTCGAGTCAAGTAAGGTCTAATGCCATTGTGACAGAGGTATTAGCATTGTGAAGTCATAACAGTAACCATTATGACGTCATACGTTTAGCAGTATTACACTAGTGTAATATAGCAGTATTACACTAGTGTAATACTGCCGTAAAATTATGAAACTGCAGTATCTTACACGGGCGAGTAATAAACACATATATTATAAGCGTAAACAAAGTTGAAATAAGACACTGATACAGTGAAACCCTGTAATCTGTACTGTTATTGTTCCCCTGGAATTTGTCTATATCAGACTGATTAATATGGACATTACTCTATCATAAAGTAGAGCCTGTCTAATCCAAACTTCCAAATCTGGACTGTAATTGTGTGACATGATTGTGTGTAAGGTGTAACTTTTCACACATCCTACTTGCATGTCCGGTATAACATTCTCAGCATCAGACAATGTGCAAAGTGTAGACTGATGTCCTCGGTTCAGCAGTCAAACATTCACTGCCTACTGGGGGATATATACAGAACACAGAGTATTACTTAGTATAGTAACTGCTCTTATAGTACATGTAGTATGGTGGGCGAAATGTCTAAGGGGCAGTGCTAGAAAGCGAAAGGTGCTTGGATCGATCCCCACTGTGACTGGGTGTAAAAACCAAGGAGCTAACATCACTTGCAGGCTCGTACAGACACCTAGTTACGGGTATAGTAACGTGCAGTATCATTGGACAAAATACTGTGACTATGTGTCCCCCCAGCTGCAAATGGGTACCTTGTGAGGATGAAGCTGTGTGATAACTCGCTGCGCCTAACAGGCTGCGTGAGTTGAATACTCCCCAGGGAGTTGAGCTGGTTAAAAAAGAACTCCAGAAAAAAGACATCCATTAATCAAGGGAACACTTCAGTGCCTTGAGCAAGTCCTAGTTGCGTGGATATGTGTGCTATATAAATACCCTATAATAGTAACCACTGAACGACTGCGCTGATACTTGAATGAGAAGTCAAGCCAATCCTCAACGGTGATGGCAAAGTGTTGGTGTAAAGTGTCCATCTGCTCTAGGGCCATATTGATAAACATTCTCTGAATTAAAAGTTACTCCTTCAACTCCATGGGATTATTCTTGGTCTTACACAGGTTCAGACAGATTCTCTTGTAAATGCACGGTCTATGACAATAGCAACAGTAATTGTCCATAAGGGGTGTCCAGACTTACAAGGTTTCATTGTACATTAAAAAACATTTTTATGATAAAAATTCAAAAACAATTTAAAAATAAGGTACAGACATATTGTGACATACAGAGAACATAAAATAACTTTCAGGTTGAGCATAAGTATAAAAAGTGTAAAAATATATGTTGCTTGTCATAAAAGTCTTTTAACATTTCATGTTTTCTTTGTTGTGGATTAATCACATGGTATGAAGCCATTTGTGATTGTCCATTAGAAGTTTTCCTTGTTATAGAAGAATCTTGTTCCACTGTTGTCAGAAGATGAGTATTTATTGCAGAGCTTGTGAAGCTGTGTGGATAACTCCTTCGGCCCGCAGAAGAACACACCCACGCTCACTCTGCAGTGAAGGGAAAACATGGTGAGCATTAACAAATATCACAAGACACTTAATTAGTTTTCATTATCGACTTACCAGAGTCACAATCAGAAAACAAAACAAATAGTTCATATTTGCCCAACCACTATTATTGATAGATTATTATGGAAAACAATCACAAAATGTAACAACTTTTCAATTAATATCAAATATCTTCTATAAATATGATGATGATAATTTGGAGATTGTACATGCACTTCTGACATGAGGCATATTTCGCACACTGCCAATTCAATGTATATTTTTTTATCACTAAAATACCTGACATTGTAATAAGAGAACAACTCTTAACAGATTAAGCATTACTTTTTTTCTCACAAAACTGACCCAAACAACTTTATAAAAATAATATAAAGAGATATTGAGCTAAACAGTATAAAACTGGTAAAGATAGGATGGATATGTAAAATACAGCTAGTAGCAAGACTTACGTCTGAATCATACATTTGTCACTGTCATAAGATACTGTACTGTATATCGCCATTATAATATTACCCTGCATATAGTGTTGTAAAAGCAGGTCTAAAAGACCCCAGAAGGTAGCGAGTTTTACATACCCCTGGTGCTGCTGTGCTAGGGTGGTAAACACTCGGTCCCACTGGGGGCGGCCATAATGGGTCTTCTGATTCAGTCCGGTCACAGGGTCAAGGGCGTTGTTGTCATCATGGATCATGATGTTCTGGGCCTGGAGATATAACATTAATAACACCCTGATGTTATCTTGGCCTGGAGATATAACATTAATAACACCCTGATGTTATCTTGGCCTGGAGATATAACATTAATAACACCCTGCGTTATCTTGGCCTGGAGATATAACATTAATAACATTATCTTGGCCTGGAGATATAACATTAATTGATGTTATCTTGGCCTGGAGATATAACATTAATAACACCCTGACGTTATCTTGGCCTGGAGATATAACATTAATAACACCCTGATGTTATCTTGGCTTCTTAATAGTGAATCAGAGAACTCAACCTCACTTATATAGTTTTCCTTTTCATTTTGGGAGAATCATGATCAGTAGAAACTTGAAGTTGAGGTAAAACAGGATTTATCACAGGATTCAATATTATTTCAGTCATATAGCATGAGACTTCTGTACTAGTTTGGACTTGTGTAGATTGCGGACTTGGTAAGTTACCATTCCTCAGTTTAACATACAGTACCTCACTCACGGTATACTGACACCATGCCAACCAGTCCATGTTTCTTAATACTAAGCACAAGGCAGGGTAACAACAAGTACCTGCCACCTTCCTGTTCAACGGAGTGAAGGAACAGGGGAGTTAAATTTAAATATGCTTTCATTTACCCGTTACATGCAGAAGTGTTTCTGTAGAATAAGCGTTACGAAAATTCTAACAATAACGACGGCAGATAAGAAAAATAATCCCCAACAGTTTAACAGTAAAATTATGCAAGATGATATTTGTGTTTAATTTCTGCTTATTCTTGTTCCTTCACTCCATTGACCGGAAGCTGGCAGGGTAATGGAGACTAAGAACGATTTGACATGCCACAAGTTGTGCTTAAACTGTTGAATTAAATATATTGTATGTGAGTAATTATTAAATATGAGGTTTGAAATCTGAGAGCACAACTCTGTGAGGAAACTGGTGTCTACCTTTGATGATGACTTTTTTATTTTGATATTAACAATATTTTATGAACCAGGCGAGGGAAGCACATTGCCAACCTATGCTCAAGCTTCTCTGCATATGGGAAGACTGGTAATTTTTCTCTTTGTTGCACAACCCTATTTGCGCTACAATTTGCCTGTGGTTCAGGGGACAGAATCGCCAACCTCACTCTCTGGGCACATTCTCTAATCATTAGACCGCAGAGGTGGTAATAAACTCGTAATCCACAGAACAGAATTACAAGTTACAGCAGACTTGACAGGGACTGGGGTTTTATTGTCCTTACATGAGACACCTAGTCAAAGGGCTTAAGAGGGATGGTGACACACACAGGTAAGACTGATATCAGGTTCTGACCAGAAACTCTGTACCAGTATATGAAAGTGGTTTTGTGCTGCAATCATAAAGCACTACCACTATCACTACTGCACATTGTACCGATAATGGAAATCAAATGTGTGTTACATGCGATGAGTCAATGCCCTATTGCCACCCACCTGGTTCGAGTCCCAGCCTCTGGTCAGGTAGATGTTGTGAGACAGGAAGCTGGCGTTGCCACGTTCGTACGTCTGCTGCTCCAGAGATTTGAGGAGATCCTGAAACCACTCAAAGGCGTGAGTGTCCGGACACACCCAGAAGAAGTGCACCTTCTTCAGGGACATCTCGGTGTTGACATCACAGTACTTGTACCTGGATCCAAACAAACCATACACAGAGTTTGAAATGATATTCTTGAGTGAAGAGGACAGTATTTCAGTTATATCACGGCATGTCAGCTAAATGTTGAAACCTGTGAAGATCCGGGTTAGAATTGGTCTTCAGAAACCCATGCTTGTCATAAGAGGTGACTAATGCGGATCGATGGTGGTCATTGTCTGGGCTACAGCTGACTTGGTTGACAGCTCATAGTATCCCAGCTGCATAGATCGATGCTCAAGCTGTTGATCACTGAATTGTCTGGTCCAGACTGGATTATTTACAGACCATCGCTGTATAGCTGGAATATTGCTGAGTGCGGCAACACACGTAAAACAACAAACAGCTTGATGTTGAAGGCCAAAGTGATGCATGTCTCAAATGTTTACCACTTTGGTGAGACTGACCAGCACTCACAGAGTCGGGAAAAACTAGCATTCAAACCCACAATAATCAGTTCCTGGTGTGTACAAGGGAAGCAACTCTGCACAGAACATTTTGGCATCTGTGTTGACTGGGCCAACCATGCTGACAGGACCAATCCTTAATTGATTTTAACAACAAGAACAGAACAGTGATGAGTTATTTGCCTGTGAGGTCAGTTGAAACAAGTGACAGTACCATATATTCTTCAAAACAGCTGCAAATGGAGTAACTCCGATCCCTGCTCCAATCAGTACTGCCACCTGGTAGCGGAAAAAGTCCTGAAAAGAATCAACACATATGGGTGCCGTTTTTCAAAGTGGCCTCAGCGTATGGTGATCGTAAACTCCAATACCTTAACATAGACTTAATACTTTGTACAATGGCACTCTGGACTTTAAATGTGCATCAAATGGTTGAGAGTCTACTAAAAATTTATCAACAAAAATATATAAAAGCTTTGTTTATTCTGACTTCTGCTTCTTGACTTATTGGTTATCTTGTAGTTGTTTAAAGAGCAGCACTGTCAAATAAAAACTGAAATCTAACCAATAATACACAATCATATAACCATAACATTATATTTATGAAAATAATACTGATCACCCTGAGAAAATATGCAGTCAAATAACATTAATATTGGCAGGCAAACTTGAACCAAGGGGAAAAGGGATATAGAGATGCATTTAAGATTACTGCACTCATAAAGCAACATACAAACGTGTGTGACTGTTTGTACCAGTCCAGACTTATGACCAGTATCCCACCGAGACACCATGTCACAGGAGAACATGGATACCCGACTTTGACATATTTTCGGACTCTGGGTTAACAAGTCCTCGTTTTGTACTTATAATACCATACGCCAGGAAAACAAGTATCATCATTTAATGTGTTTGTGTATGATGTGTTGCCACCTGATCGACCCGACCACTGGTCTTCTGCTCTCTCACAGATGCTCTATCCATTCCACCATGAATACAAAGTGCAGAAGCATGTGTGAGCCAGTTAATGCTGTTATATACATTATTTCAGATCCATCACAGCTTGCTGTGGCAGGAAAACCAAACTGACAAAGTTTATGACTGAAACCCACAAACACAGGTATGAAACTAACAAATCTTTCATTTGACCCCAAACCAGTGTATTCTGGGTCAGCAAAGGGAGACAACACCTCACAGAGGCAACCTGTGCCCTGATAATAGTTACCGATACACTGTAGGATTTTGTTGAGAGCTCAAGTCTTACCTCAGTGGCGGTACCAAAGGGGCCATCGACAGCTAATCTGGTGGAAAAAGGAAGAAATATTAGAATCATCTAAGCAAATAATTCATGTGTTCATAGATTTTCTATTTCCTATTGCCCAAGACTTGCTGACTTTTTGCCTTGTCCAACATTTCCAGCTGATCCAGTCATACCTTTCTTGTTCAGCTGTCAAATTCTAATTTCCCTAAGCTGCCATTTTGTTTGAGAATGAAGCAAGCTTAGCCAGTGATTGGTGAGATTAGCTGAAAGTTAGTACTCCGTTTTACGGTGAATTGCTGTAAATAGCTTGCAAGCATTTGGCTGTTTGGAGCACAGCCTACGAGTGAACATATCTGGGCATCTTCCACAATCTACAAGACACACAACCTGGGCATCTTCAGCCTACCTGGGAATCTTCCACAAGACACAGGATCAGACACCCTGAGTCAGCAATCTACCTGGGCATCTTCCACAATCTACAAGACACCCTGAGTCCAGCCCTACCTGGGCATCTTCCACAATCTACAAGACACCCTGAGTCAGCCTACCTGGGACATCTTCCACAATCTACAAGACACCCTGAGTCAGCCTACCTACCTGGCATCTTCCCACAATCTACAAGACACCCTTGAGTACCAGCCTACCTTGGCATCTTCCACAATCTACAAGACACCTGGGCCCTGAGTCAGCCTGAATCACCTACCTGGGCATCTTCCTCAATCTACAAGACACTACAAGGAGTCAGCCTACCTGGGCATCTTCCACAATCTACAAGACACACTGAATCAGCCTACCTGGGCATCTTCCACAATCTACAAGACACACTGAATCAGCCTACCTGGGCATCTTCCACAATCTACAAGACACACTGAATCAGCCTACCTGGGCATCTTCCACAATCTACAAGACACACTGAATCAGCCTACCTGGGCATCTTCCACAATCTACAAGACACACTGAATCAGCCTACCTGGGCATCTTTCCAATACAAGACACCTACAAGACACATCCTGAGTCAGCCTACCTGGGACATCTTCCACTGAATCAGCCTACCTGGACATCTACAAGACACCCTGAGTCAGCCTACCTTGGCATCTTCCACAATCTACAAGACACCCTGAGTCAGCCTACCTGGGCATCTTCCACAATCTACAAGACACAAGACACCCTACAAGACACACTGAGTCAGCCTACCTGGGCATCTTCCCACACTGAATTACCTGGGCATCTTCCACAATCTACAAGACACACTGAATCAGCCTACCTGGGCATCTTCCACAATCTACAAGACACACTGAATCAGCCTACCTGGGCATCTTCCACAATCTACAAGACACACTGAATCAGCCTACCTGGGCATCTTCCACAATCTATCACTACCTGGGACACACTGAGTCAGCTTACCTGGGCATCTTCCAGGCCTCCTGAAACTCCCCTCATCAACATGGCAGGCCTTGGCCAGCTTCTCCGTCCAGTCCCCTACGCCGGACATGCACGGACAGGAAGTCCTCGTTAGGAGACTAAACAGACAAGAGAACAATCATTCCTAACTCACAATCACATATATTAAAAGGGACGGTCACACCTAGGCATAATCATACTTGATGTGATACTCTCTTACATGAATGCTTTTTATTCTCCATACATGGAAAATTTCAACTGAGTTTCTTTTGACAATTGGAGTTGATACAAGTTTAAAAGTCTGGGGCAATGGTGGAGACCTACTGAAGAGAATGGAGAATGCATGTCATGGTATTCCAGACAGATCTGCTACCTCCTGAAATGAAGACTGACTGACTGACTGAGTTTGGTTTTACGGCGCTTTTAGCAATATTCCAGCAATATCACGACGGGGGACACCAGAAATGGGCTTCACTCATTGTACCCATGTGGGGATTCAAACCCGGGTCTTCTGCGTGACAAGCCAACGCTTTAACCACTAGACTACCCCACTGCCCCCTGAAATGAAGACAAACCGATGTGATGGTAAAGACCTGAAGTGAATGTATGTGATCATATTCCAGACGAAGATTCCACCTACTGAGGTAAGGGTGAATGGGTGCCACTCCAGTCTTGAGATGGACGAACACTGCAGAAACACATATTGCCCAGGGAGGGCGGAGAACCCTTTCTTCATCATCTGTAGCTCAAACACATTGGACTGATGTTTCACTACCTGGAAATACAAACCCTCCTCCTATTACCATCAACAAACAAAAGAGAATTACATGGAGATCATCAATAATTCATTTCTGTTTCCTGGAAGAACTTTTTAACCTAATAAGCCACGGAAACATTTTAAACAAAATCAGAGGGGAGACCAGGAAAATTGAGTTATTTCAAAATTACCATGTTGGTAATATTGAAATATAAATTGAAACATGATGACATCTTACCTTTGTTATAACAGCTGTCTTCAAGCTTCGAAAAAAGCGTATAATTCTTTCTATGATGTACAGCACAACAGGAGCCAGCACCCATATCCAGGTCTGCAAGTGGGTGAGTGAGGGAGTTCAGCATCTCTTTGATGCACAGTGTTATATATGCTAAGATCACTGACACAAGAAACTTAGAATGAGGCTGTGTAAGGATGGACTATCATGCTTTTGAAAGTATGAGAAAGTCAAGGATGATAATCATGGCAACACTGGAGTTCAAACCCATATTAGCAGATCCTGGTACAGGAAAGGTAAACAACTATCTGAAACTGGTAAGTTACTCATTAACCCTTTCAAACATCAAATCCACTATGGATTAAAAGGAGAAAGTGCAATGCTTAGTCTGAGACAGGATAAGTTAAAAATATAGCAGATCCAAGTACAAGTAAGGGAAACAACTCTCTAGTGATTGATACCATCATAGACTGGTAAACTACTCATTCCATCTTTCAAACATCAAAATGCAAAATTCACTATGAATTGAAAAACGAAAGTGAAATGAAAAGCCTGAGACAGGATAAGTTTCAAAATATACTATTAATAATACCGTCACAAAAATCTAACCTACCTTTGGCGGTGATCCTGAAAACTGTGGTAGAGGGCACTCCTGGCTTCCCCACTTGTCATACCTGGTGTAACACTTGGATGGATTATGCTTTGATGTGTTGGTCTGGCCACGGATTATTCCCCTGGAGATACAGGACACATTTAGGGTGGATCAGTACAGTGTGCGTCCTCCATTGACAATATCTCTGATCTAGTTTGATCAATAGCTTGGACCTATTCAACATTATGGCTTCATTTTAAAAGGGTTTTAAAACACTTATCACTAACTTTACACAAAATATCCCTTCATGATGAGGTTGAAATCAACACCGAATCCAAATACCTCCTGAATGAGAGTTCAGGACACAACTACACTACAATTAAACTCTCTGCCAAGCATTCTTCAATATATTGAATCATTACAGAAGACAGGAAAAAGGGGCACTATTTCTGACAATAATAATTCATTAGTTTTCATATTGAACATTTTTTTTTCAACTAAAAATTCTGAAATTATAATCCGAAATAATAGTGATATACATGCATGAAGAAACAGGACTTCAACTTTCAGCATAACCCTTACTTATTGTTTTCAGTGTGGGTCTGGGATACTTGTAGATTTAACTGTGTTAAGCTGGTTTGAATCTGAATATCTCACACATACTGTAGCTTATAACCAATAATTGTATATATCATTATCTACAAGTATTGAGAAAAAGTATGGTTCTACAAATATACTGATGCAGATGTCCAATAGTATTTTTTAGTCAGGGGTGGTCACTGTAATTTGAAACCCCTGATTAACTAATCAGAATTGGTCATTTTCTAAAGTCTAGTTAGAACTGAAACCAGCTGTAGCACAATATTTACGTGACAAGTAAACCAAAACAGGGCCTGACATTTAAATCACACAGATCAAAACTGAGAATAACTTACTGCACTCCATGGATAACGAGGCCGATGTAGAAGATTACAAACAGATGATGTGTGAACCAAAACACTTCATAATACGAACGTCTGAAATATAGAACGAGAAAGTTGACATGTTACATTCCACTGGTTTGGTTAGTTTGTTGTTAAATGCTGCAATCAGCAATATTCCAGCTATTTGGAAGCAGCCTGTAAATAATCAAATCTGGACCAGACAACCCAGTGATCAACATCACAAGTATCTTTCTACGCAATTGGAACACGATAACATACATCAACCAAATCAACGAGTCTGACCACCCGATCCCGTTCGTCGCCTCTTACGACAAGCTTTGGTTGCTGACGACCAGTTCTAACCCAGATCTTCATGGTATTCCACCCAAGACTGTGACAAGGATATACTTATATTATTTTTAGATGTTTAGCATACATGGTACTTAACAAGACTAGGCTGTTTGGCATTGTTTCCTACCAGACAATCCATACTGCTTGAAAAGAACAGATGTTACTAACCTGACCACATCCGTTGAGGATGTGACGATAAGTATGAGGCACAGTGTGATCACCATGCGCCTGTATAAGACAAATGTTACTGTTATCCTGCGCCTTTATAAGAACCTGACCACATCCATTGAGGATGTGACGATAAGTATGAGACACAGTGTGATCACCACGCCTGTATAAGACAGATGTTACCAACCTGACCACATCTGTTGAGGATGTGACTATAAGTATGAGACACAGTGTGATCACCATGCCTGTATAAGACAGATGTTACTAACCTGACCACATCCGTTGAGGATGTGACTATAAGTATGAGACACAGTGTGATCACCACGCCTGACACGCCCGCCACAGACTTGAACACCTCTTGTGTGGGATCCTGCAGACATCACATGGGTATATTATCACATGGGTATATTATCACATGGGTATATTATCACATGGGTATATTATCACATGGATATATTATCACATGGATATATTATCACAAGGATTTATCATCATCAAATATTTATCACAAACATACATTATCACATACCCGGTATTATGTAAAATGCACGTCTACGGGAAGATATGACAGCCTGAGAATTTGGTGTTTTCAACAAACCCGTTTCATTAGAGTCTAGTTAGTTATTACTGCATGTTATTACATACTGTAGAAGCATGTGTTACTGGTAGCCATTACAGCAGTGCCACAGCTACCGCGTGTGCACATTCACAACGCGTAACATAATTAGTGTATGGGATCATGCTTTGCCAATAAATGATTGGGTAAGACTTCTGCCTGTATCCCCCCTAAATTTTAACGATGAGGACAAATGTCTTTGAGTGGCATTTTTAGAAGTTGGATATGTCTTTCAGTATGTTCAGATACAATTCAGGAAACATGATAAAACTCATCCTTATCAGATGAGGAATATGTATTCAGGTGATATGATTTGACCATAATGAAATTTAGGGGGGATAGGGGTGGAAGTCTTTCCAATGATTGTATTGCCATTACAGCCTAATGTAACATGAACATATGAGGGTGTTTCAAAGTTTCCTTGAATGCTTTGTATTGCACTGTTGGTGAAAATCTGGAAATAAATAAAGGGCCACTTGTACATTCATGTGTTCCCTTATTTGTTTCCTTGAGTATATTACAACATTACAATACATAAGACCAAGCAAAAATAGACAGCTGATTCTCACATTCTGATATTGCTAATGATATGCAGTAACATGCAGATGGCAACTATTTAGTGGAAGTTGCGGTGGCTGAGCGGGTTAAGCGGCTGACTTTGTGTGCTGACGATTTGGTGCCTGACTCTGAGGGTGTGGGTTCGAATCCCGGATGGGACTCAACCCCAAAAAGTACTAGAATTTGTACTTTACTAAGAAAGTGTTATCCCAAATATAACATATGTTATATTTAAAACAGCTTATTTAGCTTACTACAAAGATGCCATAATTTCCATGTCTTGTCTTGAAGCAGACTGGTAATGTATACTAACAGTGCCAGGACTCCTGACTGGGTTGACGTAGCTGCCATTTGTTGTTACAGAGAGATGAGTGATGGCCTGTACGGCCGGATCCGAGCTTTCGTAGGCACCAACAAGGTATTCAAAGTCAAAACAGTGTGCCACGATGTGGATAGCTGCAGCAAACAGATGATTCAAATTGGTAAATAACCATTGTTTTAAAAATACATGTAGAGCCAATTTAAAGTAAATTTGGAGAACATTTACAGACACCATCTATGTGTCTTTGTTATACACTCTATCATAGTGTCATTCTATTTAAACCCTTGACAGTTCTACAACCAAAGCACATCGGTTCCCAATTGTGCGCAGATCGATGCTCATGTTGTTGATCACTGGATTGTCTGGTCCAGACTCGATTATTTACAGACCGCCGCCATATAGCTGGAATATTGCTGAGTGCGGCATAAAACTAAACTCACTCACTCACTTACAACCACAGCATCAGTTTGGAAGTCACTATTCCTACTATATATTTTATCTCAAACAGAATTTCTCTTGCACAGATGAAGATAGATATATAACTATGGATGCGATTGAGTCTGATGTAAATATTACAATAGAACCACATCCACAGTCTAGGATAGTGGACAGCATTTGCCAGAGAGGGGAAGTTGGTGGTGTCATACCCTGACTGTGAAAAGACGATAAACTATGACATGCATACAGCCAAGTCACTGAACCTAACCACTGATAGATTAAGCCACATCATCAGACAAAAATAGTGTATTGAAGACCAAATCTAACCTGATATCCCCATGAGATTCTACTACTGATACTCCTTGTTGACTTACACAGTCTTGTATGACTGACAACTTAAACATACATTTAGTCTACATAATAACGTTATTTTTAAGAACATTACAATCGTTCCAAGACAGGACCCTAGGTAACTGCAAGATAAACTGATGATAACGGCCCAATCACGCACCTGTCATGAGGCAGATCATGTAACCAAGGTAACGGTGATATGTGAGATTCTTGTCCAGCTGTCGCCGAGCATTCCGGTGACAGCACTGTAAAACAAGAAATGAAAGTAAAAATCAAATTGTGAAAAATGAACACATCTAAGATACATACTCAGTCCACCTCAACAAGAACACACCAAGGAAACTTACGGAACATGCTCCTCGAATGGATGAGATGAGATTCCTGCAGACAGGCAGAAGGATGAGCAGACAGTTGAAGTTCAAGCATGCTGCACTTGCCCGCGCCCAGCACAAGGCATCCTGGGAACAGAGAAACAGGTTATAACAGACAAGGCACTGTCATCTGTCCCCTCTTTGAGTATCTCTTTGTGTATGGTTACTTTACCATTCCTACAGACATTTAGGAGATGTAAGATACTGACTGACTGAGTTTGGTTTTACGCCGCTTTTAGCAATATTCCAGCAATATCACGGCGGGGGACACCAGAAATGGGCTTCACTCATTGTACCCATGTGGGGATTCTAACCCGGGTCTTCGGCGTGATGAGCCAATGCTTTAACCACTAGACGACCCCACCGCCCCTATGTAAGATACTGACTTGTTTGTATGTTGTTATTTATTGTTGCACTTAGCAATATTCTAAAACATGGGGTGGTGGGGTAGCCCTGTGGTTAAGCATTTGCTTATCATGCCAAAAACAAAGTGAGTGAGTTGAGTTTTACGTCGCACTCAGGAATATTACAGCTATATGGCGGTGGTCTGTAAATAATCGAGTCTGGACCACACAATCCAGTGATCAACAGCATGAGAACGGATATACGCAATTGTCTAAAACAGACTATCATAAGCAGTATAAGAGGTCCACCAATACCATAGATATATACACACAGTATTCATTCATACATAGATATGTATGTACAACATGTACATATACACAGGGTGCTTATCAGGGTGCACATACATATAGAACACACTGGATAGCAATAGGTTCAATGGGACTTAAATTTACTAATATAAAATTTGACCTGTCAAACTTTACTTGTCATGAATAGTTTACATATTTTAAGAATTTTTGGATTTCTGTGACAGTAGGAGAGAGATTCTTGCATCTCTGTTTCAAATACTGACATACAATACTAAGGTCGGTGAGTGCAAGTCTGACTACACGTGTATCTTACCCCGACCAGCAGACGTAGGTAGAAGTAGTCCAGGCTCTGCTGATAGCTGACGAATGTCCCGGCGAAGAGGCCCACATTGATGACCAGCCACACCCCCTGCACAACAACACTACAGATCTGAATGATGGAGAACGGTTGGAGCATGCTGACACAACTACTGAGTGGGTTGGACGTCTTAAAGGGTTACTCCACTACAACAGCTGAGTGGGTCAACGTCTTAAAGGGTTACTCCACTATAACAGCTGAGTGGGTCAACGTCTTAAAGGGTTACTCCACTATAACAGCTGAGTGGGTCAACGTCTTAAAGGGTTATTCCACTACAACAGCTGAGTGGGTCAACGTCTTAAAGGGTTACTCCACTATAACAGCTGAGTGGGTCGGACGTCTTAAAGGGTTACTCCACTACAACAGCTGAGTGGGTCAGCGTCTTAAAGGGTTACTCCACTACAGCAGATTGGTGGGTCAACGTCTTAAGGGTTACCACTATAACAGCTGGGTGGGTCAGCGTCTTAAAGGGTTACTCCACTACAACAGCTGAGTGGGTCAACCAGCGTCTTAAGGGTTACTCCACTACAACAGCTGAGTGGGTCAGCGTCTTAAAGGGATACTCCACTACAACAGCTGAGTGGGTCAACGTCTCCACTACAACAGCTGAGTGGGTCAACGTCTTAAGGGTCCACTACAACAGCTGAGTGGGTCAGCGTCTTAAAGGGTTATTCCACTACAACAGCTGAGTGGGTCAACGTCTTAAAGGGTTATTCCACTACAACAGCTGAGTGGGTCAACGTCTTGAAGGGTTATTCCACTACAACAGCTGAGTGGGTCAACGTCTTAAAGGGTTATTCCGCTACAACAGCTGAGTGGGTCAACGTCTTAAAGGGTTATTCCGCTACAACAGCTGAGTGGGTCGCCGTCTTAAAGGGTTATTCTACTACATAAACTGAATGTGTCAGAGGTCATAGGGTTATTCCACTACAACAGCTGAGTGGGCCGATGTCTTAAAGGGTTATTCCACTAAAACAGCTGGGTGGGTCGACGTCTTAAAGGGTTATTCCACTACATAAACTGAATGTGTCAGAGGTCTTAAGGGTCACTCCACTACAACAGCTGGGTGGGTTGACATATTAAAGGGTTATTCTACTACAAAAGCTGCGTGGGTTGACGTATTAAAGGGTTACTCCACTACAAAAGCTGAGTGGGTCAACGTCTTAAAGGGATACTCCACTACATAAGCTGAGTGGGTCGACTTATTAAAGGGTTATTCCATTACAACAGCTGAGGGCGTCGGACGTCTTAATGGGTCACTCCACAATATAAACTGAGTGTGTCAGAGGTCTTAAGGTTATTGCACTACAACATCTGAGTATCATACTGATGTATACATACACATAAGTCTTCATTTTCACATTTGATTAAATGTGTAAAGTGACTTTTTATACAACTGATTCAAATTATTTTAAAAACCCAACTATACTCAAGTAAAATGTGTTATGATCAAACCTTCGTAACATTAAAATGACAAATCTGTCCTTTCTTTCGAATTTCTTCAAGATATAGACAATAAAATACTTAACATTTATCTTCTTTTTCTGCATTTAACATAGTCAAGAATGCACTTTTTTAAAGCTTACCTCACAATATTTTTGTCATTTACCTTCTGGTTCTGGCATTTTGTCAGAAAATGAAGAAAAACCAAACCAAATTAGATTGGTATGACCCAAACTTCTGGTGCATTAAATAACATAATATATTACTGTTTTGGAATAAAGACAAATATATACAAAAATCCAAAACCATGAGTAATTTCACTGTGGATGTTTGAGAAATCTATGTAAGATACAGTTTGAAACTACTTTAACCATGTTAATAGGACATGATGGCCAACACAGCTCTAGCTGCCAGCTCTTTAACCCAGAACTCCCCAGTCAGCAGGAAGTGGAAGTACACACTTAATGAGGAGGGAGGTCACATGGAAAACACAAGTGCAGGGCAGGAGGGATTGTAGAAGACTTGCAGCAGGGAGCATAGGGATGTACATGTATGTGTTGGTCAGTGTTGTCCAGTGTTTCACTGACCATACTTGAAGTAAGTGTTTTTCTTTAAACATTTCTATGTTCAATATGTGTTGAATTCATTCTCCTCTCAATTTATATCTTGCACTTTCAATGTCTTTCTTTCTAAATAGGTTTACTTTATTTTTGTTCTAGAACATTTCACAGTGTGTCACGACTGAGTAGTTCATGATTTCCTGCAATAAAAGAGACTTTAAACTATTTTTCTAATAAATTTTCTAAGACAATGTCCGAAATGATTAACACATTTATCGTGTCCCTGGACTGCCACAAAAGACTGTTATAAACTGAGACTGAAAATTGTCTTTGTTTGGATTATAATTTATACTGTTGTCTGTGTGTTTTTTGCATGGCTTAACAGTTGCTTCACACTGGTCTAGACTCAACAGTATTGAGATGTCCTACTGTCTTGAAACAATGATGAGGTGTTCTCCTATATTAACCTCACTTTAGTTGTAGATTAATGTAAGCACATCATTAAAAAGGAAACTGTTTTTAGCATATACTGACTGACTGAGTTTGGTTTTACGCCGCTTTTAGCAATATTCCAGCAACATCACGGCAGGGGACACCAGAAATGGGCTTCACACATTGTACCCATGTGGGGATTCGAACCCGGGTCTTCGGCGTGACGAGTCAACTCTTTAACCACTAGGCTACCCCTCCGCCCCTTTTTAGCATATAATCATGCCATCAAAGTAATCACAGTAAGGATATGTTTAGACCAGCAAACATCTGACTGTCTCAGATTGTGAAAACCAATTCTACAGTGGATCCAGGAAACAAATATTTCAGTCTATGTGATTTTGATGATGACAAACTACCACTCGCAGAAAATGGACAAATTGCTATGATGGTTAGGGTCTGAAAAGAATATATATATAAGGCATATGTCTTTACACCAGTGGCTGAAAATCTGAATCACCTTAATAGCAACCTGATTAAAATCAGATCGTTAACTCAAATATGATACCACTATTCATGAAGGTCTGAGGACTCACCACTGTCAAGGCTTCAAACATGAGTGAGGGAAGCGTTCAGACCATTATACATAACTTCTGTATTTTGAACAAAAGCTGAAGTGACATATTCTGAACATATGCTGCATGGATGTATGATAAATAACACAGCATATTAAATTCTAGTGATTCTGTTATACATCCTGTTGTTTCAGTGAACAATGACATCTACACAAAAATAGAGTACAACAGAAGGAGTAATTGTGTTCTGGGTGGGTTTCATATGTACAAATCAAAATAAATAAATTGAGGTGGTACAGAAATAAACCTGAATTGTTTTACAATGCTGACATCTGTTTGGATCAAGACCCACGCATCCTTCAATTAGACTGGACGGTCAAAGTACACTTGGGTTAACAGGAAGGGACTTCCTATGGACAGTCCTCAGATCTTCATACTGAGAGGTACAATACAGTCGAGCACCGTTGTCTCGATATTCATGGGACCAAGAAAAAATATCGAGTTATCCGAACTTCGAGACATCCGACCAGGGCATATCTTCACATATCACTATGCAAGAAAACAAAACCCTTCTCAGTATCTTTTGATTCAAAACTATAATCCGTTATCATCAGTCGTGTTTAGTCGTAACAGTGAGTTCTTCCTAATTATTTCCTTCTTAATTAATCCTAATTACATAACAAACAAGTGACACCTTCAACTCAATTAGCCCTATTTAGTTTACATTACCGCATCCCTTTGATTCATGCCGCACCGTGTGTAAACGTGTGGAAACAACCTCAGTTCAGAGGGATACTTGTACGTGAATATCGAGTTTCTTTGCAAATATCGAGTTAAAAGGGTAATTTTGCTTGTTGGGACCATGAAATTATATCCAGATATCCGAAATATCGAGACAACCGTATGGAGTTAAAACAGCTTGAATAATGATAAATTATGAAGAATTTTGCCGGGACCGAGATGTTATATCAAGACAACCGAGATATCGAGTTATCAGAGTTTGACACAACGGTGCTCGACTGTACAATGTAAAACATGAGACGGTAAACATTCAGTCTCACAATAGTACAAGCTCTCCTGATAAATAACAGTTCCATGAGCCAATGTTATCAAACATGAATATATCATAATGATCCTTTCTAATAAAACTACACATATTGTTTAGATTAGAAAATACATGTCCTTAACTATCAGCTTTTTACAAACCATTTCTCATGTTTATCACCCAAACTCTACAAACATAACACAAACATGTTACATGTTTCCACTTTTCTTAAGCGGGGCAGTGGGGTAGCCTAGTGGTTAAAGCATTCGCTTGTCACGCCGAAGGCCCGGGTTCGATTCCCCACATGGGTACAATGTGTGAAGCCCATTTCTGGTGTCACCTGCCGTGATATTGCTGGAATATTGCTAAAATCAGCGTAAAACCCAACTCACTCAATCACTTTTCTTAAGTACAGAATATTGACATGAATCACACACATGACAACATTAAATGAAAAGAAAATCATTTCTGTAAGTCTGAAAACCTGTTAAGAAAACAAGTTTCTCTTGCACAGCTGACAACATGACCTTTTGTAATAATGAGCTTTGTTGCCACTGACCTAGTTCAACTCCACATAACTTTATCTCAGTGTACAACATGGGGACGCTGTCTGTGTGGACTGTTTATCTTCTTGAATAACTGCATAGTTTGGTATCAGCATGATCTATGAGGTTACTGATAAGCATACTGAACTTGGGTTTTGCTAAGGATGATATAGTGAGTCCTATTACCATACAACTTGAAAACCTATGGGCATTCCAGATATAGTGTGTGTATCGGTCTCCTGTAACCTATGACTGTTAAGACCAATCGATTGGGTGGTCAAGTGCAGTGCCTTTCAAAACCAGCACTGATTGCTGGGGATGTATATATTCTACCTTAGAATCATCACAGGGTTTTTCTAATGTCACAAAATACTGCCCTCATTCTACAGACTACAACAGATACAACAAAATGTATTTTTAAAATCATTCTTGTTCAGTTTCTTCAGCAGTCAACCCATTTCTAAAACATATCATATCATAACTGCAGCCAAACATTTCTCAAGCTTCTATTTACACATTTTATTTTTGAAAATGAAAAATGGACTATTTCAAGTATTCAAACAGTTAACGGAAAGATTTCCGCCTGTAACCCCCGTTTTTTTATATCATTCTAAGCCTAAGAATAGATTTTTTATATATATATATATATAGAGAGAGAGAGAGAGAGAGAGAGAGAGAGAGAGAGAGAGAGAGAGAGAGAGAGAGAGAGAGAGAGAGAGAGAGAGAGAGAGAGATAGAGAGAGAGAGAGAGAGAGAGAGAGAGAGAGAGAGAAAACCCCACCCTAACCCTAACATATGCTAAATGTAAACCCTAAACCTAAACCCCTAGAAATAATCATAATAAATAGCATACATTTCAAGCGGGGTTACGGGTGGAACTCTTACCCAGTTAACAAGGGTGATTTATCAAGGCTCTAAATGGTGTCACCGATGTCACTGTTACCATTAACCTAAACGTTTCTAAGGAGAAAAAATATCTACACATTTATTGTAACTGTTGTGTGGACGAGCGCTTTGTAAATACCATGGACTCTACCAAAGCCACCAGCACGAATTCGATTTACTCACATCCTTTCCTGACATTTAACATCAGAATTCTAACTATTTAAAGTATTTTGACACACCCATGTTGTACAATGCATCCAGGTAGCACGTAATTATTGATCAACAGGTACTTGTTCTCTAAACACGTGTACCAATTAAACTTACCACAATAAACCACTTAGGGCCCTCATTCACCAGCCAGTCACCCATCACCAAACTGCAACACGCTTCTGTAAGTAGACATCCGTCTGTCCTTGTGAATGTCTCTAGGATGTAAACAAGCACCTGTTCAATACTTCCGCCCCCTGAATTATGTCCCTTGATGCGTTAATCCTCCAAGAGTTGTCTCCCCATGATAGTAAGAGTTGGCAGACGTGATAGGTTCAAGAGATGATTTTTCTTTTTTCTTTTTGCAATTAATCGAAGACATATGATCTATGTCGATTAATTTACGTGCAGGGAAATAGAAAAGGAGCCAGTGATATTAATTGTATTATATCAATGTTTTATAATAACCAGGTATTGAGGAGAAATGCATAAGATTAATGGGGAGGGAACCCATTTGCTGAATGATGTGGGTAGGTTCAGTTGTCAGCTTGTTAATTCTAACAACACCCTCCCTTTGACAACAATGGTAATACGTTGATCACACAGGCATTAATTAGTAATATTTTTACAGTGAAATCACCATTGTTCTTTTCATACAGGTCAGAAGTGAGTTTCATGGCCATCAACTTAAATCAATTTTCACACAAGACCCATCTTTAAGGTTTTATGTGGGTAAGGTAGAGTCAGGCGTCAAAGCAGGGGTCCACACTTATACCTTATTTCTCTTAACTGAGGCAAGAGGTAATGCAACCTTTGAGAACAAAACAATTTTTATGGGTTTAAAATATATCCCACAAAACCATCTTTGGAGTTGTATAGTTATATCTTGCTTTTGCCAATGTTATAGACTGCAAGATATCTGATGATATAACATCTGCTATTTTTGTTTTCTTGGAATTTCTGTTACCTGATACTGTATCACCATAATGTTTGGTATGTGGTGTATGGTAAGTGTGAGTTGTGTGCTCTCCAGAATGAATGAATCCATTGACTATGAGACTGCGTGTAGAGAACATGCTATTCACTGGTACATATCATGACTGAGAATTATCAGCAATACCACATAGCTAACTCTATGTAACAAAACTATCCTCATAGTAATTCATGGTGTAGAGGCCATAAACTTTCCAAGTCCTGTAATTGGATTCGAACCACCAACTTGATCTGCGAATGGACATCTTGTCCACATGACAGAAGAGGTAAATCCTGTCGAAAAAGCTGACAATAATTAGTTTTGTCTGAAGGTACATAATGACAAAACAATTTATATGATGCAGAGTGTGTGTTTGTTAGATAGACGAATGAAAGTCTAATAATATTTTATGGACTAAACCTGCAAATTCCTTGATGTTGATCATGCCCCTAGGTATCATGCCTCATATGATGTCCCCTATCTTGACATTCCTGTTAACATCATTTTACTGCAATACAAAAAAAAAAAAAGTCTTGTTGCCTTTTGAGCAATCCTTTCTCAAACCATTGTTTTGATTCCAGACGGAAAAAGTCCCACGCTTGTTTAAAGACAAGTGAGGCTTGGATGGTTACAAAGTGTGATCAGGTTGACTGTTGTCCATGAATCCGACCACTGGATTTACATTGTTATTTCTTGAACATTGATGAGTGGAACAGAAATACTTTTATTTCTTTTAGTGAAAATCACCACTGTCTGTCGGAAGAGGGGCGACAGGGTAACCTAATGGTTAAAGCGTCCGCTTGTCACGCTGAAGACCCGGGTTCGATTCCCCACATGGGTGCAATGTGTGAAGCCCATTTCTGGTGTCCCTCGCTGCGATATTGCTGGAATATTGCTAAAAGCGGCATAACACCATAATCACTCACTCACTGTCTGAAGCTCTGTGTTTCCTTGTGTGTTGAAATCTGATTATCTGAAAGCCTCAACAAACAAGGCATAAGAATATAGTCCACTTAATGATAGTCTACTTGGTGCAGAAGTATCAACGCAAGAGGCAAAGGCAGCTGGAACGACATGGGCCGGGCTGAAGAGGATCTCCCAGAACCGCGTCCATTGGAGGGGTGTTGTTGCAGCCCTTTGTTCCCCGAGGAATTAAGAGGAGACAGAATGATAGTTTTATTGAACAATGTACAAATAATACAGTATTTACAACAGCATTTTCTTGTTAAATGATTCAGTCATTTGCTTGCAGGTCCAGCGTCCAGTCAAATGGTTTCCACCATGCAGAAAATTCCAGGACCTTTTTGCGCTGGACATCGAAGCTCTCCTTGTGGGGCTTCCTCCATAGTCCTGGTTCAGCATCAACCATGCCACCCACAATCTCCTGCAATGTGGTAGTATATAAAGTTGAGGAGAAATAAAGGTGATATGGGGAAATATACTACCCAAAAGATGTTAAGGGACACATGATTCTTTCATATTACTATAGTCATAGCAGAACAGATAAACTATTGTAATATGACAAATTCTGTAGGTCCTTAACTTATTTTGAGTAGTAGAGAATGAGAACAAGACAATGATCTCCCTATTTTTAATTGAACACTTCAGTGAAATGTGGTAGGACTATAAAACATTTTACAGTATACTGGGGAGGAAAACCATCCACTCTGAGATACCTGTGATGTGAACAATATGGCATGGTAACAGGTAATTTTGCATGCATCACTAGTCTGGGTCAATCTTGAGACCAACTTAAGAACAACTAAGACATGACAACAAGATGGTTGAATAATATACCTTATCATTTGCAAAGGATACCAATTTCTTGTCTATTTAAAATAATATACATGTAATAACATAAGTAAGGTAAGACCATCATAATTATTGATATAGCTGTTTTAAATCTCTAAAGGAAATGAAGCTATGGTAGTGATAGATCCTGGGTATTTGTCATTATAGACTGAAGACATAACACCCAGGGTCCCGATCCACAAAGCGTTTGTGGCATTAGGACCCGGCGTTATTCTATATTGTATCATAGACGTACAAGTGTTGTAGTGCTATGAACGCATTGTGGATAGGGTACAAAGGTTATTTGAGGATTATCGTCATGACAACTTACTCGACCAAAGTAGGATGGAAAGGTCTGTTCATCTTCAATGACGTGTGCGAACCCACCCTGCAGCCCGAAGTCCACGCTGAAGTAGGGGAAACCCTTGGGGATCTGGAAAAATTGCCATGATATCAATGTCATGTCTCTTGTGACTCATATAAACAGTGTTAGAAATTAAACATGGAAGTTTGTTGCTGTTTGTTGGTTAATGCCAAACTTAGTAATGTTCCAGCTATATGATGGCGATTTGTAAATAATTGAGTGTGGACCAAACGATCCCGTGATTGACATCAGAAGCATCAATCTATGCAGCTGAGGTATATACATGTATATATATATATATAATGACCTGTACCTTTATCAACCAAAATCAGTGAGCCTGACCACCTGATTCTGTAAATTGGCACTTACACTCTGGACAAACATGGGCTGTTACACTCTTTACATGTATGTTGTTTTATGCCCCCCCAACAGTATTACAGTTATCACAATGTTCTGTAAGCAAAAGAGGTATTATTATTATACATACCCTATCAAGTCTGGACTTTCTCATATAATACTGAAGTGTTCAACTTACTGTTGACTTCAAGAAATGATTTTCATTTAAACAAGAGAGATGAGCAACAGTTTCTCATACATGTTCGACTTAAAGCATATGCCAGTGACTGACCGAGTGTCTGATGTCCTTGCAGCTGAGATCAACCAGTTTCTTGTTGTTTGACCACTCCGGGCCAGCATCCTGTATTGCTTTCTGTGGATAAACAATTAACATTAAACAGTTAATCTTCTATGCCTTGTACATAACATGCTAACAGTGTCCAGTCCATCTTCACATAGTCAGAACTAGCAAATAGCCACATGTCTGGAATAACATGATAAAAATGGTGTACAAAGAACTGGGGTTGGGTGGAGTGGATGTATAAGGTTGGGTTGCCTCACGTTGAAATGTATGGGTCGGACACCAGATCTGTCATCTCCTCCAGAGGGACATACTCCATGGTCAGGGGGTGGGGTGGGGGATGTCAGGTTGGTGGTCTTACCTTGAAGTAGATGGGTGCCAGGTCTCCTGTCCCCTCCATAGGTACACACTCCATACTAGGGATGGGACAGGGTGGGGGTGGGGTGTCAGACTGGGGGGTCCTACCTTGAAGTAGATGGGTGCCAGGTCTCCTGTCTCCTCCTCCATAGGGATACACTCCATCATACTGAGGGATGGGACAGGGTGGGGTGGGGGGTGTCAGATTGGGGGTCCTACCTTGAAGTAGATGGGTGCCAGGTCCCCTGTCTCCCTCCATAGGGATACACCCATACTAGGGATGGGACAGGGTGGGGTGGGGGTGTCAGATTGGGGGTCTTACCTTGAAGTAGATAGGTGCCAGGTCTCCTGTCTCCTCCATAGGCACACACTCCATACTGGGGATGGGACAGGGTGGGGTGGGGGTGTCAGATTGGGGTGTCCTACCTTGAAGTAGATGGGTGCCAGGTCTCCTGTCTCCTCCATGGGATACACACTTCATACTGGGGATGGGACACAGGGTGGGGTGGGGGTGTCAGATTGGGGGTGTCCTACCTTGAAGTAGATGGTGTGCCAGGTCCCTGTCTCTTTTCTCCATAGGAGTGCACTCCATACTGGGATGGGACAGGGTGGGGTGGGGTGGGGGTGTCAGATTGGGGTGTCCTACCTTGAAGTAGATGGGTGCCAGGTCTCCTGTCTCCTCCATAGGGTACACACACTCCATACTGGGGATGGGACAGGGTGGGGTGGGGTGTCAGACTGGGGGTCCTACCTTGAAGTAGATGGTGCCAGGTCTCCTGTCTCCTCTCCATAGGGATACACTCCATACTGGGGATGGGACAGGGTGGGGTGGGGGTGTCAGATTGGGGGTCCTACCTTGAAGTAGATGGGTGCCAGGTCTCCTGTCTCTTTCTCCATAGGGATACACTCCATACTGGGGATGGGACAGGGTGGGGTGGGAGTGTCAGATTGGGGGGTCCTACCTTGAAGTAGATGGGTGCCAGGTCTCCTGTCTCTCCTCCATAGGGATACACTCCATACTGGGGATGGGACAGGGGTGGGGGGGTGGGGTGTCAGATTGGGGGTCCTACCTTGAAGTAGATGGGTGCCAGGTCTCCTGTCTCCCCTCCATGGGCACACACTCCATACTAGGGATGGGACAGGGTGGGGTGGGGGTGTCAGACTGGGGGTCCCTACCTTGAAGTAGATGGGTGCCAGGTCTCCTGTCTCTCTTTTCTCCATAGGGATACACTCCATACTGGGATGGGACAGGGTGGAGTGGGGGTGTCAGATTGGGGGTCCTACCTTGAAGTAGATGGGTGCCAGGTCTCCTGTCTCTTTCTCCATAGGGGTCCCTACACTCCATAGGGACAGGGTGGGGTGGGGTGTCAGATTGGGGGTCCCTACTTTGAAGTAGATGGGTGCCAGGTCTCCTGTCTCTTTCTCCATAGGGATACACTCCATACTGGGGATGGGACAGGGGTGGGGTGGGGGTGTCAGACTGGGGTCCTACCTTGAAGTAGATGGGTGCCAGGTCTCCTGTCCCCTCCATAGGCACACACTCCATACTGGGGATGGTCAGGGTGGGGTGGGGGTGTCAGACTGGGGGGTCTTACCTTGAAGTAGATGGGTGCCAGGTCCCCTGTCTCCTTCTCCATAGGAATACACTCCATGCTCATGTGTGGGAGGTACTTCTGGTGCATGCTGGTCTCCATAAACACGACATCCTGGTCCTGGGATTCAAACATACGCACCAGGCACTTTCGGAATGTCTGAAACATAACATCAATTCTCTCAGAACAGTTAAATGAAAAATGTTTCAGATCATTGATTGACATTCAATTTCAAAAACTTTAATGAAACTTATTTCGGGATTCAAACTTTACCAATTTAAGTTAATTTTGAGTACCGTAAGTCTGTTTAAAGACCTCGTCTGTAACTAGGCCGTCTGCACCCACCTGTACTTCCTGCCACACATCCTCATCAACGACAGTCCCGGCTGTGACATGCTGCATTGGTACAATCAGACAGTGACCCGGGGTCAGGGATCGGTGGTTCGGGAGGCACAGATACACCTGGTGTACAAACAGGATTAGAGTGCTGAGATTTGTCTTAGGAATACCCTGGTACCATATTTTGTTGACCTCATGTAACATTGTTTTTATTCCTCTTGCACCCCACCCCCAAATACATGTAACACTTTTTCACACACACACACCTCCCATACAATAAATGACCAGTGTCCAAACAAATTTAGACTTAGACATTTATAATTTGAACAACAGAACTGTTGTTATTTTATTGCCATCGTATATAATTGTGATAAAGTTTGCCGAATCGACCCACCACTTTCAGAGTGTCAATATGACATGACAAACATCTCCCCCCAACCCACCCCTCCCTTACAATAAACGAAAGGTAACTTGTCTTACCTTAAGACCAATGGCTATAATGAGATGTTTCGGCACCTTGTCAAAGCAGAATCTACATTTCTCCATTGCAGTCGCCATCTTCTTATGTTCTGAAATGAGAACAGCACACAGTGGTGATGCAATACACTATCTGAAGTAACATACAGACATCAGTGCCACTACTTGAGTCCACAATTACAGGCTTAATGAATGCAGTGGTTTTACTTTGGGTCGACTTTCCTAACAATAGACATTCAAAATACATGTCACTGGAATCTTTCTTTATTGGTCAATGCTGCACTTCGATGACAGCCTGTAAACAAAATTTAAGTCTGGACTGGAGTGATTAATATTGTGAGTACCCTGCTGTGTGAATGGGGTACGATGAGACGTGCTTAACCAAAAGGCAAGGAAACATAATCTGCAGAGTCTAATGTTTGTCAAAATCTCACCCATGATAGACCTGGCTCGATCTTTCTCCTCATTCTGAGCTTCAGACTGTTTACGTGCAGCTTTACTTATAAACACATCATCCACTTGGAAGTCCTCGTCTGTCTTCTCAGCAGCCTGGTGGAGAACAGATTTGTAGACCGTGAGAGAGCAACATGGTGTGCAAGTCTGTTCATAAACATGTCATTCTTGATGTGGAATGTCCAAAAGTGGGAAGGTCATTAACATATACCACTGATGTAAAACCAGCTCACACCAGAGAGTGAGTTTAGTTTTACGCCACTTTTAGCAATATTACGGTGGATGACACCAGAAATGGGCTTCACACATTGTGCCCATGTAGGGTATCGAACCCGAGTCTTCAGCATGATGAGCGAATGCTTTAACCACTGGGCTATCCCACCGCCCCTCACACTAGAGAGATGCTATCAAATAGGAATCAAAGTTGAAGTAGAGGTTTGGACCAATAGCGTTCAGGGCTACAATTCTTCACAGTATGACTAAAGTAGTAGATATCATATTGCGATATCATGGCAGCTTATTCAGTATGTGTTAAATTAAAAGGTCATCTGAACATTATTTCAGTTTTATCACAACATGTTGGCCTAATGTGTCAGGAAAGCCTGAGGCGATGCAGGATATGGACATTTATCACTTTGGTGAAACTAAGAAATTGGGTTTGATCTGATCTCACACCCCATAAATCATAATCAGGCATGTGATGAATGATCAAAGGATCCTGACATGTCTAAGGGGGGCAACTCTGCACATCTTACAATGCCACAGGCAACTAGACCACCCTGGCCCCAGTTCAATAAGCAATGGAACATTGACCAGATAGACTGCAGGATGAATGCAACAATCAATTTTCAATCAATATTTTACTGAAACAGGGGCAATAATCTTTTCATCCTTAGTAGCCACTGTTACAACCCCTTTCCTGTTCATGCAACAAGCATGTGGTGCTAAGGTCCATAGGACCAGATTCAGGAGTGATGCAAGTAAACCTCAAGGGAAGGGAGTCATTACTGGATGCAAGATACATATGGTGTTGATTCATGTCTTCAGCAAGTCAATAGTTGTTCATCGATGTAATGAGAGATGCTGATAAAGTCTTCTATTCACATGATCATACAACAGCTTAATGAAGATGTTAATCTGAAAAAGGCAGTACTGCCTATAGAAGTTTGAATCTCACCCTTCCAGCCAGTCGGGCAAACATGGCGTTCTGATCCTCCGCTGTTCCCATCTTCTCCCTCTCAACCTGCCAGAGAATACAGTCATACATCAGACTGTCACATGGTACTGAAGTGTTTCCCTGTCTCATGATTGGGTAATGTTTTACACAAGAGTATCTAATATCATGATAGTTATAAATGGGAATCTACCTGTCTCATGATTGGGTAAATGTTTTACCCAAGACAAAGTACATTAATATCATGATGGCAAACAAAAATTAACATAAATGAAATCAGAGTGCCGCTGTACAAAGAGATCTTAGTGTAAAGGTGATCGAAACTCCCATACCATCACATAGACTTATGACTGGCGTAGCGATAAGGTTGCTTTGTACAATGGCACCCTGGGGATTTAACATGTTCAAATACTAAAAGTTCAAGACCAATCTAAGAGGAATCAAAAACAGCTAACAGCAAGATGTGTCATCTTTCATTCTTGGAACAAATACATCAAAATAATACCACAGTAATGAAAGCCATAACTACCAGTAGCTACATCGCTCACTAGCCCTGATTAGTTAAAGACATACTGTGGGATAGTAGAACTTTAGGCTTTATGGTTGTGTTCGTATGAGTTATCACCACTTGGGCTAGCTTAAGGCTATTTTGCATTAACCATTGATTTCAGTAACCAATAGGATAGTTTCAACAAATCTTGGTTACATACCAGAGACTTCAGGCTGTGCTGGTCATCATCGTCAAAATACCTCTCTCGCTCGCCTCCACCTCCATGGGTCTGAACCTGAAACAGAATAAAAAGATGCATTTTAACCATTAAGTGGTAAAATCATGCATTTGTTATACCACCTTAATGCTAAGTGCCAGGCAGAAAACAAGTTCCAATTTTGATATGACACTGCCAGCTGATCCTATGGAATCTTAAACAACAAAAGTACTGCAAGGGTCTTACATTCTTCTTCCTCCGCCTCTTTCCTCCTGTCTCTCGGTCATGTTTAGCATCAGGCAGAGGCTGTACTAGTCCCCCACGGGTTGTGCGGGTCAGCACGACCTCCTCAGGTTCACCTTGACCCTGCTTCTCATGTTTGGCTGCCAGCTGAGGATTTTCCTCAATGACCTTACGAGCAGCATCTAGCTTTGCTTTCAGTTCTTCAGCCAGGGCCTAAAGAGAACACAACAGAATCTAGGAACTATTCACACAGTACTTAAAAAATAAGGAACCAGTTCACAAGATTAATGTACGATAAAAAAAATAAATTACAGTCAAACACTGTTGGGCCGAACATTGCGGAATCGAACCCACAGTTATACTGGAATAAAGGCTTGGTCAGTGTATCTTGAAGTATTTACATAGTTCCCTTCAAATTCAACACGATGGCATTTCACTGTATTCAAGTTTTGATTGCCCCCCAACACACACACACCAAACTTAATACTGAAAATATTGAATTCCTTGTAGTATGCAAAAACATCAAATCATACTATCGTCAAGAATGACAAATATATTTTGAAAAACTCCATATGCTTATTAAACACACATTTCTTAAAAAGCCTTACATTATTTCCCATTATTTCAGCTTTAAGAATTTTGGCTCCAAGAGCATTTAACTCTTGTGGTGACAGGATCTCAACAGCAGGAGTTGCCTCCACCTCCTCACTAGATGGCGCAGTATCTGCCTCAGACTCTGAACTACTGCTACTGCTGCTGCTGTCTGTACTTGATGAAGAGTCTGCGGGGAAAATCATTAGGGAGATGATGAAAAATCGGATGTCAGAAGAATTTCTAAACTCCTTAAGTTTTTGGGTGGGGTTTTCCCAACCACAGTTAACAAGAGTTGAAATAGAAGATTGTAAAAAGAGATATATGAGTGAGTTTTAACCCTGCTTTTAAAAGTATTCCACTTATATCACAGCATGTTAGCTTCATGCGGAAGGAACACCAGAAGTGAGGCAGGTTTCTACAACTTTGTGAAACCAACAAGCATGGGTGTAAAACTGACACACCAAGACATATAATCAACTAGGATTCTAAACCATAATCATAAGTTTCAGACTTGAACACAATTCTATCCCCTCATGAACATAAAAGACATAAAATAGATGGAAGATGGTGAAAAGAGACAAAGAACACAAGAAATATTGAGCCCCTTTTGGTGTGTTGGTGTTGTTCTACGCATGTTACACTGAAGCTAAAGTACTGTCGGAAATAGAAAAAAACTGTATTTTCTCATTTATCTCTACAATTTATGTAGTTGATATGTGAAAGTGTGAAATATCTGTTAATCTAAGTTCGGCCTAACTACAGTCTCAGTGGTAGAGAGATAGGAAATGGAGAAAAGGGACTTTACTGATGGGAAATTAGTGCAGAAATGAGCAATGCGGTTTTTTTCTAAGTCCAAAAAGACTTATTTGGAACAGACCATGGCTTTATGCAAATTAGTGTGCGACGATATTGTATTACAAAGGACACTTTTTAAATGCCCAATTTGAAATTAGATGTAGATTCATTATAAACGATAGCTGACGTAAAAAATAATAACTTTTATGCCAAACTATTAAGGATGTAGCTACCATGCAGTCTCACTGTCACTATAAAAAGAAACAGATAGGAGGGTTCGTCTCAAAAGCAAAACATGGGGTCGGGCTTGGGGATAGAGATATCAGCTAAGATAAGATAATCCTTAAGGGCAATTATACTGGGGAGGTACACGGCATGTCATAACAATTTACAAATAATATCCAGTCCTGTCGATCTTCGGGTGGTCATGCCACCTATATACTACGATGCGTTTCTATGGTTTTCGGGTATCATACTCTTTTACATATCTCAACATAAACTATATGAAAGAAAGACACATTAGATGTTAATCAATAAATGAGACATAGTCAACACACATGAAAAAGCACAAAATATCTTTGAGATGACCCCTTGTGCCTGTAGGCAGCACGTGCATTTCATGCCAGGTGAGTCGACGGTCCGTCGTCATACCTGGCTGAGCGACCTAATTGCCATCTATTGTCTGACCTATTGTTTTCAGCAGCTATTCGGGTTTTTTCTAAGTTTTGCCCGATTTTACGAGTAAACATGCTTTCCTGGATATCGTATTACGCATCCCACTGAATGCCCAGTTAGGCCGAAGTGGGTTATTTCGACACATGCTATTTGCAATTGTTTAAATTTTAGGGATACAGAGTAACAGCCTTAAACAGTTTTTTTCTATTTCCGACAGTACTATAGTGCCAAATTCCAGTGATGAAAGTGTTAACGTTCATCATGCTGACATGTCTACTGGCAAACAAGGATAAGTTGAGCACTGACCTGACAATTGACCTGTATTAGCATGTATGAGTGCCGCCCACTTGTGCTTGCCATTGTTAGCGAATGGGACCCAGGTTGATTAAGTGTAGTGCGACTTGCTACACCGACGTGAGAGTCTTATGAGCAAGGCGTGTACAGCTACCTGCAGAATCAATTTCATCGTCATGCAATGCACATGCACTAGCCTACATCTGCTCTACCTTTCACAAACCAAATGGGGTTGCTCATTGCCGTGCACCACCTACTTCTCGTAAACACGTTCACTGCGCCGGTCTAACTTACCCTTGTTTGCCAGTAAATGTTTATAAACCTCAACAGATACTGGGACAAGATCCCTAGCCCCCAAGTGTGTTATAGGAGCCTAATAAACAATGGACAATGGTTAAAATGGTGGCCTTCCTGACTGTCATCATAAGCCAACAGCATGAGATATTGGTCAACCACCGGCAGTGTTTCCGTTCTCCGGTATATACCTGAAAATCGCCGGTAAAATTTGTTGGGGACCGGTAGATTGAAAGCCAACCGGACACTGTGTCCAGTAAATAATCATGTATTAAAATAAAAAAATCATGGGTAAGCGAAATCACAGTCTTGCCTGTGCTTTCATGGTCGCAAAAGTTGTTATGTTTGGGAAATACCCAGGCTAAAAACAACTTTAAAATGAGTACTTACAGTATGGTAATAGGATATGACCAGCAAGTTTAATTCATGACCGGTAAAATGTTAGGTTGCCAGACACAGTGTCCGATAAATAATTTAGTCAGCGGAAACACTGCACCGGTATACACTTCTGTGGTTATCTGGAAATTTGATGAATGTGGACAAAATCAACATGCACGCATCCACTCATATTAGTCATGATCTACTTTTACAGGTCTAAAATGTCCACATGATATATCAAGAAAAATTGGCCACTGACTTTTAAAATGCCTAAAAATACAGTTTTCATCTACATGTATGTTCATTACAAAAGTGAAAAATGTTCTAAAATTTGATAATAGAATTGTGACACCCACATGACCAAGACCTTTTCCTGGAACGTCCATAATCTCTGGAGTCTCTATGTGACCTTGACCTTGTCTCTTCTTCCCTTGATGATTGAGAGTCGTTAGGCTTTTCATAGCCTTTCTTCTTCCATCTTGGGACATCATTACTTGATCTGTGATCTGATCTTGAAGACTGGTGGTTGTTAGATTCACGTGAATGTCTTCGTGAGTTGTCATCTGCAGGTTGAACAAATTGACGTTGGTTTCGTGGTTCCTCATCCTGATTTTCTGAAGGCCGCATAAATCTCTTTGAGTCCCCTTTAGACCGTGAATCACCTCCATCATCAGGCCTCATGAAAGTTCTAGATCTTGAACTATCACTATTGGATCTAGAGTCATCAGGTCTCATGAATGACCTTGACCTAGAGTCATCAGACCGTGACTCACCGGGTTTCATGAAAGTCCTCCTCGGCGCAGAGTCATCAGATCGCCTGTCTCTTGTTGAATCACCGGGTTTCATAAAATTTCTACCATCTTTGCTGTGATCAGTTTGAGAAGATCTACCATGTTTTGAACTTGGTGACCTTGACCTATAGCTCTGTTTCTCAGGAGATCTGGAATAGCTTCTTTTCCTGGCCCTATTCGGTGACCTTGACCTACTGCGACGAGGAGATCGAGACGACCTTCGACTACTTCTTGTAGGTGACCTTGACCTTTCTTTCTTCCATCTAGGAGGTGAAGGTCCTCTTTTTGATTGCCTTCTCTCCTTTTTCTCTGCATCAGCAAGCATCTTCTCAAATTTCTTCAAAGACTATAATAAACAGCAAAGTCAAGTTTAAATTGTTCCAGAAGCATTGTCAAAAAAAGCTCTACCAACATATCACCTTGTTCATCATCATTATCAAAAAAAAATAACACAAAAAAACAACAACCAGCCCCGAAGAGACAAAGCGCGATCAACAAGGTAGAGATCATGCAATCAAAATCATACACATTACTTGAGAAATACTTCCTCTGTAAGCAACAACAAGTCAAACAGTGACAATTAATAAGACAAAAATATTTTATTTCTCAAAGATGAGGAGTTTGTTAACTGATTTGCTCTGTAGTCATTTCCCTGCAAGTAGTTTTTACCATGAATGATCAACTTCAGCTACATGAAATGTGTACCTTAACCTGTACTGCCATCTCCTCCCTGTGAGGCTGTGAGACCCTCCCTCACAAGACTAGAACTTACCCCCCATCTTTCTGTTGCCTTTTATCTATTCCAGACTACCCTCCCTCACAAGAGTAGAACTTACCCCCCATGTTACCCCATCTTTCTGCAGCCTTTTATCTATTCCAGACTACCCTCCCTCACAAGAGTAGAACTTAACCCCCATCTTTCTGCAGCCTTTTATCTATTCCAGACTACCCTCCCTCACAAGAGTAGAACTTACCCCCCATCTTTCTGTTGCCTTTTATCTATTCCAGACTACCCTCCCACACAAGAGTAGAACTTTACCCCATCTTTCTGTTGCCTTTTATCTATTCCAGACTACCCTCCCTCACAAGAGTAGAACTTACCCCCCATCTTTCTGTTGCCTTTTATCTATTCCAGACTACCCTCCCTCACAAGAGTAGAACTTACCCCCCATCTTTCTGTTGCCTTTTATCTATTCCAGACTACCCTCCCACACAAGAGTAGAACTTACCCCCCATCTTTCTGCTGCCATCTCCTCCAGACTTCGACCCTCCTCGGCTGCCTGCTGCTTGCATCTCTCAAACGATTTTAGTAACCATGACAACCCTCCATCTCCTACCCCTGAATGGTTGCTTTTTGCTTTCGACTTGGAAGGGTTTTCCTCTGGTAATCCAGTTCCTCCATTTTGCCAGTAGGGGTTCAACTCTATCTTCATCCGTGCAGCCTATTAACATGATCAGGTTTGCTCAAGTTAACTTAACATTTGTGGATAACGACCATAAGAGCCCGATATAAGAGCCCGATATAAGTTAAGAGCCCGATATAAGAGCCAGATATAAGAGCCTGATATTTTAATGCTTATTTGTTCTCTATGTCCAATTCCTACTGTTCTGAATAGATTTGGGGGCTTGGCAACTTGGCCAAACTGTTTGTCTCATGCTAAAGGCATGATGGATTTCAGGACTTTTTAGGGATGTGGTATTTAGTCTATTTCATCATCATGAGGTAGGTTTGAAATGAGTTATTTACATCATGGACACATCTACAAATCAAACACCTCTTTCTCTTTGGATATTTCTGCATTCTTCTCCTCTTTTATTCTCATCTGTCTTTCTCGGATCTCCTTCCTGGATGTCGAGGGTATGTCAAACAACCCGGCCTCTTCCATCCAGCTGTCTCTCTGAAAACATCCAGGCAAATGGAGTTTAGCAGTACAGAGAAGTGCACTCCAATATCAGTTGGCAAGTAAAAGATAACTATGCCCATGAACCTGGCAGAATCTATTGAAACCACTATCTCAGAGTGGCACTCTACATGGTGCAAAGCAGAGATAACCCGATATGAATCTGATGCTAGCTGAATTGTTTGAACTTACTTTGTGATTTTATGTTCGAACCCAGCCTCATAATCCTTTTTTATGTATTTGTTGTTTAATGTCACACAATATTCCAGAGATAAGATAGGTTGATGTTCATATTAGGGTTGGGGCAGACAATCCAGTAATAGACATGATGAGCATTGATCTTGTAACCAGGATCAGCCAGCGTGATCAGATTGATCCAAGTCTTGTCATACTTAAGACTCTTACATTACACCTCCAGTGAGCAGTGTCAAAAGTCAGATGTTTCAGTATCACAGCTAAATCATTGTGACCACTGTGATGTTTGGTGATGGAAGAAACAAAACAGCACATGCAAAGACACAAAAATACTTTCACTTGAAGTTTTGAAATGACTACTATAGTATTCAATTTTTCCACTGAGAAGAATACCAGTAATTTCTCTAAACAGTTTGGTATTGAGAATCTGAGTTTCCCTATTGCAGCAACTTCTTCATGCCACATAAGATTCTATGGAACACACCACATGCACTGTTTCTTGTTTAACACCCCACTCAGCCATATTCCAGCCAGATTACAGCAGTCTGTAAATGATGGAGTTTGGACCAGACAATCCAGTGATCAACGACATAAGCATCGATCTACCAAATTGGGACATGATGACATGTGTCAACGAAGTCAGTAAGCCAGACCTCCCGATCCGGAACATGGGTTACTGAAGAATAATTCTAACCCGGATCTTCACAGGTTCCACATCATAGTTTGATTTACAGGACAGTAAGGTTAAAACAAACGAGAAGTAATTGTATTTGCTTATGACAATGTCACTGAGTAACAAACAGAATATTATAAGTAAAACTTTTATGGATGATCTGTCCCTTGTGAATACATGAAGTGAGTGCCTTGTCCAGGGCTTATGGATTACACAATTCATTCACTCTGTAATATATTGTTACCCCTTGTATTTTACTGATAGATTTCAACTCATTACCTGAAGAGTGGGTCCCATCACTGGACGGACAGATTCCTTGGGAGCGGCTGACACACTACTGGACTTCTCAACCCACTGGTCATCGGAATCAGAACCCTGGTTTACAAAACATATCTGACTTAGCGATGTTCCTGTGATTGGTCATCCTCTGTCAATGCGATGGGTGATAATATGAATCTACCAGATGAACATAATAAACATATATCAACCAGGACAGCACAGATATTTATCCATAAATAATAAGACTTGATTTTTCGTGTGTTTTGAATCAACAATATAAAAATAAATGCGTTATGTAGCAGATGAAGGGAAATGGGGTTTAACATCAAACTTAAGAATATTTTGCTCATATGACGACATGCACGCCTGTGTATGTGCGGCTGCTTGTACTAGCCCAGACTTAAGCTGGTTTTATAGTGCTAGCCCACTGAGATACCATGCCGCAGTTAAGCATGAATACCCCACTGAGACACATTATACTGACTCGATGCCGACCAGTAGTGTTGGGAATCAGAAACCAAATCAACTATCAATTATCGGCGGACTTGCGGTGAACGATTAATGATTATAATCGAAATACATACATTTATAATGTAATCACTAATCTTAAGGGTTTTTCCCCATTTTTTAAAAAACAAAAGTCAAAGTTAAAGAACTTGTTTGTGAGATACTACTTTTTCCAAAGTTACTCAAACGCTGTTGTGTTAAACTTTGATGTGTTGAACATATTCTTGTCTGGAAGTAAAAGCTTGGTTACTTGGTTATTGAGTCATTATTTGAAGGTTTTGCTGAACTCTGGATAACTCAAAGTACTTACATAGGTCCTGTCAACTTCAACACAACAGTGTGTGATTGTATATTGCCTGTATGAACAATTTATGTCAAGATAAACAAATCATGGGTACATTCTAGCAATCCTATATTCATAATCACATGTTTCTAAACAGTGATTGTCCATAATGGGGGTTGTCCAGACTAAGAAGGTTTGGTTGTACACAAACGTTGTTTAGCTTAACCTACAGAGTCTGAGTCACTGTCTGAGGAAACATGTTTTTTCTTCTTTTTCTTCTTTTCTTTCTTTAATTTCTTTTTCTCCTTCTTCTGTTTCCTTTTTGCCTTTTCTGCAGTCTGAAAGTTACAGAGAAAAAGTGTCATCTTTAGGTCTATAAGCTCTGACAACCTGGAGGTGAACCGAACTGGGGTTAAATAGGTTATATCATGTTTAAAGCAACATGCATGGATGTGTGTGGTGCTGCTCGGACGAACATTTCTAATCAATGCACACGAAATATGCTGGTTTACAGTGGTATACACCATGCATGAGAAATACTGAGACTTGTGGAGGTGCTCATTTGTCTAAGCACTAAAGCATTTCACTCTTGTTGGAAGTTGGCTGTGTCTTTATTCATTGGTTATAATAACTACATCACCAGAAAACAGACGAATCTATTCACAGGTGATGGAGGAAGGCATTGTATATAAACCCGTAAAGTATTGAAGACATAAAATCATGATAGTATATATTTTCATTAGGGCTGGGACTGGTAGCCCGGATACCCGAGACTGGTGGGTAATGAATTGGACCCGGGTACCCATCTCAGTGCATGGACCCGTTTTGATCATGTGACAAATAGATTAAACAATGTACCGATAATATGTTATTCTTTCATGATTAAACGGTTGTATTGTCTTTGAAGATTTAGACATAGTTACAGTCACTTCTTTTGAATATAATACATGGTTAAGATATTAGCCTCCAAGATGTAAATATATTGTCATTTATAACAAATTTGATGTCAGGAATCAACGTAACGGGTATCCGGGTAGGGTAGGATAATAGGGGGTGGGGTACCTGGGTAGAAAATTTGAACCCGTCCCATCCCTAATTTCCATTAAGCTAACTGTTCACATATAGATATTGGAGTTCATAATAAAGTGACGAGAAATAGTGTCACCTTGCTATCAGATTGTATCCTGTCTGTGATGGCTGGCAGCATCCACCGGTCCTCTCCCCGTGCTGCAGCTTCCTGTCGGCGCCTTTCCTCTCTGTCATATTTGCTCTTTGCCTGCAAACACAGCAATATGTGAGGTGAGGTGAGGTGAAATTGGGTTTAATGTCGTGCTTGAGAATATTTCGCTCATATGACGACGTGCATGCGTGTGTATGTGTATGTGCGGCTGCTTGTACTAGCCCAGACTGAAGCTGGTTTCATAGTGCTAGCCCACTGAGATACCATGCCGCAGTGAAGCATGAATACCCCACTCAGACACATTATACTGACTCCGAGCTGACCAGTCCTTGATGTACCCATTAATGCCGAGCGCCAGGCAGGGACCAACAAGTACCATATTTTAATGTCTTTTGGTATGACGCGGCCAGGGATTGAACCCCCGACCTTCCGCTCTCCGCACAGCAATATGTGTACAGGGTTTCAAATCCAACTATTCCAGAATTAGCTTAATTTTGGATGAGTGGGTTACATAAAATAATAACACATAAAACACATAAAAATTTCCTCTAGATTTTCACTAGTTTTTGTAAAAGTTTGGTAACTTTTACATGATGAACTGTCAGGCTAATATACATCACACATATTGATATACACAAATATTTAGTTAGAAGGAAAAAAAGAGAGAACAAATACTCCCATAATGACAAAATCTTTAAGTGGCATTTTAGAAGTTGGGAAATATAATATTGAACAGACTTTATCGATAACTTCTTTTGTTTTGTGAGTGCAAAATTCCTGCATGACAACAGTACAAGAATTTGTGTCGAAATGGTCACACTCACAAAATAAAAGACTGACTGACTGACTGAGTTTGGTTTTACGCTGCTTTTAGCACCATTGTACCCAATTGGGGATTCGAACCCGGGTCTTCGTTGTGACGAGCCAATGCTTTGACCACTAGGCTACCCCACCGCCCCACACAAAATAAAAGAAGTTGTTATACATAAAGTTTGTTCAGTATTTTGTCATGACAGTTGAAGGAATATATGTTTTTTAAGGTATGTGTAGTTTGTTAGGTTGTTGTTGTCAGTGGGGATTTCTTGGTGGTGTAGGTTATATCAAAATAACCGTCAACATTGCCAAAAGAAGATAAACTTATTGGGAGTACTGCACTTTACCGGGCGCACTTTTTCAGATCAATTAGCGCTGCTGGGGTTCCCTAACCCTAAGGATTGTAAAGGGTGCCTAACCCTAACCCTAAGGATCGTAAAAGGTGGCATACACTTACCCTAAACCTAAGGCTCGTAAAGGGAGCAGCGAGGGCTGCGCCCGGTAAAGTGCATTCTAGCCGGACAATACAATTACCCAATTCAGAATACCTTTTCAAGAACATTGTCCCTCGCTTTCTGCAAGTATTCCCTTTCTTGGTCAATGGATGTTTTACTTTTAAAGTTTATCCCAGCCATTTTGCAGGGGACGTAACTCTGACGATGAACAACCGGTGACAAGTAAAGTTACCACCTTATGTAATCTAATCAGCTCATGTGCATTCAAAGAAGACCAACAAAATGAAACAGAGGCACGCAACACAATATATAACTTAACATGATTTAAAGAAGATCACCTATTGTATATCCAAGATTTAGAATTCGGTGTATTTCAAAATTTGTTATTTTGTTGTATTGCTAGATTCCGTGGTAAATAGAAACATCGAACGAGCAGTAATTTGATTGTTTGTCTATCCGTTTGTTGTTTAACGCAGGATTCTGTAAATGATCCATCTGTATGGCGGATAAAAGAAACTTCCCACTCATTTTGAATGTGAGGAAAACAAAATCAAAGACAAATATAGTATTAGGCTGTTTAATGTCCATAACATCACATCATATAAACAGTGAACCAAACCCACAATAAATGTGAGTGAGTTTAGTTTTACGCTGCACTCAGCAATATTCCAGCTGTATGGTGGCGGTCTGTAAATAACCGAGTCTGGACCAGACAATCCAGTGATCAACAGCATGAACATCAATCTCGGCAATCTGGGATACGATGACACGTGTGAACCAAGTCAGCGAGCATGACCACGCTATCCCGTTAGTCACCTCTTACGACAAATGGGTTACTGAAAATCAGCTCTAACCCGGATCTTCACGGGTAATGAACCATTATGAAATAAGGAATGAACACAGGTAGGGGTAAAACCAGACAGTTTTCAAAACAACACAGACGTAACAAGTTCATTGTAGAACTCCAAATGTTGTTCTTTGGGGGATTTTCTTGTGCCTAATGTCGTGTGAGTTGTTATGCTGAACAACTCGAGCAGTATGTGGCCTGGCATTGTCCCACTGCGGAATGGTTCCCCGAGATTGTCCACCGATCGAAGAAATATTTGTGCATTTAGATGACCATCTGTGATAACTTGGCGTATTTTCAGATCACAGAAATCCCTTCACATACCATAACATCACCTCATCCATGTGGGTAGTGTAATTGAACCCTCCCATTTGTAGTTGCTCGCCTCTTCTGTAATCATGTATTGTCTATTAATCAACCAGCATGGTGGAGTGAGAATAGACGTCGTTTGTGAACATTAGGTGCTGCCAATGACGTTGCTGCCAACGACAAACAGTCCATGCCCAAAGCAACCAGGCTTGTCTATGTCTGAGAGTCAAAGTAATTCCATGCAGTGGACGGCGGTGGGGTAACCTAGTAGTTAAAGCGTTCGCTCGTCCCGCCGGAGACCCGGGTTCGATTCCCCACATGGGTACATAAGTGAAGGCCATATCTGGTTCCCCCACTGAGATATTACTGGAATATTGCAAAAAGCGGCGTAAAACTAAATTCACTCACCCCAATAGGCCCATATACCCACAGCGCGTAGACGTCGTGTGACTGGGGATGGGCTGGTACGCCCCCGGTCTTCCTAATCTAGGACTGTCACCAATTCTGTCTGTCAGCCGGTAACACTGGAAAAGTATACTACTCACACTTTGCTAAGGATCACAAAAATTCACAACTTTCCTTAATTGTAGATTCATAATATCAAATTGTATTCATTAAAACTGGATAAATAATAATAATATGGTAACCCCTCTTTGGGCAAACAGTCACTTTAATCTAGTCTTATGCACTTGATACATGAGTAACTATCAAAACCATTTTGCAAATCATGGAACGAGTCATTGACAAGTACACAACACCTGTCAATAGCAGGTATGGGTTCCACAAGATGAAATGACATACTGAAACCTAGGATCCATGCTTATAATAAGCTTAGATATTTAAATCAAATTTGAACCCACATCATAGTTTTCTGTTGAATCCATGATTTGATCCTTAGAAAAGTGTGAATAGTATACATACACCGGGCGTCTTGAATACCCCAAGGTTCTTGCGATATGGGTCTGTGACGCTCCAATGCTCATCACCAATGGCTCTCTCGCGCTCTTCCAAAGATAAACGTGGCATTTCTTTTGTGTGTTTTTTTAATTCTCAAAAGCAAAAGTTATTGTGACACACAAACAACAAATAGAATCAGTGTTTAAGTTTTATTGCCGCGAATGAAATATTACTGGGAAAGACGCCTGTTTCAAGGCACAGTAACGATCTACAGTCAAAAGGAACAGCTGAATTGGCATATGCAAATGAGACACAACGACAGAGCAGGTTAAACAAGCAAGTTCAAAGGTCTGTAATCCCACCCCGAATCATAACGCCTCCACCTCCAAAACAATCCCCTTCCAAAACACGTGGTCAGATGTAGGGTTCACCTGTGTGCTTGCAGACTTGTATGTTTTGCAAATGGTCTGGCAGATACACCTCTGTTGCCAGGTAATGACACGGGCTGTAACAGTTGCTGTCTGGACCCTTCGTCGGATCCACGTGTCTTGACGCGAGGTCGTTAATGGAGTGAGTGAGTATTGTTTAACGCCGCTTTAGCAATATTACAGCAACATCACGGCGGCGGACACCAGAAATGGCTTCACACATTGTACCCATGAGGGGAATCGAACCCGGGTCTTCAGCGTGACGAGCGAACGCTTTAACCATTAGGCTACCCCACCGCCCCTCGTTACTGGAAGGCGGCCACCACGGGACGGTCACTACAGGGACGGCCTATAACCTGACTGTTTAGCTGAAAACGTCGCCAAATGGTCGCCTCTGTGGAGTGAGTGAGTGAGTTTAGTTTTACGCCGCACTCAGCAATATTCCAGCTATATGGCGGCGGTCTAAATAATCGAGTCTGGACCAGACAATCCAGTGATCAACAGCATGAGCATCGATCTGCGCAATTGGGAACCGATGACATGTGTCAACCAAGTCAATGAGCCTGACCACCCGATCCCGTTAGTCGCCTCTTATGACAAGCATGGGTTACTGAAGGTACATTCTAACCCGGACCTTCTCGGGTGGTGCCTCTGTGGACGTTGAACCGACGAGGTACCAGACTGAAGCACATCTATAGCTCTCCATATCATTTTCCCTGAGGCGTGGCATCTCGAACTTGTTCCAGAACGAACAGAAGGGATTTCTCTGACTTCTGTATACTTCTTAAAACTGCATTGAGTGGTAATTTGAACAATATATACAGGCACATAAAGAACTGTGCATACAAAAATTTAAAATCTATTATATTTTATCAAACCTGTGTAGACACATAAGGATTTAAACTCAGAGATTAGTGACATTTATCCAACATGCATGCACGTGCCACGTTCCGTGACGTCAGTGGGTTCGTCCTTGAGACGTGCAATACGTTGTTGCACGTGCATTCCGGGAAAGAGAAACAGAGCAAATGAATGCCACACAATACTGTCACTTTGGAAAGCTCAACCCCTGCCCTTGCGATCGTTAAAAAAATTAAACGGCTATTGAAACGCATAGCATGCCAAGGCTCACGTCTGCACAACGTCATGAGGCCATTGGGATGGTCCGTGGGAGAATGTCTCAACGACAAGTGGCTGCACATTTCCACTGCCGATGTGACTAACGTTTAATTCACTCATTCTTCGACCATTTCAACACACACTTTCTCTGGTTCAAATCCAAAAATTCATTCACAAGATTACCAATGAAAAAATTAAATGTACACAAACTTTTGCCACTGAGTATATTTGGCATATCAAACGGTTGACCAGCTCTGTTATACAACTTTGCACGCGCATTTTTGTGAAGGGTGCGAGAAACACCTTTTACCGTGTTTGTGGGGGTCTACGGAATGCACAAATTTATCGCAGTAATGATGGGCATAGACAGCGTTGTAGTGTTTGGGCGAATGTTTTCAGAATGGAAACATTTCAAAAGCCCATCATGGTTCGAACCAATAATATTTTTAAAAGCAAGGACTTGTCTTTTGCGTCAGTATTCTCTGGAGATATGGTGACATGCACAGTCGAGTTTGGATTGTTTATATGTTGGCACCATAAACCCTTGGATCGTTGTTTCAGACGAGTATTAACAAACGGGATACCTGTACACTTTAATAGGCTCTCGGGTGAGGCAGTTTGACGTGTAACGTTACGCTTTCGGTCGAGCCAGGATTCCGTGAACTGTCAAATCTCACATTCGTCATGATTATGAATTTATGATCCTTAGTTTGCACTCAGCAATAATCCAGCTATATGGCGGCGGTCTGTAAAGTCTGGACCATACAATCCTGTGATCAACAGCATGAGCATCGATCTACCCAATTGGGACACAATGACCCAAGTCAGCGAGTTTGACCACCCAATCCCGTTAATCACCTCTTACGATAAGCACAGGTTGCTGAAGATCAGTTCTAACCCGGATCTTCACGGTTCGGGTGAAAACGAAAAGTCAAAACGGCACATTTAGTTGTTAATGTTGTCGGAGGCTGATAAGTCACGAGCTGGATGAACCAAACCTGTCGATGTGCGTGTCTCATGATCATCACCACGTCATGGCATGTTTCATTATCACATTATCAGTACTGTCACATAAATCTATTCTTTGTACTCGCTTTGAACGCAGATAATCTTTTAATGGCATCAGAAAACCTAGACTGTAGGGTCTGGTCGAAGAGAAGAAGGCTGTTGGCTCGAACCCAAGTATCTACCAAGCTGTGCTTCACAAAAATAGTTTAGGGAAGAAGGAGAATATATCACAGGGCACATAACAACTCGTCACCGTCATGGGCACATTTATTTGGAGTTACCCCCCTTGATGCGACAGAGGGCATTATCGACAAAAATGGCGACGCATTTAACGCAAGGGGAACTCCCGAGTTTGAGTTTATGAAGTTTAGTTTTAGGCAATTATCTATTTTGAACAATGAGTGAAAAAGACGATGCTAGTTCTACGAAGGAAGAGGGAGAATTATCTGACGAGGAAGAATATGATGACTCGAGACGTGACCGAAATTTTGAGAGAAAAACTAGACCTTTAGAACCTCCGAGAAGGGAAAGGCATAGAAGTCCACCATCTTGGTCAAGATGCTCTAGACACTCCGACGAGTTAGACTATCGTTACAGACAAGGCAGAGAAGAAGGGGGGTTTTGGGCACCACCTGTTGGTTTGTGCCCACCACCACCTCGTCCCCCAATTCATTTTTACGACAATTTACCCCTAAGACCTCATGCTCCATTACTAGGAAGCCCCCGTGTTATGAGGATTCACCCCTTAGATTATGGAAGAGACAGACCGGTTCATCGTTCAGAAGATTTTAGGGACTCTTACCCTCCATCATATCAGTGTATCCAACACAGCTATGCTGACATAATAGGTTACATATTTGTTTTTTAACCCATCATTATGGACTGCTTGCTCATGCATATCTGTGTACCTATGGCTGAGACTCCACGTTTAATTTTTATGGTTTGTTTGTTGTTTAACATATTTAATGCCAAAATGGTTATATCTCAGTTCTGTGACAATGAAGTGAGGATCATACAATACAGTCATACATAGCCATACCGTCAGGGTACATTGACATGCACTCAGCCAAGTCAACCTATTTACAATATCCATTTTAACATGGTTATTCGTTGGTTTCACATTACTTTTCAACTCGCTATGATAATGCGCAGAGTGTGTGAAATATATCCACTAGCCTGTTTCCGGATTGGCCGTATGTTTACCGATAGTGTAAATACACTCTGAACTAAAGGTGTTATGAAAATTATGTTGTGACAACTTTTCATGAAAATAATATTTACGCGTTGTGACAACTGTTCATAGCTGAGCACATACGTTCCATTTGCCTATGCTGGAATATTTGAATAATTGATCATAGCTGAGTACCTATGCTTTTGAATTGATGTCCCATTTTGGTTGCAATTGCACCAGAGATGTGGGGTGTTTTTAGTTGTGAGAAGGGGATGTGTGGGAAGGACGGTGGTGGGGAGATGTCTTCATACAAGAGCTTGTGAACATTGAAGCTATTTATATAACTAATCCCGGTCTTTGTTTCATAAATCAATTGGGATCAGTTGCATTTGACAAACTACATTTAACATTTGTTTTGATATTTGTTTTCTTTAGAATGTGTTTACACTCGGTAATGCATATGACGAAACTGGAAGTTGGCCAGTGGATATTTTTACATGCTCTGCGCATGCGTACAGCGAGTTGAAAAATTAATGTGAAACCAACAAATGGTGATGCTATCTGCCATTGTAATCATACATATTTAGTGTTGAATATTGTGTGGTGTTCTTGGCACTTGAGCATTGTGTTAAGTTCTGCTCCTATGTTACATTTAAAAAAAATATAATTTCATAACGACTCCCCTCAGTGTAAAAATTCTAATCATTAAAGTTATGACAAGGACCCTGTAACTTTCATGCTAAATTTTGAAGGGGCAGTGGGGTAGCCTACTTGTTTAGGCTTTCGCTTGTCAAGCAGGTTTGATTCCCCAAATGGGTACAATGTGTCAAACCCATTTTTGGCATCTCCAGCTGTGATATTGCTGAAATATTGCTATAAGCAGCATAAAACCACACTAACCCACTCACTTTATTTTGAACAATGGAGAATGCTATGAAGGTTATTTCAATTTAATTAATGAATTTCAATATCTGTTTTAAGTAACAATAGAAAAATATATAGAGATATCTGCATGGTAATTATTCAGTCTAAATATATTGATGTAAACATATTAAAATAAAATTTAAGTGGTTGGGTAAAAAATACCTTGTGTGAAACAGTTGAAAGGAGTGATCAAGTAAATAATAGTACTCAATAGGGCTGTTGTGGAACAATTTAAATCTGATTTTTAAAAAAAATCGAGCATTACTTTTTGTTTATCAAGGTTATGTGCCAAACACAGTTGTTTACGTTTGCAAATACAACTTTCAAACTAGTCCCTTTTCGTTATTTAGCTCTTTTTGTCACATACTATCCTTAAGAATAATGCAGTCAGGAAAAACTGGAGATTCAATATTCGCCAAGGACCGGGAAAAAATAATAGAAGAAACCAGGATTCTGATGAGGGAAACTTTGAGGAGCTGTTAGAGAAATATCGAACGATACAGAAACAGCTTGAAAACCTAGAAGAGGAGGAAGGGGAGACAACTGGCACCAGTTCTCCTGCTGCAGGCTCCGAGAAACCGAAGGAGCAGTGTGTCAAGGATGGCAAAACGGGGGAGGGACAAGCAAAGAATAGTGACCAGTCTGGAGGGGTTATCGTTATTGATAGCTCTCCAGACAAGGTTGAGAAGAAAAATGATGGCCTTGAAAGTACCGTGAAAAAAGAGGTATGTATTTGTTGGTGTTTTAATACTCACTAAAATAATAGATGTATGGGTGCAAATTAGACGTTTTTCTGATGGTGACCCCTGTATGCAAAACTTTGTCACACATTGTTATTTAGGTGATCTGAACAGTTCCTTATGATAGAACAGCCAGGTGTGTGAGTTGTACATGTGAAATTGAAATTTCACTACACGCTTGTTGATTGCCTGGCTGTTCTATCAGCAAGTGGTCCCCCCTCATAAAAATTAGCAACACGTGAAACAAAATAATGAATGTTTGTTAAGCAACTTTTTTATTCAAGTGTCCAAAATTATGAGACAAATCATCAGAGTTTGTCTGTTGGTTTCATGTGACTGTGCAAACTTTGGTTTTATTGCAATCATTAGATTTTGTGTTAGTGAGCAATTCATTGGTCTTAAATGGAATCAAACGGACTGTAATGTTTTACGAACTTGAACATAAATGTCTTTTCCTGACACCTAGTGTGACAAGGCTGGAAAGTGGACTTGAATGGTCTGTTAACTCCTTTGACTCAGAAAGATTCTTGAAAATGTTTCATAACATATGCTCATTTAACATTTTGATTTGAAAAACAATCTATGAATAGTTAACAGACGACCTTCATCTTCCAACCCATAAAGATCCAGGTTAGGATTGATCTTCAGCAACACGTTTGTCGTAAGAGGTGACTAAAGGGATCGGGTGGTCTGACTTCGCTGACACGTCATCCGTATCCCAATTGTGTAGATCGATGCTCATGCTGTTGATCGCTGGATTGTCTGGTCCAGACTTGATTATAATATAGCTAGAATATTGCAGAGCCCGGCGTAAAATTAAACTCACTCACTCCTCCATCTTCATTTCACATTTTGTATTACTCACTTAATGATTTCTTCGTCTTAAGTAAGATATGCTTAATTATAACTAGACTAAATATAATTTACTAGTAATGCATATGTTGTCGTGATTACAGAATGAAGAAGAGGAGGAGTTGGATTTGGATGAGCTGAGGAAGATTGCACTAGCTTCAACTGGAGCTCGTGCCAACAAGACAGCCGTTAAATCAGAACCCACCAAAACATTGCTCTCAAATGGGAATCTAGCCAAGAAGGTTAGCCCTAAGTCATCGGGAAGTAGGAACACAAAAAGTCAGAGATCCAGAGATGCACCCAGAAGATCGATACATTCCCGTGATAGATCAGATCGAAGACGAACCTTGTCTGGTAATTATTTCTTCATCTGTCCTCCCCATGTTCTTTCCATGGACCCCATAGATACATTGTTAAGACTTTGTTAGAGTACACTTGACTAACATGCACTGGTAAATCACTAGTATCAACATTGCCTGTTGTTCGATGATTGAAGGTAAATGTTTGGGTTTGAATCCCACAGTCATTGTTTTATGAATTCTTTGTCATGGTGGTGGGGTAGACTTGTGGCTAGAGTGTTCGCTCGTCATGCCAAAGGCTAGGATTTAATTAGGAAATAAAGTTCGCTCTACCCCAATGTGTTTTGTAATAAAGTATAGTTTTGCCCTGAACTATTATAATTAAAGCACGAGGACGGTAGTCCGAGTGCTTTGATGTTATAATAGTTCAGGGTAAAACTATACTCTTTATTACAAAACACATTGGGAAAGTAAGCTTAACTTTATCTTTCTAAGATGCCAAATTTAATACTTTCTAAGGATAATTACGATTAATTTAAGGCAGAAAACAAACGACGGTGTCGGTGACCTAAATTAAGAATCCTCGCACAGGGCTAACTGGTGCGCTGTTCTATTGATGTGTCAGCTCCCCTACGTTAAGACGAACGTTACCAGAAAAAAACAAATGATAACAGTTTGATGACGGTTTACGTTCGGATTAAATATCTTCTCTGAATTATTTTAATTACATCTGTCATTAACGTAAACCATATGGGGCAATATGAGCGTCGCATTTCTACTACCAACGTAAGTTTAGATCAGTACATCCAGATGAAGCTGAGTAGTCAAGCGACATTCCACGATTGCATTGTGGGTATGTAAACATTGCGAACGTTACCGTGTCGCTGAAAACTTGTGAGTCGAATTGACACATTTTAACCGTAGTAAAACATAAACGTAATGTTTCCACCAGTGATGTTAGCTGCGTGAAGCAAATGCAAACCAAGGAACGGGATGCAACGGAGTAGTTTACTGTAGGAGGCCGTACGAGGCGATGACAACTGACATGCATCGTGACGTCACTTACATTGTGACGTAATGTAAAATAATTCGATTACGAGGGGGCAGACTAGAATGGCGCAGTGACGGGACAACGTCATTCAATTGATACGTCATCAAAAAACTATACCTTTATTGTCTGATAATGTATTTTTTTTCGATTGTTCTAACCGCTAGGCATCTTAGAATTCCTAACATGGGTACAATGTGTGAACTTGTAAAAGTACTAGAATCTCTACTTTACTTACCCGTGAAGGTCCGGGTTAGTATGAGCCTTCAGTAACCCATGCTTGTCGTAAGAGGCTACTAACGGGATCGGGTGGTCAGGCTCGCTGGCTTGGTTGACACATGTCATTGGTTCCCAATTGCGCAGGTTAATGCTCATGCTATTGATCACTGGATTGTCTGGTCCAGACTCGATTATTTACAGACCGCCACCATATAGCTGGAATAATGCTTAGTTCGGCATAAAACTAAACTCGGTCACTCACTCCACTTTACTTAGAAAGTGTAATCCCAAATATAACATGTTACATTGGACCCCGTTCTATAATGGCATTGTGTATTGAGGCTTTCAGTGATAGGTAACTGAAATATTGTTTAAAGCAAATTTCACACCTATCACCAACCCATGCATTCGCTTCTTGCTCCAGGAAAAGACAGTCAGACATCAAGGTCTCCAAGAAAAGTTCAACAAAGGCGATCTAAGAGTAACGACAGAAAGAAGACACTACCTAAAAAAGACAATGAGTTTGAAAAACAAGAAATTGAACGGATACTGTCCCTTTCGGATACTGATGAGAAGATTGCTCGGTTCCTTCAGCTGATTAACCACAGAAGCAAGGTGAGATAATGTGTTGAACCCCATGTTAAAAGTTTTGATGTATTTGTAGCACCTGCATTTAAAGTAACAAACTGCCATATAGCTGGAATATTGCTGAGTGCGGCGTTAAACAACAAACCAACCAACTAAAGTAATAAACAAATCAAGAGGTATGTTTCCTCAGTCTAAGTAAACTTAGGCTCAGTATTATTCGTTACCCTGCTACTGAGTCTAACAAAACCTAGTAGAAGGCAGGGCTGGAAATAACTTTATAATTGCAAGTGTACTCCGGTACAGTGGCACAAGTAAAATCACTTGCCCTGATAATTTTTCCACTATACTGGCCGATTTTCTTGTTGATTTTTTAAAATAGACATAATTAACATTGGAAAGTCAACTGGACACCGGTACAGTGTGATATACAAATTTGCTTGCCCGACAGAAAAAACCACTGGACTCGGATGTCGGGCAATGGGTTATTTCCACCCCTGAGAAGGTCTGGTCAGCTAACCTTTGAGCGACCTTTGACCGTCCAATCAAACGTGAGACGGCTAAACGTATTTAACCAATCAGACAACGACTACTTGTTAGGGTTCGGTGGGACTTACAAAACGGTTTTTGGATTTTCTTTTCCCTGGTTGCTGACATTGATCTATCAACAAACGAAAATCTGCATAAAACAGATATTTGACCTGCAGTATGTACGCTTATGGGGTTCTAATGACATGGCTACTATTTGCTTATATTTTCGCAAGATGACATCCTTGAATATTGACAAACGCTATTTTCAGCAACTGTTTACTCATTGCATGTATCGCCTCCGTGGTGTAGTGGTTAGAGCGTCCGCCCGGAGAGCGGAAGGTTGCGGGTTCGATCCCGGCAGCGTCATACCAAAAAGCGTTCCGCCGGCGGCCATACCAAAAGACGTTAAAATATGGTACTTGTTGGTCCCTGCCTGGTGCTCGGCATTAGAGGGTACATCAAGGACTGGTCGGCTCGGAGTAAGTATGTGTCTGAGTGGGGTATTCATGCTTCACTGCGGCATAGTATCTCAAAGGGCTAGCAGCTTCAGTCTGGGCTAGTACAGGCAGCCGCACATACACATACACACGCATGCACGTCGTCATATGAGCGAAATATTCTCAAGCATGGCGTTAAACCCCATTTCACCTCACCTCACCTCATTGCGTGTATCACTCTGAAGCGATCGTGCAGAAAATAATTTTGGAATCGTTCGAGTTTGAGGTAAAGGTTCAAACAGTATGTGCGAATGTTAAATTTCGCGATTTGGTAAGCTGTGTTCTGATTGGTCAGCCCAAATGTTAGCTGACTCGACCTTCTACAGTTCTACTAGGTTTTGTTAGACTCAGTACCAGTGTAACGAATAATACTGAGCCTAAGTTTACTTAAACTGTATGTTTCCTAAGAAGTGGGTGAGAAACAGTGATGGTGCATGTATTAGCAACAAAACAATATTTGTTTGTATAGTTAAATAAATATCCTCCTTCTAAGACTTACCAGCAGGCATAGAGACAATTCGAGCATAAAATATGCGAAGAGACCATTTTCACACATTATCTATGACATTGAATTATGATGTTACAACCACCTGTAATTACGTGATGCAATTGTTGTGCAGGTGAAGGGCAAGGCTACAGGAAGTAAGTCTGTGGAGGCCAAGGCCAACAGTGTGCAGCTGCAGGACAACTATGAGGAGGTGGAGATGGAGATTGACAGCAGTGAGGAGTCAAGCAGTGAGTAATGGCAGTCTAATGTCAGAGACTTCATGTCCTTGATGCAATAGACCCTTGAAGATCCGGGTTAGAATATTGATCTTCAGTAACCCATGCTTGTCGTAAGAGGCGACTAACAGGATCTGGTGGTCAGGCTCGCTGACTTGGTTCACTCATGTCATCGTATCCCAGTTGCGTAGATCAATGCTCATGCTGTTGATCACTGGATTGTCTGGTCAAGACTCAAATTATTTACAGATCGTCGCCATATAGCTGGAATATTGCTGAGTGCGGCGTAAAACTAAACTCGCTCATTCACGCTTGATGCAATGAATCACTGAAGATTGTGTTCCATTAAAAGGTCTGTTGGATGTGGGTTTTGATCCCAAAATTGACCTGATGATAGTTCTTGGTCTGTCTGTGCATTGTCTGTGTTAATGGGGTTTATGGGGCTCCTGGGTCCTGACCAACAAAGCTTTCATAGCACTTGGCACTCGTAAACCTATGTGAAACCATTGAGTTGTGATTGGTAGTAATGCAACAAACATTTTGTGGGTCAGCGCCCTGGGGACTCATGCTTTTTGGGGGTAATTAGGTTCCTTGTGTGGCAACTTCCAATGACAAACTGTAAGTACCTGTGGAAACTTATGCTATGTGGATGTGATTTTCCTTATTTGTAAGACAACAGAGATTGAATGAAGAAGATTCTGTGGGGACTATAAGTCTGTGTGGTAACATGGCTCTATTTGGATCGGTTTAAATGATTCAAACAGCTGTACATATTCGCATCCAAATGGACCTCTGTGTTACAGAAATACTGTGACCTAAATCACATTTAGTAGTCTTCACCCCATCGCTTTGATTGATGCTCTTGATGCCAATCACTGGATTGTCTGGTCAAGACTTGATTATTTACAGACAGTTGTCATATAGCTGGAATAGTGTTGTGTGATGATGAAACAAGCCAAAAAAAAACTAAGAAAAAAAATGAATAGTACTGGTAGTCTCTTTTGCCGTACTCTGATAAATCTTTCTATACGTTTCAGTGGCCAACATGGAGGGTGGAGTGGGGTTGGAGGAGTTCCAGTCTGACCCAGATTTTCATATTGCAATGAAACCAGTGGTGAGTTCATTACCCGTGAAGATCCAGGTTCTTCTGTAACCCATGCTTGTCGTAAGAGGCAACTCAGGTGGTCAGGCTCGCTGACTTGGTTGACTAATATCATTGCATCCCAGTTGCGTAGATCAATGCTCATGCTGTTGATCACTGGATTATCTGCTCCAAACTTGATTATTTTTCCTTATCCTGACTCGTGCTAAATGCTTGTCTCCTTCTTCCTGCGAATGATAGTGGAACTCTTGAAATCCCTTGAAGTTCCCTTCTAAAAGGCGGACGTAAAATCATCACTCACCCACGAGTAGTCTCCGTTGCCTAATTTGGTGCCCTTTTGGGTCACATGACCAGCCATGTTTGTCACTCTCTCCTTCTTCGCCCTTGAGGACGGTTGTGAGAACACCTGGGTCCCTGTACGGCACATATCCTTTTCTCTTTTGGACCTTTACATCAAAATTATTGCTGTATACGGTTTTGGATTGTATACTACTAATACTACTGCTGCCGATGTTCATAATTCCAGTGAATTGCTCAGCGTTTTCGGGGGCAGGTCGCTGTTCCAGTGATGAACTCTGGCTCCAATAAGAGATCGTCGGCAACGGAGCTGTCCTCTTCGCAGACGAAGAAGACTAGATTGTCTTCAACGCAGAAGAAGGCTACAACCCCTAAGACTTCGTTGAAGTCTCTACACAGCTCTACGCAGAAGGCGAGATCCTTCTTTGCCGAGATTGTACCTCCGGAAGAAGCAGACGTGTATGATGATCCCCCCATCCTCATACCTGAAGTCACAGTTGTCAGCAAGAAGACGAAGCCGTCTTCTACAGCTACATCGGCAACTTTATCAGCGCAGACATTGACTGAAGACCTATCAACGCAGACATCGGGTACCAGAGACAGCAGCAGCGTCAACTCTTCACAAGTGCAGCGTGCTTTAGAAGACGCCTCATCGTTGTCAGAAGCATCATCATCCCTGCAGCAGTCTCAACAGACATCGCAGAACTTCAACCTGGGGCTGTTCATGCAACAGTTTACAGACCAGATGATGTCGATGATGGAATGTCGCTTCACGCAGGAGAAAGCTGCTACGAAGACCACTACAATGACTACAAGCCTGTGTGAAGATTCAGCAGCCTCTCCAATGCACTTGGAAAAAGAGGGAAGCCTGAGCGAAGGCTCACGCACCCGACGATCTTCCCCGTTTGAAGCTAGGAGCCTGGACAATGCTACCAAGGTCAGCTCAGCCTTAGACGTCCCTGAAGGCGCCGCTAAGAATTCTCCACGCAGAAGCAGATCGAAGCATTCTCCAGAACCCTACAGACGTCGTAGATACGGTTCGTCATCACCATCGTACTCAGACGCACATCAGGAACCTGCACGCAGGCACTCCACATGTCACAGTGGGAAACTACGCCTAAGAGTTCGACATACAGATCTTCATACAGACACTCACGTCATCATGGATCGTCAGATTGGGAGATGTCTAAATCGGATGAAGAAGGTGAAGTCATATTCTCCGATGCAGAAGTAACCTCATGGATTGCTAATGGCCTGGACCTAGCATCACCTTCCAAGGACACAGACAAAGAGTTTACATACAAGATGTCCAACGATGATTTCGACACTCACCTTTCCGCCTATCGACCCGATCTCCCAAGTACTGGACAGTCTCAGCTCAGCCTTTGATAAGGCTACCAAGTTCCAGTATCAACATATCCCGACGTTCAACGCCAGGAGATTCCCCTTACATCACATGGAACCCTTCCTGAAGGCACCAGAGATTGATGAGGACTACAAAATCATCAACGACTCCCGCTATAGAACTTACGAGATAGAGGACAAGAAGCTAGCGCAACTGGATACGACTACTAGACGTACCTTTTTCGGACTAGCCAGGTCTAGGGCTATCAACGAAGCACTCATCTCGAAGTTCAAGAACTCCACCGCCGAAGATGACCGGATGATATATTCTTCTCTTCTGGCTCTAAAGGACCACCAGTTTATGTCGGAGCATCTAGCATCCACATCAGCAGGCCTGACTCTACTGAGGAGACAGGGATTATTGTCAGCGTGCACCTGGAGTGAGCGGTTCACCAAGTCCTTTTCAGAGGCCCATGGTCTGTCAGCATCATCCATTTTCGGAGGAGGAATTGAAGTCGCCAAAGAGGTTACACACGAATCAAGGGAGGTCATGATGATAAAGTCCATAGATACCTTGGCAAATGTGATTCGCCAGACGTCCCAGCGCTACTCCAACAAATCCAAGTTTGCAGGAGTCCAGAGAGCCAGAGACAAGAAGTATTCCAGCTCAAGAGGAGGAAGAGGTTCTTTTCGTCGCCAAACCGGAGCCCCCAGAAGCAACCCCGGAAGAAGCCAAGCACCCAAGGGTGCCAGGGGAATCAAGCGCTGAAGAACAGGTTTGCAACGACTGGGGTCTTCCACCCCCAGCCGTTCCTGTACAACCTTCGACAGTGGGTGGACGTCTTCAACGGTACTGGGAAAATTGGGGAATACTACAGGACGACTACGTATCCCAGATACTACGCAGAGGGTACAAGATACAGTTGGAAGCCACTCCGCCGCTTACAAGCAACCCGCTGGTCTTAACCTAATGAGACGACCAGACAAGAAAACTGGATGATGCAATCAAGACTCTACTCGACAAAGATGCAGTAGAGGAGATAAATCAAGATCTCATCATGCCCGGTTTTTACTCCCCAATTTTACCTCCTTCGGTACTCTTAGTACCGAAGAAGAATTCCAAGGAGAAGTTTTGGCTCATCTACAACATGAGAAAGTTCAACCAGGAGTATCTCTGCAGACCAGCAAAATTCAAGATGATACATCTTCCTCAGCTTCGACATCGTGTTCGTCCATCAGACTACCTCACCAGCATAGATCTACAAGAGGCTTACCTACACATCCTGATATATCCAGACTCAAGGAAATACCTAAGATTCCTTTTCAATGGACATCACTTCCAGTGGAAGGTTCTACCGTTTGGAATATCATCAGCCCCCTGGTTGTTTACTCGAGTGACCAAGCCCATCGTCACATATCTACATCGTCGAGGTCTATGCAGTGCTTTTACCTGACGACGGAATTCGGGTTCATCAAGATCCCAGTCAACTCAGACTGCAACTAGACTTCACCATCAAGCTTCTCACTCAGTTAGGATGGCTGGTAAATCTGCTCAAGTCGGAACTGGAGCCGAAACAGGATCTTCAATTTCTAGGAATACGACTCATCACGCCGGTGGATCGCATAGTCGTCCCAGAAGATCGTTGGGTCAAGATTCAGACAGACAGACAGAATTTATTCAATTTTTAAGGCCTCAGGCCCATACAACATACATAAGAGTTTGGGTAAAGATTTATGCATGCATAATAACAGTTACATTGAAAAATATTAATAATGCGGTGTTAATTGTGTAGCTTTAAGACAATACTGAGATATTTTTCGATTTGTTTAATAGTCTTTATGTTTTCGGTAGACATCAGGTTTATGAAGTGGTCAAGATTCGACATATGATGTCTCAAGCAATGCTCTCTCCGTTGACACTACGTGCTTGGCAAAGCATGCTCGGTCTACTCACCTCAGCTCAAGACATGACTCGCAGAGGGAGATTACAGCTGCACCCACTACAAATATTTGTGAACGCCCATCTCGACAGTCTGGATCCGCTGATACTACCGGACAGCCTGAAACCATACCTCCTATGGTGGACTCAGAAGTCAATTGTTTTGCGGAGGAACCTTTTTGTCAGAGATGGTTTGCAACACTCATCTCTACGTGGATGCATCACTACAAGGATGGGGTGCTCACCTCGCCAACGAAGTGGCAGCAGGGAAGTGGTCGAGTCAGGATTAGAGTCTTTACATCAACCTGTTGGAGATGAAAGCAGTGATCAACGCTTTACAACACTGGTCCAGCGTACTAAGGAACGCAAGGCTCATGGTTCACTTGGACAACTCCACAGTAGCGTCCTACATCAACAAACAAGGATCAACAAGATCAACAAGTCTGCTACAACTCAGCTTTCTCCTGTTCAGCATCGTCAACGACCTGAACATCTACATGAAGGCATGCCACATTCCAGGAGCAAAGAATGTCATAGCAGACGCCCTATCTCGTCCACTACAACCATCCCTTACAGAATGGATGTTACATCCAGAAGTGTTCCGGTACGTCATACAGACAATAGGATCTCCGCTGATAGACCTGTTTGCAACAAAGTTCAACAAACAACTACCAACATTTGTCTCACCGATTCCGGATCCTCAGGCATGGGCACATATCATGGGAAGGACTAAATGCTTATGCGTTTCCACCTCCAGCACTATTACCACAAGTAATACAGAAAATCAGCAGACGACAACGTTGCAACTGATTTTGGTCGCACCCTATTGGTCAGCGAGGGTATGGTTTCCCGTCCTCATACAAGAATCGGAAGTCCAACCCTGAAACTACCAGAGTGGTCTAACCTGCTCGTCCATCCACACACCAAGCAAGCTCACAGGAATCCGGCATTGTTTCAGCTACACGCGTGGAGCGTATCAAAGCTTGGCTGAAGACAAGAGGGTACTCCACCAGAGCAGACATCCTTTGAACTACTGACACAGAAAACGCTGTTTCTGAACGCCCTAGCAACAGCAGCACGGATGTCAGAAATACATGCTCTGGACTTTGAATGAACGCAATTTGAATCAAGACAAAAACAAGGAGACGAAAATTCAAGAGCCTATTCATCCCCTTATCCACTGAGATGCCCACGGACATCGATATCGATTTGGATGAGAGCCGTCATACTAAGGACCTACAAAGCAACAGGACTTGAGCTCCACGAGCCTCCAATCCCCACAAAGTCAGAGCCTTGGCGTCTACACTTGCTCTGCATGGAAACTGCTCGATTACAACAATAATGGAGGTCTGCTTTTGGAAATCAGACACAGTGTTTGCCAACCACTACCTCAGAGACATTGCCACCGAAGACGTCTCAGGCATTCACCAGTTTGGGCCACTTGTTGTAGCACAACAACTAATGGTTCCACAAAGGCACTGAGAAAAACATCTCACCCTTTTATCACGTGACTTGTGAAAACCAACGCTCTGGAGAGCAAATGGTTTAAGTCCATGCACATGTCTAGGACAGGCTAGCATGAGTGATAGACCCTGTACTTGTATAGGACTTACTCGTACATGAAGAAGGGTCGCATCTCCACTTGATGTGCGCATCAAGAGATGGAGTTGCAATAGATAACTAATGGAACATTAGTATATCTAAAATCCACACGAATATGTCAGGAGAAGTTTCGGAAGAAATCTGACAAGTTGTCTCTCTCTCTCTCTCTCCACACAAAAACACAACACACACAAAAACCAACCCCTCATCAGAGGGAAGTTGGAAGAACAGAATCATCGGCAGTGCTGTCATAAGTTCCCATGGGGGGTAATACAGGAAGTAAATCAACAGCCAGTGAATCCAGGAAGTGGCCTGACCCACCACCGATTCTGTCAGGATAAGAAAAATATGCAATTTTCTGACTAAAATTGATGTTTTATACTTATCCTGACACATGAGGTCAGCCCTCCCAACCTACCCTCTCAGGGCACTCTGGATTTCCCTGTAAATCCGGGTGTCGGGCGTACATACGGAGAGAGTGACAAACATGGCTGGTCATGTGACCCAAAAAGGTCCGCCAAAGGAGGCAAGGGAAACTACTTGTGGGTGAGTGATGAACGTCTGCTTTTTAGAAGGGAACTTCAAGGGATTTCAAGTGTTCCACTATCATTCGCAGGAAGAAGGTGACAAGCATTTAGCACGAGTCAGGATAAGTATAAAATATCAATTTTAGTCAGAAAATTACATATTTATAGACTGCCGCCATATCCTGAAATATGTTATTGACAAAAGTAATTAAGATACCCTTTAAATCAAAGAATTTTGCAAGTGTAATCACTGGTAAATGAAATAATCATGCATATTCGGAGGTCCAGGTATTGTTGACCAGTACTTGCCTGGGTCTAGTTATGTGCTACAGAAACTGTTGAATGTTTTGGGATGAGAATCTATTGAGCATTCCTGAAATATGTTACTGACAAAAGTAATTAAGATACCCTTTAAATCAAAGAATATTGCAAGTGTAATCACTGGTAAATGAAATAATCATGCATATTCGGAGGTCCAGGTATTGTTGACCAGTACTTGCCTGGGTCTAGTTATGTGCTACAGAAACTGTTGAATGTTTTGGGATGAGAATCTATTGAGCATTCCTGAAATATGTTACTGACAAAAGTAATTATAAGATACCCTTTAAATATTGCAAAAGAATATTGAAATAAGTGTAATCACTGGTAAATGAAATAATCATGCATATTGCAAGAGGTCCAGGTATTGTTGACCAGTACTTGCCTGGGTCTAGTTATGTGCTACAGAAACTGTTAAATGTTTTGGGATGAGAATCTATTGAGCATTCCTGAAATATGTTACTGACAAAAGTAATTAAGATACCCTTTAAATCAAAGAATATTGCAAGTGTAATCACTGGTAAATGAAATAATCATGCATATTCGGAGGTCCAGGTATTGTTGACCAGTACTTGCCTGGGTCTAGTTATGTGCTACAGAAACTGTTGAATGTTTTGGGATGAGAATCTATTGAGCATTCCTGAAATATGTTACTGACAAAAGTAATTATAAGATACCCTTTAAATCAAAGAATATTGCAAGTGTAATCACTGGTAAATGAAATAATCATGCATATTCGGAGGTCCAGGTATTGTTGACCAGTACTTGCCTGGGTCTAGTTATGTGCTACAGAAACTGTTAAATGTTTTGGGATGAGAATCTATTGAGCATTCCTGAAATATGTTACTGACAAAAAGTAATTAAGATACCCTTTAAATCAAAGAATTTTGCAAGTGTAATCACTGGTAAATGAAATAATCATGCATATTCGGAGGTCCAGGTATTGTTGACCAGTACTTGCCTGGGTCTAGTTATGTGCTACAGAAACTGTTAAATATTTTGGGATGAGAATCTATTGAGCATTCCTGAAATATGTTACTGACAAAAGTAATTAAGATACCCTTTAAATCAAAGAATTTTGCAAGTGTAATCACTGGTAAATGAAATAATCATGCATATTCGGAGGTCCAGGTATTGTTGACCAGTACTTGCCTGGGTCTAGTTATGTGCTACAGAAACTGTTGAATGTTTTGGGATGAGAATCTATTGAGCATTCCTGAAATATGTTACTGACAAAAGTAATTAAGATACCCTTTAAATCAAAGAATTTTGCAAGTGTAATCACTGGTAAATGAAATAATCATGCATATTCGGAGGTCCAGGTATTGTTGACCAGTACTTGCCTGGGTCTAGTTATGTGCTACAGAAACTGTTGAATGTTTTGGGATGAGAATCTATTGAGCATTCCTGAAATATGTTACTGACAAAAGTAATTAAGATACCCTTTAAATCAAAGAATATTGCAAGTGTAATCACTGGTAAATGAAATAATCATGCATATTCGGAGGTCCAGGTATTGTTGACCAGTACTTGCCTGGGTCTAGTTATGTGCTACAGAAACTGTTAAATGTTTTGGGATGAGAATCTATTGAGCATTCCTGAAATATGTTACTGACAAAAGTAATTAAGATACGCTTTAAATCAAAGAATATTGCAAGTGTAATCACTGGTAAATGAAATAATCATGCATATTCGGAGGTCCAGGTATTGTTGACCAGTACTTGCCTGGGTCTAGTTATGTGCTACAGAAACTGTTAAATGTTTTGGGATGAGAATCTATTGAGCATTCCTGAAATATGTTACTGACAAAAGTAATTAAGATACCCTTTAAATCAAAGAATTTTGCAAGTGTAATCACTGGTAAATGAAATAATCATGCATATTCGGAGGTCCAGGTATTGTTGACCAGTACTTGCCTGGGTCTAGTTATGTGCTACAGAAACTGTTGAATGTTTTGGGATGAGAATCTATTGAGCATTCCTGAAATATGTTACTGACAAAAGTAATTATAAGATACCCTTTAAATCAAAGAATATTGCAAGTGTAATCACTGGTAAATGAAATAATCATGCATATTCGGAGGTCCAGGTATTGTTGACCAGTACTTGCCTGGGTCTAGTTATGTGCTACAGAAACTGTTAAATGTTTTGGGATGAGAATCTATTGAGCATTCCTGAAATATGTTACTGACAAAAGTAATTAAGATACCCTTTAAATCAAAGAATTTTGCAAGTGTAATCACTGGTAAATGAAATAATCATGCATATTCGGAGGTCCAGGTATTGTTGACCAGTACTTGCCTGGGTCTAGTTATGTGCTACAGAAACTGTTGAATGTTTTGGGATGAGAATCTATTGAGCATTCCTGAAATATGTTACTGACAAAAGTAATTAAGATACCCTTTAAATCAAAGAATTTTGCAAGTGTAATCACTGGTAAATGAAATAATCATGCATATTCGGAGGTCCAGGTATTGTTGACCAGTACTTGCCTGGGTCTAGTTATGTGCTACAGAAACTGTATAATATTTTGGGATGAGAATCTATTGAGCATTCCTGAAATATGTTACTGACAAAAGTAATTAAGATACCCTTTAAATCAAAGAATATTGCAAGTGTAATCACTGGTAAATGAAATAATCATGCATATTCGGAGGTCCAGGTATTGTTGACCAGTACTTGCCTGGGTCTAGTTATGTGCTACAGAAACTGTTAAATGTTTTGGGATGAGAATCTATTGAGCATTCCTGAAATATGTTACTGACAAAAGTAATTAAGATACGCTTTAAATCAAAGAATTTTGCAAGTGTAATCACTGGTAAATGAAATAATCATGCATATTCGGAGGTCCAGGTATTGTTGACCAGTACTTGCCTGGGTCTAGTTATGTGCTACAGAAACTGTTAAATGTTTTGGGATGAGAATCTATTGAGCATTCCTGAAATATGTTACTGACAAAAGTAATTAAGATACCCTTTAAATCAAAGAATTTTGCAAGTGTAATCACTGGTAAATGAAATAATCATGCATATTCGGAGGTCCAGGTATTGTTGACCAGTACTTGCCTGGGTCTAGTTATGTGCTACAGAAACTGTTGAATGTTTTGGGATGAGAATCTATTGAGCATTCCTGAAATATGTTACTGACAAAAGTAATAATAAGATACCTTTGTCTTAAGAAATATCATTTACTACTTCTGAGTGGAATATTTCACATGTCACAATCAATAAAAACACTATAAAAGCCAGTTAACATAGTGCACAACTTCTTTCAAAGGCATGTCTTGTTTCAGACATTAGAACTCCCGGATCCTGCCCTACTTCCTCCATTCTATGGCCAGTTTCCCCAGCAGTGGCTACCTCAGACCCAGGAAGTTCCGTACATGGTCTGCCCACCCCCACCCCCTCCTTTTACCATGGGCCCCATCCCTCCCCTCCTCTGCCTGCTGACCCACCCCCTCCTGTGCCCCCACCTCCAGAAGCCCCTCCCTCCCTGAAGGTCCTCCTCCCCCTGAAGATGAGACAGCAACTCATCCTCCACCACCACCTTCACCGGTTGCTGAGGCAGAGGAAGAGGGAGATGAAGCAGCGTTGTTGCGAGCTCAGTTGTTGAAGTCATTGGCGATGAAGAAAAAGCAAGCTCCTGTTGAGCCCCAGGTATATGTCATCATTATTCGAGTAGTTATCCTTTTAGATTAAAAGAACAATTATAACAATTTTGATATTGGTTGTCCAGTTATACAAGAAAATAACCTTTTATTGTCAGGTATTATCTAGAAAGTCATCTATATCTTGAGTAATATATCTTCAGTCTGTTACTCATTCGAGAACTATGTAGCCTAGTGTTTTCAGTCTCACAATCAAGACCCAGATTTGATGAGCGGACACTAAACTTCATGGTAAATGATACCATGAGGGATGTTTCAGTTCACCAGATTCAGCATAGCTGTTATTTATGGCATTACTTTTCATATATTTTTTGTGATTTATTGAAGTTTTTTAAAATTTGATAAATTTCTGCTTTTGATAAATTTAATTCAGAAAAGTGATTAAAAAAGTTTCATATCTGACTGTAAAAGACGGTGAAAGTGTAATTAAACTGATCATGCATATTTGGAGTTCACTGAAGTGTTCACCGAAACATGCCTGGACCTGTGATCATAGAGTGCAGATAAATTCTGATGGTTTCAGGCGCCAACTCCTTCCGTGAAACCAGCCAGTAACGAAGCATCGCCATCAACTTCGCGCAGTCAGTCTCCATCTCTTCATGTCCTCACCACACACAAAACCAACAAACCAGCCAAGAAACAAGCACCATCCATTTTCACTCCTGTAAGTTCCTGGTTCTCAGTGTGCAGGGGTAGTCTAGTGGTTAATGTTTTTGCTCATATTATGTATTGTGACTCTTAAGTTATTGTAAACTGTTACCCATGTCACATGATGTGGACCGCCTCCGTGGTGTAGTGGTTAGAGCGTCCGTTCGGAGAGCGGAAAGTCGCGGGTTCGATCCCCGACCGCGTCATACCAAAAGACGTTAAAATATGGTACTTGTTGGTCCCTGCCTGGCGCTCGGCATTAATGGGTACTACAAGGACTGGTCGGCTCGGAGTCAGTATAATGTGTCTGAGTGGGGTATTCATTCTTCACTGGGGCATGGTATCTCAGTGGGCTAGCACTATAAAACCAGCTTAAGTCTGGGCTAGTACAAGCAGCCGCACATACACATACACATGCATGTACGTTGTCATATGAGCGAAATATTCTCAAGCACGACGTAAAACCCAATTTCACCTCACCTCACCTCACCTCACCTCACATGATGTGTATGTCTATGTAAACCTGTCTTCTCCAGAAGAATACTATCCATGTTTTCATGATACTGTTCATCCATTCCCAGTCATTATCATACAAGAAGTTGGGTAAAACTGTTCATTGAAATCCTTTGGTGTGTATTGACGACCTTGATTAACCACCATGCTTAGGGATTTTACTGGATGCTTTAATCACCCCGTGCCGTGTCTGCACCTGATCGAGTTGGTTCCACAGTGATTTAATTAATTAGTGTCAAGAGCTTCACTTAGTACCGTGGAATGCATCCGTCTCGCATACACAAGAGACGATAGGCCGTCTCTTGTACATGTTGTCTCTGACTGTTAAGGTGCAGAAGTGTTGCTGATTCATGTCAAGTTTCATAAAAAATAGCTTGCTTGCATTTATCATACTTGGTTTCATATCTGAAATTTTCCCTGAAAAGTAGCATCAAACCTGACTCAGTCTTTAATTGGTGTTTTCCTCCTTCAGCTTCCTGTACATAAGCCAGTGGTGATTCCGCTAGAGAACTCGTCAGATGAAGACGAGACTCCATCACCTGTCCGAATAAACCCCATGTCCTTCCTGGGAGATCTGGACAGTTTCCTCAAGGCTGCTCGCAAGTCAGTGGAGGTGAGACTTTTGTATTCAGTGAGCAGAGAGTAGGAATATTTATAAGGTAAGCCAGGTTTTATGTGATGTGTTTAGATTAATTTGTAATGGGTGTTCAGTATCAACAGTATTTGGATTTGGATGACATTGTTTGGGTTGACCATCTCCTAAGCTGTTTTATGATTTGTCATGCTAACAGTGTCTACAGTACCTGAAGACAAGTTCATGATTTGAGAAGCTAGTGATTTAATTTAGCCTGTTATATACAGGCTGAATTGTTTAACCAGTCATTGAAGTTGGTGCTCAGTTTATGGTTAGTGTTTTGTCTTTGGTTATTTTACTTATGAAGTATCAGTCACGATATGGCTGAAATATTGCCGATTTGCCGTTGAATATTAACTCATTAATTCACCAAGAGACAAGTAACAGAATAACAGACTTGTTTAGTTGATAGGAATATTTTATATGCAATGAATCTGTTGGGGAAAATCAGATCCTCAGCACTAAAATTGATGTCAAGTGAAGATCCTGGTTAGAATTTAGCTTCAGTAACCCATGCTTGCCGTAATAGGCGACTAATGGGATCGGGTGGTCAGGCTCGCTGACACATCATCATATCCCAATTGCCTAGATTGATGCTCATGATGTTGATCACTGGATTGTCTGGTCCAGACTCCTATATTTACAGACTGCTTCCATATAGCTGGAATATTGCTGAGTGGGCTTCAAACTGAACTCACTCACTCATTAAAATTGATGAGTGGATACTTACACTAGTTGACGTGTCAGATGGTGTGTCATCATGACATGAAAGCTTGGTTCATTGTCAGGAACTAGTTGGCCTGGCTCTGACTCATTCATGGATGACATGGTGAAGGAACTAGTTATTATACATATTGTCCAATGATTCCGAATCAGAGCTACCTCCTTGCCTGTTTCCAGGAGAATGATGGCAAGGCCAGCACAGACAAGCCTCAGGAGACGAAGATGCAGCAGGTGATGAAGATCCAGGAGATCCAGCAGTGTGAGGCCAGTCTCACCCGTCAGAGGTATGTCACTGTCGCAGACACTACTTCAGTTGATCCTTGGAGATACACAGGGATTTTACTCGATCAGAGGCTGATAATTCACCCCGAGTGTAGATAGGTGATGGATATTTCATTGCTGAGGGGGAATGAAGATAAGAGGCTTCAATTCATAGTTATACTTTAGTTACATCATAATTAAAAGGAATATTTAGTCACTGGGATGTCTTGAAGGGTAGGACTTTCATAGGTTGGCACATTGAAGATCTGTAATCGGTTGAATATCATCGTTAGTATACCCATGATTTTTGTTAGAGCAGCTCATGAATATCAAGTTCTCTGTCTTTCTTGATTCCCGAGAAAAAATAAGTTCCAAGTTTGCCATGCCTGTTTAAAATATTCTGACATCTGTTCCCTTGCCTTAGGGCTTGAATCTATCTTCCAGTTCCCCCTGACAACTTAATAAATTGTTCAATTTATCTTCAAAACGGTACAAAACGTCTTGAAAACTACAATGTATTTGACTTGTCTGTATTGGACATGACATCTGCTCACGACATGACAAATACACACAGCTAAGACTGACAAAAGCGATACCGGTCACTTTTAACGCCAACATAGGATTTGGTCACACGACTACTCTTGTGAGAGGAAACTGAAGTCTTTGCAGAGTGTTATATTGCCAAAGTGGATTTTATTTGTGATCGTGCATTTTGTGAAAAGTTTGCCTTGTCCAGAAATGATTAATGAGAGTCCTTTTCTTGAAGTCCATGATGTTTTTGGTTTCTGTCGCGGACGGTTCATTCTATGCTTATATGATCAGTCATTGTGCGAGAGATTTTTTTCAAGCGCTTCTGTTCTCGAAATATTGCCGATGTGCCGCTGAATATTAACTCATTAATTCACCAAGAGACAAGTACAGAATAACAGACTTGTTTAGTTGATAGGAATATTTTATATGCAATGAATCTGTTGGGGAAAATCAGTTCCTCAGCACTAAAATTGATGTCAAGTGAAGATCCTGGTTAGAATTTAACTTCAGTAACCCATGCTTGGCGGTAATAGGCTTCGACTAATGGGATCGGGTGGTCAGGCTTCGCTGACACATCATCATATCCCAATTGCCTAGATTGATGCTCATGATGTTGATCACTGGATTGTCTGGTCCAGACTCCTATATTTACAGACTGCTTCCATATAGCTGGAATATTGCTGAGTGGGCTTCAAACTGAACTCACTCACTCATTAAAATTGATGAGTGGATACTTACACTAGTTGACATGTCAGATGGTGTGTCATCATGACATGAAAGCTTGGTTCATTGTCAGGAACTAGTTGGCCTGGCTCTGACTCATTCATGGATGACATGGTGAAGGAACTAGTTATTATACATATTGTCCAATGATTCCGAATCAGAGCTACCTCCTTGCCTGTTTCCAGGAGAATGATGGCAAGGCCAGCACAGACAAGCCTCAGGAGACGAAGATGCAGCAGGTGATGAAGATCCAGGAGATCCAGCAGTGTGAGGCCAGTCTCACCCGTCAGAGGTATGTCACTGTCGCAGACACTACTTCAGTTGATCCTTGGAGATACACAGGGATTTTACTCGATCAGAGGCTGATATTTCACCCAGTTGATCCTTGGAGATACACAGGGAATTTACAGAGGCTGATAATTCACCCGAGTGTACATAGGTGATGGATATTTCATTGCTGAGGGGAATGAAGATAAGAGGCTTCAATTCATAGTTATACTTTAGTTACATCATAATTAAAAGGAATATTTAGTCACTGGGATGTCTTGGGAAGGGTAGGACTTTTTCATAGGTTGGCACATTGAAGATCTGTAATCGGTTGAATATCATCGTTAGTATACCCATGATTTTTGTTAGAGCAGCTCATGAATATCAAGTTCTCTGTCTTTCTTGATTCCCGAGAAAAAATAAGTTCCAAGTTTGCCATGCCTGTTTAAAATATTCTGACATCTGTTCCCTTGCCTTAGGGCTTGAATCTATCTTCCAGTTCCCCCTGACAACTTAATAAATTGTTCAATTTATCTTCAAAACGGTACAAAACGTCTTGAAAACTACAATGTATTTGACTTGTCTGTATTGGGACATGACATCTGCTCACGACATGACAAATACACACAGCTAAGACTGACAAAAGCGATACCGGTCACTTTTAACGCCAACATAGGATTTGGTCACACGACTACTCTTGTGAGAGGAAACTGAAGTCTTTGCAGAGTGTTATATTGCCAAAGTGGATTTTATTTGTGATCGTGCATTTTGTGAAAAGTTTGCCTTGTCCAGAAATGATTAATGAGAGTCCTTTTCTTGAAGTCCATGATGTTTTTGGTTTCTGTCGCGGACGGTTCATTCTATGCTTATATGATCAGTCATTGTGCGAGAGATTTTTTTCAAGCGCTTCTGTTCTCTTTCAGACAAGCCATAGTAAAGGATCAGACCAACCTCAAGATGCTGATCACAAGGGCTTCCAAGTATCTGCGGAGTGCACGACTAGCTGAGGTCAAAGTTGTACAGCTGAAGGAGCAACTGACAGCTGCAGAGAAGATTGTTGTGGCAAATAAACAACAGCTGGAGAAGACAAAGTCACAGGTTGGTGCATGTTTGAAAAACACTAAATATAACTCATGGATTACATGGTCAGTCGTAAGAGTAACACTTGTCAGATGGGAGCACTGGGTATGCTATGGCTTTTTTTCAGTGTTCATGATTAGACAGTGGTGTCGCCTCATAGTTAAAGCATTTCAGTCCGACAACAGACCCTAGTCTAAAGGCTGAATCTTGAAAATTCTTTTCAGTCAGTACCCATGATCCGTGTTAGAATTGGTCTTCAGTAACCCATGCTTGTAAGAGGTAACTAATGGGATCGGGTGGTCAGGCTCGCTGACTTGGTTGACTCATGTCTTCGTATTACAACTGCATAGAACAATGCTCATGATGTTTTTTCACTGGATTGTCTGGTGCAGACTCGAGTATTTACAGACTGCCGCCATACAGCGGGAATATTGCTGAATGCTGCATTAAACAACAAACCAATTGACAATCTTTTCAGTCCAAGAAATATTTGTCCGTAACTCTAAACTCAAGTGGAAAACAACAGCCACAAAAGTTCACAGCACAGAGTGGTGTTTACCTTGAAGATGAAGTTATTATTAAGTGCAATTTTCGTAACCTATATATTCTGTTACTTGTACTGTTTTGAAAAGTGAAAGCAGCAAATGCAATTTACTCATTACAGTGCAAAGTATAACTTTTCCAAGAATCACTTGGAGTGCGGAAGGTCGCGGGTTCAATCCCCGGCCGCGTCATACCAAAAGACGTTAAAATGTGGTACTTGTTGGTCCCTGCCTGGCGCTCGGCATTTATGAGTACAACAAGGACTGGTTGGCTCGGAGTCAGTATAATGTGTCTGAGTGGGGTATTCATGCTTCACTGGGGCATGGTATCTCAGTGAGCTAGCACTATAAAACCAGCTTAAGTCTGGGCTAGTACAAGCAGCCGCACATACACATGCATGCACGTTGTCATATGGGCAAAATATTCTCAAGCACGACGTTAAACCCAATTTCACCTCACCTCCAAGAATCACTACGTGCCACATGACCTATGTAAAAATTTAACAGTCTAACAAATTGGATTTGACAGCTTGCAGTTGAACATTTCTTTTGAAACTTCTAGATCCTGTTTTCACCCATGTCTTTGCTCATGGAGATTGTGTGTGTTTCTACTTGAATAGGCTAAAAGTGTTAAGGATCGACTGTTGGATAAAAAACAGAAGTTCAAGGAAGCTGAACAGAATGCAGTTAACCTTGGAAAGGCATTTTATGGACCCAACTATAAACCAAGAGTGGTCACCATGGAAATGGGCGACAAGAAAAAGGGAGATAACCTATCTGTAACTGTTTTCAATGAGGTGAGTTTCTTGATAGACACTGCTGTTTGTGCTAAGGTCAAGTAGTTTAAACCCCTCAGTACACTGACGTATTTATGGTTTAGGTAGAGAATATATCCATCTTAGTATAACTCTGTATGAAACAAAGAAATGTTGGTCGTTTTTTATATCTTTATTTTCTTAAAAAGGGTTATGACAAGTTTGAAGTTTTTTTAAGAGGGCTGAGTCCTGTCTTATGCTGTTAATTCTGTTCAAAGGTGTATGACTTGTGTAGATTTATAGAAATAACTGATTGTGTTTGTAGATGTCTGTTAAGAAGAAAAAGATGACTACAGCAACAAAAGAAAACGCACCCCCAACAAAACCACCTCCGACAAAACTACCTCAGAAGAAACCAGCTGAGTTTATTGCCAAAGAGAAAGAGAGGTTGAAGAAACTGGAAAAGGAGTATGCAGAAAAGATCCGTCGCCTGAAGGAAGCTCAGGGTATATCTGTAGCCAAGGACCAGGAACCGAAAATCAAATCTCCTGTGTTAAAGAAGAAAAAAACTGAACATTTGACAGAAGATCTTGAAAAAATACGGCTGGATACAGAAGACATACCTGACATTGTTGACAGCAAACCCAGGAGACGTTCTCTGGTTGAACTGAACCCCAGCAATAAACCGAACATACCTTTGTCTTCCACTGAGAAAGATGCTAAAACACTGAATGGTGACAAATGCAAAGATGACCCACAAAGGCCAGCGTTTGTTATGCCAACCGGGCAACAATTAGCCAACCTACGAAAGCTTCAGGTAGGTCCTATCTTGTCTAGTGCTGTGAAGATTGTACATAAAAGGGTTATATTTTTCCTTATCCTGACTCATGCTAAATTCTTGTCTCCTTCTCCTTGCGAATGATAGTGGAACACTTGAAGTTCCCTTCTAAAAAGCGGACGTAAAATCACTACTCACCCAGGAGTTACCTCCCTTGCCCCTTTGGCGCCCTTTTGGTCACATGACCGACCATGTTTTGTCACTCTCTCCTTCGCCCTTGAGGACGGTTGTGAGAGCACCTGGGTCCCTATACGGCACATATCCTTTTCTATTTTGAACCTTACATCAAAATTATTGCTGTATACGGCTTTTAGGATTGGATTCTACTATATGGTTTGAAATTTGATCTAAATTATACGTTGTTTGACATGTTTTTTCATCGTGTTTACATTTGATTAAAACTTGTATTCGTTGTAGGTACCGTCTGTCTGCGGCTGACCCACATTTATTATGTCCTGAGTGCACTACTTCATGTTCTTTCAGCTCTCGCTGTAAACATTGTCTGGATTTAACCACTTTTGAATTTAATAACTACCTTTTTTCCATTCATAGATGTGCAAAGGACTGGGTAAGAAGGTATTCACAAGTCATGTCTAAATCGAGTGATTGCGCTGATAACAGTGTGTTAACTACTGCTGCCGATGTTCATAATTCCAGTGAATTGCTGAGCATTTTACGGGGGCAGTTCGCTGTTCCAGTGATGTGATATACCCTGGAGCTAATAAGAGATCATCGATCCTTCTCTGCGAGAGATTGTACCTCAACGGAGCTGACCTCTTTCAAGCGCAGCAGACGAAGATGTCAGAAGATCGCTGCAGACTAGATCTTCAACGCTACAAGCCTGTGTGAAGAAGAAGAAGGCTACTACCCCTAAGACTTTGTCAGCCAAAGTCTTTACACAGCTCTACACAGAAGACGAGATCCTTTCTCTGTCATGCGAGATTGTACCTCGGAAGAAGCAGATCTCCCAAGTACCGACAGCCTCAGCTCATGATGAGTTCCAGAACCAGCATATCCTGACGTTCCCCCATCCTCATACCTGAAGTCACAGTCGAATTACCAGCAAGAAGACAAAGCCGGCTTCTTCGGACTACATCTACATCGTTCAAGAACTCCACCGACAAAGATGACTTTATGCACTATTGACAGGACACCTTTATCGGAGCTAGCAGACATTGCCAGAAGACCTATCAATCGCAGACATCAGGTTCCAGAGACAGCAGCATCGATAGGCCAACTGAGTCCCCAGAAGTAACCCCCAAGAACTATTGCAGTGTTCCGTACAACCTTTGACAGTGGATGGGCGTCTTCAGCGGTACTGGAAGAATTGGGGAATACTACAGGGCGTATCCCAGATACCTACAAGATACATGGAAGCCACCCCCGCTTATAAGCGCTGCAGCCAACCTGGACGACGCGAAGCAGAGACTCTACTCGACAAAGATGCAGTAGAAGAGATAAATTAAGATCTCATCACGCCCGGTTTTCCTGGTACCGAAGAAGAATTCCAAGGAGAAGTTTCGGCTCATCTACAACATAAGAAAGTTCAACCAGGAGTAACTTCGCAGACCAGCAAAATTCTACATGATACATCTTCCTCAACTCCGACATCTCGTTCGTCCATCAGACTACCTCGCCAGCATAGATCTACAAGATGCGTACCTCCACATCCCGATACATCCAGACTCAAGGAAATACCTAAGATTCCTTTTCAACGGACATCACTTCCAGTGGAAGGTTGTACCATTTGGAATATCGTCAGCCCCCTGGTTGTTTACTCGAGTGACCAAGCCCATCGTCACATATCTACATCGTCGAGGTCTACGCAGTGCTTTTTACCCGGACGACGGAATTCAAGTTCATCAAGATCCCAGTCAACTCAGACTGCAACTAGACTTCACCATCAGGCTTCTCTCTCAGTTAGGATGGCTGGTACATCTGCTCAAGTCGGAACTGAAGCCGAAACAGGATCTTCAATTTCTAGGAATACGACTCATCACGCCGGTGAATCGCATAGTCGTCCTAGAGGATTGTTGGGTCAAGATACAACATATGATGTCTCAAGCAATGCTCTCTCCGTTGACACTACTTGCTTGGGAAAGCATGCTCGGTCTACTCACCTCAGCTCAAGACATGACTCGCAGAGGGAGACTACAACTGCGCCCACTACAAATATTTGTGATCGCCCATCTCGACAGTCTGGATCCGCTGATTCTACCGGACAGCCTGAAACTATACCTCTTATGGTGGACTCGGAAGTCGAATGTTTGCGGAGGAACCATTCGCCAGAGCCTGTTTGCAACACTCATCTCTATGTAGATGCATCGCTACAAGGATGGGGTGCCCACCTCGACAACGAAGTGGCAGCAGGGAAGTGGTCGAGTCAGGATCAGAGTCTTTACATCAACCTGTTGGAGATGAAAGCAGTGATCAACGCTTTACAACACTGGTCCAGCATACTAAAGAACGCAAGGCTCATGGTTCACACGGACAACTCCACAGTAGCGTTCTACATCAACAAACAGGATCAACACGTCTGCTACAACTCAGCTTTCTCCTGTTCAGCATCGCCGATGACCCTGAACATCTACATGAAGGCATGCACATTCCAGGAGCAAAGAATGTCATAGCAGATGCCCTTTCTCGTCCACTACAACCATCCCCGACGGAGTGGATGTTACACCCAGAAGCGTTCCGGTTCGTCATACAGACAATAGGATCTCCACTGATAGACCTGTTTGCAACAAAGTTCAACAAGCAACTACCAACATTTGTCTCACAGGGATGGGCAACAGACGCTTTAAGCATCTCATGGGAAGGACTAAACGCTTATGCGTTTCCACCTCCAGCACTACTACCACAAGTAATACAGAAAATCAAGCAGACGACAACGCTGCTCTGATTTTGGTCGCGCCCTATTGGCCAGCGAGGATATGGTTTCCTGTCCTCATACAAGAACTCGGAAGTCCAACCCTGAAATTACCACAGTGGTCTAACCTGCTCATCCATCCACACACCAAGCAAGCTCACAGGAATCCGGCATTGTTCCAGCTACACGCATGGAGCATATCAAAGCTTGCCTGAAGACTAGAGGGTACTCCGCCAGAGCAGCAAAAGCAGTAACACTACCTCTGCGCAGATCAACTCGCAACTTGTACGATGACAAGTGGCAGAGATTTGAACAGTATGCAACAAAAAAAAGCAACCCATCCTCAAGTGGCGGAATACCTGTGTCATCTGCGACAGACGAGACACTTAAAAGGTTCAACACTGTCAACAAGCTATCACCATGAAGACGGGTGTCAAGCTGACCAAAGTACCAGAGATACTGGCACTACTACGCTCAATTAAGTTGAAGACCAACAAAAAGAAATTCAAGGCTCCTGCCTGGGATCTCAACATAGTTCTACAACATCTCACCAGTGATGCCTACAAGCCTCTAGAACGGACATCCTTTGAACTACTGACTCAGAAAACATTGTTCCTGATCGCCCTAGCAACAGCAGCACGGATGTCAGAAATACATGCTCTGGACTTTGAACGAACACGATTTGAATCAAGACATCGTGACATCGTACATCTAGGACTGAGATGGGATTTTATTGCCAAGAACCAACTGCCCGGCCAGCCTGACAGACAGTTCCACATCCCAGCACTCTCTACAGTCCTTGGGCCACAGGATACACAGGATATATCCTTATGCCCTGTCAGAGCACTAAAAGTGTACCTACAAAGGACAAAAACAAGGAGACGAAAATTCAAGCGCCTATTCATCCCCTTATCCACTGAGACGCCCACGGAAGTCTCACGGACAAAGATATCGATATGGATGAGAGCTGTTATACTAAGGGCCTACAAAGCAGCAGGACTTGAGCCTCCACGAGCCTCCAATCCCCACGAAGTCAGAGCCCTGGCGTCTACCCTTGCTCTTCATGGAAACTGCTCGATTACAACAATAATGGAGGGCTGCTTTTGGAGATCGGAGACGGTGTTTGCCAACCACTACCTCAGAGACATTGCCACCCGAAGACGTCTCAGGCATTCACCAGTTTTGGCCACTTGTTGTAGCACAACAACTAACAGTTCCACAAAGGCGCTGAGGACAATCTCACCCTTTTATCATGTGACTTGTGAAAACCAACGCTCTGGAGAGCAAATGGTTGAAGTCCATGCACACGTCTAGGACAGGCTAGCATGAGTGATAGACCCTGTACTTGTATAGGACATTCTTGTACATGAAGAAGGGTCGCATCTCCACTTGATACACGCATCAAGAGATGGAGTTACAACGGATAACTAATGGAACATTAGTGTATCTAAATCCACACGAAAATATCAGAAGTTTTGGAAGAAATCTGACAAGTTGTGGTTTCCCCCAGACTCATCAGAGGAAGTTGAAAGAACAGAATCCTCAGCAGTGCCGTCATAAGTTCCCCTTGGGGGCTAATACAGGAAGTAAATCAACAGCCAGTGAATCCAGAACGTGGCCTGACCCACCACCGATTCTGACTGATTCTGTAAGCATTTAGCATGAGTCAGGATAAGGAAAAATATGTAATTTTCTGACTAAAATTGATATTTTATACTTATCCTGACTCATGCTAAATGCTTGTCTCCTTCTCCTTGCGAATGATAGTGGAACACTTGAAATCCATTGAAGTTCCCTTCTAAAAAGCGGACGTAAAATCACTACTCACCCAGGAGTTACCTCCCATGCCCCTTTGGCGCCCTTTTGGTCACATGACCAGCCATGTTTTGTCACTCTCTCCGTATGTATGCCCAACACCCGGATTTACAGGGAAATCCAGAGTGCCATAAGAGGGGAGGTTGGGAGGGCTGACCTCATGAGTCAGGATAAGTATAAAATATCAATTTTAGTCAGAAAATTACATTATTGGAATCCCATTGACCATGATTCTTTATGCTGCAACAGTACTTGTGATATTCAATACATTGTTAACTGTGGAAGATCTGCATCAGTTTGGGTTCAACCCATTTTAAGCTAAATTGTTTGTTTGGCAACTCTCTTGTGCAGATGGTGTAGTGCTGATTCTTTAGGATTGATCACTTATTATTGTCAGGGGAACAAATTGGATTTCATCCAAAAATGAAATAATCCGTTGATTTAAGTTGTCTTATCCTGTGGTTACGTTTGAGTATTGTTCAGTCTCTTCTAAGGATGATTTACTGGTGAAAACTTGAATGTTTAATCCTTACTCTGCTGTAAATGTGATGGTTTCTAGGAATACTATTTCTTGAAACACTGAACTGATAATGCTGATGTTTCATGTATCTCTTGGAATGATTCAGGGTAACCTAGTGGTCTGATTGTTACACAAAAGACATGGGATCACTTGATTGTCTGGACCAGACATGATTATTTACATACTGCCACCATATAGCTGGAATATTGTTGAGTGTGGCGTTAAATAACTAACCAGTGAAATATTGTTTGGGACAAGTATTATCAGATTTAGTGTATCTTATAAAATGGATGAGTATCCTGTTTGATTGTCAGAATGAGAAGATGGAGAGGATCCTGAAAATCCAGAAATCCACAACAACCAGTTGGTGCCGACGTGTTGGAGCATACACATCACTGATGGCACAGCTGAAGGAGGTAGGTTTCAGGATTACTGTGGTATTGTGTTGATGAAAGTGACAGTTGTAAAAAGGTTTTATATTTTGAATAGATTAATATATCAACCAACATAAAAAAATGAAATTGGAGAAACAAAAAGTGCACATTGTTTGTCCGACTTGATGTTTTCAAATAAAATGAAACAAAAACATTGTAACTTTGTATGCTTTCATTGATTGTTCTCTTATAACATAAAAATAGGAGGCAGTGTTTTATTTTTCATATTTGTGGCATTAAGTAACCACAGACCATTCAAACATACCACAAATATTCGGATTTTTGGTATTTTAAAATTGTCATGAACAATCACTGACATGTGCACTTTTAAATGGAAGATGTCATTTGTCACTTTGAAGGCCAAAGTTTACAGCTAGGTGTTGGCACAGGAAAGTTATTTTTGTATATGATTATTTGCATTGGATGAAACTTGCTATTACCAAACTGATGATCTCTGAAACTACCAGTTGGTTGAAGGCTTGTACATTTTTAAGAAATAAGTGTCTCTTAAACATATCTTGACTTGTTTCCTGTATTCTGCTGTTTACATTGCTTGATGCTTCTGTTTTATCTGCTTGTCCATTTTGATGTGGTTGTTGCATCATCTTCTTTGCAGATACCAAAGCTGAAGATTTCTAAGAAGGGAAATGCCAAATCAAATGGTGACAACAAGAATAGGCAGATTGATCTCACCTACAAGAGTCCCCTCCTGTCTTTCAAAGCATATAGGTGAGAGGCAGTCACTGTAATATAGGGTTCTTCTGTAGGTCTCAAGCTGAAGTTGATCCCCCAGTTCAGGTCCTCAAATGTCAAAATGTTGGGTTCCTCGATTAGGTAGATGAAGTTGGTACTAAGTTCAGTATCCTCAAAAGTCACAAATGTAGGATTCCTTGATTTGGTCTCTTGTGGAAGGCGTTGGTCCCCAGTTCCCAATCCTCAGATGTCAGATGACTAGGTCTCCAGTGGAATAATTTGGTCCCCAGCACTGATGCTTGTCAGTCATAATTCTGTAAGATGTGAAGCACCACAAGAAAGTGATCATTAGATGGGTTGAGGTGGGAGGCATTTTCTCTTATATTTTTAAACCAACAGTTCCAGGTGTTTGCGTTCTATAACAGACAGGATATGATTCACAAAGAAGCTTGATGCTTGTCAACACTGAATATCGTGTATTAATTAAAGTAGAGTGCCATTTCAACGCATGTAGTGGTTTTCATTCTCCGAACAATCCGACAAAACCATATCCTCCTACTCTCAGCTTGATTCCTTGTTGTTTTCTCCACAGGTTCAGTCCATATTACAGAACCAAATCCAACAAAACCATATCATCCATCACCTATTCCAACAAAATCAACCCAAAGAAAATCTTATGTACTTACGACCTCCATGGCCGGTGCAATGATGAAAAGTGTACTGGGTAAGTGTTGTATGTCTGGACGTACTGCTTTCTTTGCCTGATGGTGTGGTATTTGTATTTATTGGATGTCATGAATACAGTATGCATATTGGATGCCATGAGTATCATATTAGTGTTGGGAATTGGTTGAAATCTCACAATTGGTTAGCGTAATTTTTCAGATTTTCCTATCCAGGTTGTTATTGCAGATATGTATAACATGATGCAACTTGCTACTTTAAAGTGATGACTAATATATCATGAACATAAACTTCCTGGAGTCTTCAAGAAATATTCAGTCATGGCTTTTCAGTTAGTGAAGTGAGTTTTCTAAGAATTAAACACGTTTTCAGGCACTAACAACTAACTGATATGTTCCGTTGTTCCGTTGTTAAGTATTTCAAAGACTAAAACAGTAGTTCAAAAATCGTTTATGTTCGATTATGAGAAAATGTGATCGATTGCTTGGTCGTTTGGTCACTGCGACCAATCTTCGATTATTTCAATTAATCGGAACACCACTAGTTCATATACATTCATGTTGGATGTTGTGATTACCTTATGTGTATTGGGTGTCACAATGAGCTTTGAATGTCATGAATCCAATGTTATGATTGTATGTTAATGGATACAGTATGTGTATTGGTTGTCATGGATACAATATGAGCATTAGGTGTCATGAGTACATGATCATGATTATACATATTGGATGTGAGGATACATTATGTGTATAGGTACTATGGATACAAAAGTGGTCGTGGATGTCATTAATGCAATTTAAAAATTGGATGTCATGTATATATTATCGGTATTAGGTGTCATTAATGCCATGGGAACATGAGTGTTGGATGTCATGAATGGTTATTAGTTCATATCATTTCAAGTATGTAGTATTGGTCGCCATGAAGGATAATTATTAAATATCCTCTATGCATATTGAACATCATGCTTGTGACAATGTTTATACAAGGTGGATTTAGGATCTTGGAACCCCTGAGTCTTTACCTTATAACATTAGTGCTATGACAAGACATCTTGACTTCTCTTCTTAATTTCAAACAATGTACAGTGCAATCAGTGTGTGAAATAGACACTGGCCTGCTAACCTGTGGCTAGTAAAAAAAGCCTGACTGGCTAGTGAATTTTTATGGGGTCAATTTTGTAAATACATCACTCTCTCTGACTTGTTATGTTATAATACACTTTTAAGTCATGCATGATTAAGGCCTGATAAAAATGTTCATCATATTAGCTATAGCAGCTTAATGATGAAACGCGTGTCTACGTTCAAATTTTGGGCTAGTGAATTATTTTGTGGGATAGTAACTTTCAAGCATAGCTAGCCCGACTGGCTAGCAAAATTTGGAAACTTTTTCGCACACTGAGTGCAATGTGTGTTGGATGTAAATGTCGTTAGGTGTTACTAACTTAGGTGTCATCTATACTGGGTATTGGATGTTTTATATATATGGTATTATGAATGGTAGATGTCATGAATGAAGAGTATGAGCTGTCAGTGTCAGTATGTGAAGTTTCACATCCAAGGTAGTCCATGGTCCCGTGTGTTGCAGGTAGCCAGACTTGATACTACAAACATGGTGAAATGATCTGTATATTATCATTGTCTGGTTCTTTCATCAGCCAACATGAGCGAGACTTCAGGTTGTCAGAACGAGAGGTGCTCCAGGACTTGGTGTCCTACTGTCCCAAACTGGCAGGGGTGAAGGACACCTCTTCACAAGACTGTGGCAAGTCTATAGGTGAGTTCACTTATTTGAATCTGGTTCTAGTTTAGTGCTTTCTCTGTCAATGACTTTGTAGTTTTGACATGTTAAGACTTCTGTGGTATAGTGTGTAGAATGTTTGAGTGCATATACTTTGTAGTTTGATCCTTGTCTATGTCATGGGAAAAGATGCACCATGCTACAATTCTATGCCACCACACCATGCTGTCATACCACACTCCCCCCTCCCTTCATTTCATCCACCCCCACCCCCACTCCCACACCCAACCACACCACCCCACCACACCTCACCCCACCCCACCAGAGCTGACTGGTGAGGTAAAGATATTTACCTTTAGATTGTGTCAAGACTTGATTTACAGGACTCCATAACACAGCAACATTCAGTCTCACTATTATCACTACTTTCCCCATATACCCTGTTTCTCTGTGAGACATGATGCTTTTTGAACAGGATGGAGTCTGAGACTGTTTCACTGCCTGTTCTGTTTCCACAGGTACTTACATAGATAATCTAGTCCGTCAACACGAGGGTCAGATGAGGTCTGATCAGTTGTGTCTCCTACTTGCATCCAAAGTCACAGAAGAAGCCAGCAAAAGTAGGTGTCTCCTACAACCTTATCTCTCAACTCTCTAATTAGTCCTTCTTTGACAGTCTTTTGCCTGTGTTCCGTACTTGTTGTTAGACATCTTGTTTTATGAAGTCGAAGTGTGTAAATAACCATGCATCTTTCTGTGAGAAGGAAAATTGTTGGACCTAAACCTTTACTGATCCTGAATGCAATTCCAGGGCCCTGTTCCACAAAAAGATTTGCACTGATTTGATCTTAACTCCCATACTTCAACATAGACTTATGACTGCCATAGTGGATTGAAAGCTTTGTGGAGTAGGTTCCTATGTTATTCTCTGATGTTTCACCAAAGTAGAAACTGCTTCAACCCTATATAATGTTGGTTTGTTGTGATAAAACAAACCAAATGTATGTTCAAAACTTCATGCCATCCAACGGACCCGTGAAGATCCGGGGTAGAATAGGTCTTCAGCAACCCATGCTTGCCACAAAAGGCGACTATGCTTGTCGTAAGAGGCGACTAACGGGATCGGGTGGTCAGGTTCTTTGACTTGGTTGACACATGTCATCGGTTCCCAATTGCGCAGATCAATGCTCATGCTGTTGATCACTGGATTGTCTGGTCCAGACTTGATTATTTACAGACCGACGCCATATAGCTGGAATATTGCTGAGTGCGGCGTAAAACTAAACTCACTCACTCACTCGTGCCATCCAACTAATTCACTGCGACAATAAAATATAATAAATGCTACACTGTTACTGCAGAACAGTATTAAACTCTTAGCTTCCACATGATGGGACTAACACTTTACCAATGGTTACTTGTTTGATCAGTTACAGTCTTATAGTGTTTGTTTCCCTTACAGACCGTCCACATACCATGTTCTATGATCCTCGGACATGGAAACCTGTCCAAGACCATCCAGACGGACAGGAAACAGTGTCAGAGTTCAAGGGCAAAGGGTCAAGGTCATTAGGTAAGTGTATGCCTTGAACACATTGATGTTTTTGGAGTAACCGATAACTCACTGCTATCAATCCTTGTTTCAATTTTACGAACATAATGTTTTCATTTTCAGAATTTCTGAACAACCCAATTCCACCTGACCGAGACAACATCTTGTGTGATGAGGATGTACGTTACTATGGGGGCAATAACACTGAAATCCAAACAATGGAGACAGCTGTTTTGGAGAACCCTCAGGATGTTACGTTGTGGTTGAAACTGGCTCAGAGGAAGTTGGCATCAGACAAGTGAGTACAGATAGTATTCTTGAATGTCACATGTACCTATTCAACCATGGTGCTCTTTTATGGCACATGGTTTTGTTTGTTTAATGCTGTACTCAGCAATGTTCCACCTTAATGATCACAGTCTGAAATATTGTCCTGACAATTTAGGCCACATATAATCCAACATATCCCACCAGTACCAACTTAAGAAAATAAAAAAACCAACCCATAACCTAAAACAAAAGAAGGAAAATAAAAACAACCACAACCAATCCAAACTACCCTGTACCTCTGCTGCCTCCATCACTTCTGGCAAAATTCCAAATTAAAAATTCATTTAAAAATTAAATATGCAACCCTAAAGCCCCATCAGGTTGTCCTCTCTTTCAGGTCATAATCACCCCTCTTTCGATCAAATACTAAATGGCCTGGCAGACCCATGTGTAAAATATGCTTCATGTTGGAAAGCACACGTAAAATCTCCAAATCATCATCACAAAAAGAATTGATTCATCGATCATGTCGCTGAGTGCGACTTTGTATGACACTATTACTGATCCACAGACCCTTGAAGATCCGGGTTAGAATAAGCAAAAGATCATGAGTCAGGATAAGAAAGAATATGTAATTTTTCAAGTAAAATTGATATTTTATGCTTATGCTGACTCATGAGGTCAAGCCCTCCCAACCTCCCCGCTGGAAACACTTAGGATTTCACAGCAGATCCAAGTGCTTGGGCAGAAAAATCAGGAGAGAGTGACAAGTAAGGCTGGTCACATGACTGTTTACGCAGGAAAAGGGAGGTAACTCGTGGGTGAGTGTATTTTTACGTCCGCTTCGGGAACTTCAAGGGATTCAAGTGTTCCACTACCATTCGCAAAGGAAAGGGAGATAAGCAAAAGATCATGAGTCAGGATAAGTATAAAATATCAATTTTACTTGAAAACTTACATAATTGGTGTAAGGAATACATTATTTATTAGATTGTCAAACTAGTATCGGGGAGGACAGTGACCCAGATGTCTTATTCACAACCATTTGTATTCAGTAAGGATGTAGGATTTCGCTCTCAGAATTTGAGCAATATACTTGAAGTGAGTACTTTACTGCCACCCCAGAGTCTGAGTGTTATTATGTATCTGTCATAGTAAATTAAGTAGTGAAGCCAAGATTTAAAAACCAATTAAAACATGTGGAGGTCCCTGTGAACCCATTCACCTAAGACATAGTAATTTGCTGTGGAGAGTTGCACTCATCCTTAGTCATGGTAGAAATCAGTGGTCATAGGGCTGAGATCTTAATTCTGATACTAGTGATAGGTTTGTTGGCATCATACTGATGCTTGTTTGTTCTTCCAAAATAAATCATGTGTGTCTTTTTTTAAATCTGCAAATGAATAGGGGTAATAAAAATAATAGAACTGAAATGAGCTCTACTCTGTACATACACCTTTGGTGAACCTACCATTTGCTTTGTTTCTACAGGTTGATCACTGGATTGTCTGATCCAGACTCGATTATTTACAGACCACCGCCATATAGCTGGAATATTGCTGAGTGTGGTGTAAGACTAAATTCACTCACTCATTTGTTTCTAGAAAGATTGTTGCAAGGCTAATGTCAGTTGAAATGTCTTTTAGCTTGGAACATCGCTGTTTGTGGGATGTAATGAATATCACTGTTGACCGCGCCGTTGTTCAAAACAACCTTAACGCTACAGCAGTTGTAAGTCTTTTAAGGTATGGAAGTAGGCGCTAAGATCACTTTGTACAATGGCACCCAAACACTTGTTGGCATCACTCTCCCTTGAAGCAGGATTGATAAATTGATTAAAAGTAGAACAGCAATCCACATAGGGCATATGTATTGATGGATTCAGCTTGGTTCTTGTTTGTAGTTTGATTGTTGTTTAACAGTGCACTCAACAGTATTCCATCTACCTAGAGACAGCATGTTAACAGAGCTACAGATAACTTTTTGGGTCATTGAGTATGTACTTGCTTGTCTTCATGTCAATTAAGCCCATTTCTGGTGTCCCCCGCTGTGATATTGCTGGAATATTGCTAAAAGCGGCGTAATACTAAACTCAGTCAGTCTTCATGTCAACTGGGTATCTTAATTTTCCTTTGAGTAACCAAATAAATTGTACTCACCTCACTCAAACTCAAGTGGGTATTTTGCCATTTTCAATTTATTTTTAAAATATAAAGTTTTTATGTTAGTGTTTGTGATTTACATTTGATCTGTAACATGAGAAAAGATAAGAAAGACTGCAAGTTTGTCAAGTTCATGTCCTGAAATAGAACCTCTCGATATACCTCAGTTATTTTATCTATCTACCGGTACACAAGCTACAATATGACATTTTTGTGTGTATGCATGTAAGACCACATTTATTGAGTATTTACAAAACTTCAAGCGTATTTGTACGCAATAGACTTAATAGGAATTGAGTTTTCATGATAAATATTTGCGTAATTTACACAGATACGCAACTTACGTGTACCTCTGTGTAAATAATTGAATCTGGACCAGACAATCCAGTGCTTGATACTGTGAGTAGCAATGTACATGGCAGACTCACTGACTTGATACATAGTGTGTCATTGAGCAGTGTTACAAACCTTGTCAAATACTGCCCATGAAGAATGCAAAAAGCTCTTTGGGTGCATCTAAAATGCAATACAAGAGTTGACAGCTCTTGTGTCCGTTGGAAATTTCTTTTTAAAAATCACTCCGTTTAAATAACTGGCGTAGTATATATTGTCAATAAATTTCTGTCAGAAAATTCTAAATACAGCTCACAAATCTGCCTATCAGGAAGCAGAAGGTTGTCACTGCAACAGTGATTTTCTTCATTTTCGTATTTGTTTGTTACCTTGACATACATCACTCGCATCACATACATGTTTGTAAAGAAGCAAGATTTTTCCGATAAATTAGATCTATGATTACGACAGATAATTAGTGGCTACCATGCTGTGCATGAGTGATTTTGGCAGTTCCGTGACTACTGTCACCAGGCTTGGTTCAGGACATACCCAGACTTAACTGTTCCAGTCTGCAGTGAACCAACTTAACATGGATTCAGCCCACAGAATCGTATTCATGTTTCCAGTTGAAACTGCCTCAATCAATGACATAAACACATGATATTAAATATACAGGCCCATGAGTTATTGTGGTTAACTTTTCCAAACTAAAAACTCTTCAAAAATGTTTGTTCATTGTATTTAAGTTGTGGGTGATAAACAAATTGAGTACAACAGGTATATAAACACTTCAGTCTGAGGGAGCAGTTAATACCTACTGGCAAACAAGGATAAGTTGAGCACCGACCTGACAATTGACCTGTATTAGCATGTATGAGAGCCGCCCACTGGCGCTTGCCTCAGGTTGTCTGTGATCAAGTGTAGTGCTACACTGACCAAGTGAGAGTCTTATGAGCAAGGCGTGTGCAGCTACGCGCGGAATCAATTTCATCATCATGTACTGCACGTGCACCAGCCTACATCTGCTTTACCTTTCACAAACCAAATGGGTTTGCTCACTGCCATGCACTGCCTAATTCCCATAAACGTGTTCTCTGCACCGGTCCAACTTATCCTTGTTTACCAGTAGTTGATGTATTTGGTGTACAGGTTAAAGTAAAATACAAGTTAAGATTTTTTATAAAATATTTATATTTATTAACATGATAGATGTAGAATAGGAAAATTTATGATCTTTCTGTATTCATTTATGATTATTAATTCATCATCAGTTACTTTTACAAACCAATTGATCTGGAAACCATAACAATTGATCTTAAAACTATGATGACTGTAGTTTGTAACTATATGCCAAAGAATCAATTACCCTCCATCTATTACTACCAACTCTATTACTACCAACTTTGTTGCCACTTGCTGATTGTATTATCAACACCTTATGTTTGGGATGACTTTCTCAATAAAGTACAGATGCTAGTACTTTAGTTGCTTGAGTCCCATCCGGGATTCAAACCCACGCTCTCAGTCAGGCACCTAATTGCAAACACACACAGTCAGCCATCTAACCCAATCAGTGGGACCATGGGGGTAGCCTAATGGTTAAGCTTCCGCTCGTCACACTGAAGAATCGGGTTCGATTCCCCACATGGGTACAATGTGTGAAGCCCATTTCTTGTGTGCCTCTCCTGTGATTTTGATGGAATATTGCTAAAAGCAGCTTAAAACCATACTCGCTAACACTCCCCACTGTGGCTTCCACAAGTCATCCATCTAAACCATTCACCCACCAAGGCTTCCACATTTCATTTGGTTTATATTTGATATACTGGTATATCGTGTGCGTGTGTGTGCATGCATGCGTGTCAGTCATTGAGCATTTTCACCATAGGGACATAAGGATAAAATGTCTATTCCTGCAATTAAAATTGTGCGAGTTGTGAAACTAAGGGTTTTTTAAGTCTGGAAAAAGACATTTGGTTCTGAATTTCTCTGTGTTGAGAAGTCATGTGGAACACTGTTTTGAAATACTTCTTTCCAACCCACACCTGCTTTGTATAATCCAGTCTACTCCATTTCACTCATGTAGACAGAGAAAGCCTGCTTTGAAAACATTGTTGTCATCATTATTGCTCCCTGGTTGCTGATCCTGGTGGCTGTGCCTCATTGCCCTATCATTTAACATGTGCATAAAAACACAACTAGAATTCTCTACGTCTGCTCCATCTCCCTCGGCTCAGCAAACAATGCAACAATTGACTTATTCCTGTCTTCAAGTTAATTGTATTAATCCCCAACACATAAGCAGCATAGCTGCTTCATTTTGTAAAAGCTGAGAAATGCAACCTAAGATTCATCTGCCAGTTTTGAGATTTTAACATCAGGAAAAAATCTCCAGCTTGTGGGTTCTTCCTGTTTTTGTACTGATCTGTTATCATTCATATCCTTACCTAAACACCGAAAAGTGGCAAGGTCAGGGACTTGTGTCTAAATAAAACACCCAGGATGTGTAAGGTCGGTGACAGCTAGTCGTGTGATGTGTGTGGATCCACCATCATTTGTATGGTATTTTTACCCAATAGGATCACAGCAGAAATTGTGTTTGATCCGAGACCAGAATGTTGTCTCTCTGGGTTTCCTGACTATGTAAGCAGCTGAAAAAGATTTGTTGATGTGGGAAGTTATCAGATGCAGTGACAGCATAGATAAATGCCTATTGTATAACGCATTGTTGTTAGACATTGTTGGATGGTATGTTTTCCTGATCACAAGAAGATATGTCTTCAATGCTATTGTGTTGAAGGTGGCTTTCCTGTTTTAATGGGAAGCGAATGTTTGTCTTCATTATATGCAGTGCGCATAGGATTACATTGTTTCGTCTGCATAGTGGAAATAAGGTTATAAATTTGGAAAACGTGACCAGTGTTTGAAAGAATTATTGTTAAGGAGTCATTACATTAGAACTGTGAAGGAGGGAGGTTTTGTTGCCTCCAGAAGTGTCATGCTGTGGGACACCAGAAATGGGCTTTAACATTGTACTCATGTAGGGAATAGAACTGGGTCTTCAAGGACCAGCAAATGCTTGGCTATCACTCCAACATCTTAATGGTTATAAGCAGTGTATGAAATAAGCCAAAAATCCAGTCAGACGTCAGGGCTGGTAACTTCAAAATGTTACCCGCCCAAAATGGATTTAACCAGACCAAATATGGTGAATTTACTCAGATGTATGGAACATCTAAAATTGTTACCAGACCATCGGGCTGGCTAGCTGTAAATTTAGACCGTCCGTCAGAAATCTAGCCCATCTCGGGCGGTCGGACGGGCCTTATTTCATACACTGTTATAAGTTGAGCTTTATTCTATTCCAGTACTTTTACAGCAGAACTCGAGTCTAAACAAAACTCATGAACCCCAGGATCCCCGTAATTTCTCACACTGATAAAAATTTATGAAAACATCAAACTTCTTAAAGGTATTTGAAGTGGAGCCATGACTTATTAATATACTCATGGAAACGAATAAGGGAACACATGAAAGTACAAGTGTTCCTTTATTCTTTTCCAGGTTTCTTCACAAGGTATGTATTCAACTGTGTGTGAAATTTTGGGAATAAAATACAGGAACACTTGTACTTTCATGTGTTCCCTTATTCGTTTCCATGAATATATTTGTTAAATATCACCACCTTAGGTAGAACTGTATCACTGAAACATTTTACAATCATTATCATTCTGCTGCTCACAAAAGATTTCTTGTTTCGCTCTCTGCAACTATTTTTTCTGCTTGGGAGCGAAAACTAAATCAGGCTTTTTGGTTTTCATTTGCCTGCTAATCTTAAGGTTGTGCTATAGCCAGTTTGGCTTGTGAAGGCAGTGCCTCTGAATTGGAGTTTGATAATAGTGCACTGTCTTTTCTTATGTTGAGGTGGAGGGTAATTCAACAAAAACAATGAAATTTGCTGATGAAACTGGTGTCAGTGTTGTCTCTGTGTATATAATACATCCGATACCTTGTGCTCCATCACCTAACGTGGGAAGTGGTGTACAGAAAACATTGCTTGCGGTGATTCACCCTTACCCTGTTCCTTGACAGACTCCATGAAGACTATCGAAAGGCTCCAGAAATTGTTGTTGTTGAATTCCTTGTCGTCTGGGAATCCTGTTTTACTTCTTGAAATGTTTACCGTTCACAGAGACCATTCTGCAGTGGAGTTTTTGTTGCTGTTGTCAAAACAGTGGACTAAGATCATCTTGAATTGAAAAAAATTCTGTCGAGTTAACAATGGCAAATGGCATGGAAGCCATTTCAAGGGGAACAACTCTTGTTGACAAAGATTTCATTTGGCAATGATTTGGAATTAATGGTCTGCAGCTGTAGAGAAACTATATATGTGTATCTTTCTTTTTATTCAGACAATCCCAATAAAAAAAATTCTTATTGATATTCTTTCCTATCCAATGTACATTTTTCAGAGGAAATGCAGAAGTGTTGTGTTAAAAGAAGCCGAATGTAAATATTTCATGTTTACTTTAGAATTGTCAGATACAGCTAGGTTGTTTAAAAAGTTGTTTTTCAGTTCACTCCATTTAGCCTTCCTTGATGCTCACGAAACACACGCTAGAAAGACGTCTCAAGTTATTTTGGAAAGAATCTAATTTCTAAGATAATTTCAGTTGTATGCCTTGTCTGTCAATTAAAACAAAAAGCTGCCGAAACGCATCATTCTTGTCAAAGATTGACATGGTCCACACATGCAGTAAATCAGTTTCCCTGTAAACCTGCTGAATTATTTTTGTCACTTCAGCTAAGGCATTTAAAAGCTTTTTTCCTTGGAAATATATCTTGTTGAAATTAAATCTTGGTTCTGCTTTTTCCCCTAATGAAAATGTTATAACTTGTGAATCTATTAATGATATGCAAACTTTTTGCCATTCCTTGACTGTTGCTCTCAATCTAGTGGTTCATTAGCATCCTCATCAGGAAAGATGAGCTGCCAGATACTGTATTTATTTATTTTAAGGAATTATTGCTCTAATAATTGGTATTTGCCAAGTTGGTCTTCATATTATTAGATCACCTCTGTTCATATTTTAATATATATTAATCATCAGGCATGTCAAGCTGGACATTTTTTTCTTGTATAGATGAGCTAGCCAATCCTAGACTTAACGGAAATTAGATAATTAGTGTTGATTATAATTTTTTGTGCTCTTTCTTGAGGCAGTCAACCATAAGTCGACATTTGCATCTTACATGTTTACTCCTTTTCTTTACTGGATTTGGGATATTGACCATTAAAATATGAACCAAAGAAAATAAATAAACATAAAGAATAGAACCATGACTTCTTGGTGCTCACGGGTAGCTTAGTGGTTAGGCGTTCACTCATCACACAGAAGATCTTGGGTTTTATTGCCTAGTTCAACAATATATGAATCTCATTTCTGGTGTAAAAGACGTTAAAATATGGTACTTGTTGGTCCCAGTCTCGCGCTCTCGCGCTCGGCATTAATTGGTACAACAAGGACTGGTCGGCTTGGAGTCAGTATGTGTCTGAGTGGGGTATTCATGCTTCACTGCGGCATGGTATCTCAGTGGGCTAGCACTATAAAACAAGCTTCAGTCTGGGCCAGTACAAGCAGCCGCACATACACATACACACGCATGCACGTCGTCATATGAGCGAAATATTCTCAAGTGTGACTTTAAACCCAATTTCACATCACACATCACATTTCTGGTGTCTCCAGGGGCTGGGGGGTAGCCTAGTGGTTAAAGCTTCTGCTCGTCACTCCGAAGACCTGGGTTTGATTCGCCACATGGCTACAATGTGTCAGTCCCATTTGTGGTGTCCTGCCGTGATATTGCTGGAATATTGCTTGCTAAAAGCGGTGGAAAACCAAACTCACTCACTCTGGTGTCTCCAGCCATGATATTGATGGAATTATGCTAAAAGTAGCAGAACGCAATACTCACGCCCTCACTCCAGGAAAGGGCTTGTTGTAAGAGTTGTGAAATAATGATTTGGTGAGAACAATGTGTGGTTATTGTATTTCATGTTACCCCAACAGTGTGGATGTTGCTCACCACTGACAATACATGTATTGTGAAGCACCATTTACTCACTCACTCAACTGTTAGACTTGGGTAGTAATGACACTGTGGATCTTGTACTGAATGAACTCCCTAGTTCATTGTGGGTGTCTCAAAAGCTATCATTGTTGCTCATTTCAGAAGCTAGTTCGTCTGGTAAACACTTGATTATCTATAGACTGCTATCATTGTCTCAGAGTGAGCATCATTATAAAATAAATGACAAAATATTTAAAATATTAAATATTTATAAAACAATTTTGTTTTCTGTTGCAGCTCGTCAGAAGCCAACTTGGACCAGGCCCTGAACGTTCTGGCACGTGGTCTGGAGTCGAACAAGGACAGTGATGTGTTGTGGCACCGATACCTGTCTCTGTATCAGTACCATCGGGATGCTGGAGATCTCCCTCATCTCTGCCAGATGGCTCTTCAGCATGCTCCCTCATACCAAATATGGCAGTTGGTAAGTAATTTGAATTTTTTTTAGTCATTTGTTTTATTTAACCTCTTCAATAATACTGTTGTGTCCTGGGAGGGCATTGGTTCCCACTGGGCTGGTAGGATGGAGAAGTGGCTGAAGGGTTGGATCATCTCAGGACAGTGTGTCTTGAAAATGATGGAATATTTCTGAATCCACTTGCAGTTGTCCTTCCTTGCTGCTAGCCATCTTGGGTCTTCTAAAACTGTATGAGGTGTTCGGATGGCAAGCAATAGCAGATGGACTTGCCCTGAATCCCATTGATCCCAGTAAATCCTAAGTTACATGAGAGCTCACTGCCACGCTGCATTGTGTGACATTGTCCTGTTCCAAAACTATCGAAGACTGTGACAGCATATAGCAACAGATTCATATTAGTCACAGCACTATGTCAGGAGTTGGGCCAGAACCCTTGATCATGCGTTTAGATCCCCAGTTTGTACATTTTGTTTCCAGGTTTGTGACCACCAACTGTTATGAGTTTCAGCTAATTGGGAAATGTTAAGAACAGCATCACTTAGGGCTTTCAAACTGAATTTTCATGCACTCACTAATTCACTCAACTGCTCACTCATTCACCAAGGCATGGTGTAGCCGAGTGGTTAAAGTGTTCTTTCTGAATGTCGAAGACTCGGGTTCTATTCCCCACATGGGTACAAGGCGTGAAGCCCATTTCTGGTGTCCCCTGCTGTGATATTGTTGGAATGTTGCCCAAAGGGAGCATAAAACTAAACTCATTCCCTCACCCACTGACCCACTCACTTACTCACTGACCCACTCTCCCACTCACACATACTCTGTGGGATATATCAAGTCACGTGTCAGTTGTTGCCATCAGCTCCCAGTCAGGATGATTTGCCGACCCAACACTGCCTTACTACACTGCTAATTTACTCCACTGATGAGATGCCATGGTCCCACTTTGTTTTAACTTGACAGCTGGCCTGTTCAACATAAATAAACCAAACATACTAAAAAGCCTTTTTAAAGAACCGATCTGTTGTATTGTAATCTTGTACAGGGAGACTTGTCATTGATAAACATTGCTAATGGACACGCTTTGTTTTGCTGTTTATTTTGTTGTTTATTTTGTAAGCATTTGCCATTAATTTATTACATTAATTATTGCACAGTTGGCTGTTTAAGGAACACAATCTTTTTCACAAAAGTGTAACTGTTATGTTCCTAGTTATAGCTTCAGGTGTGGCATTGCTGTTGCAAAATGTCAGGATTTATTTGGAACCAACGGACCCCAGAATTAATGCTTTATTTCTTGTCCAATCAGATAACAATTTCAAGCACATATATCATTTGTGGTAAAGAGGAACACCTTGAAATAACTTTCACCTCTTCAAAGAGTCTTGAAGAAAGTCAGCAGTGTGAATGTAAATCCAATGGTGACAGACAGAACACATGGCCATGCCATGAAAACTAATTGGTGTGTAAATAGTGGATGAGAATTTACAAGGAAGCACTTGGAACTTCAGCCATGGTTATCATCAGGAGTGTCAGATTCTAGTGTTCTGATAAACTGTCTTGTGCTGTTACGTAGGCCTCCACGCTAAAACAACATGCCAAGGGTGCTTCATTTCTCCCACACGTCCACATGGGGAGATAAGTCATTGATTATTCTTGAATCTTTGATCTACATTTGGTGATGACAGTACTGACTTTGGATCTCTTGCTCAGATAGGATGGATCAGGTTCATATTTATTTAGCTTGTCATCACTGAGATGTAATAAATCAGGTTACAACATTAATCATATTTTTGCGGTACTTCCTGTGTTCTATCTTCTTCCAGTTGCTTTGGAAAAAACAGAAATAAAGATTATGTTGTCACTGGAAATCTGTTAGATTTCACATTTTGATGGATAATCATGCTTGATTCAATACTAACTAATTTTTATAGTTTAGTTCTTTTTCTGTGAAAAAGATAATTTTATGTTGAAATTATAATGTATTTACAGCATTCTGCTGGGGCCTTACTTGATTAATATTTCCAGGCTTCAAACAAAGGGTAATAAAAGCAGTGATATGCTGCTAATCTAGTTTGCTAAGTGGAATTATTGCTTGATAAATATGAGGCAGAAACTGCGGAGTCATACTTGACAGAACTGGATCTGAAGAGGAATGTGTTGTCATATTCGAAATACCATCTGAACACAGAGATTTTCTTTGCAAGGTTATGGATATATGATGAACCTCGGGTTAGAATATTGATCTTCAGTAACCCATGCTTGTCATAAGAGGCGACGAACGGGATTGGGTGGTCAGGCTCACTGACTTGGTTGACACATGTCATCGGTTCCCAATTGCGCAGATCGATGCTCATGCTGTTGATCACTGGTCCAGACTCGATTATTTACAGACCGCCACAATATGGCTGGAATATTGCTGAGTGTGGCGTAAAACTAAACTCACTCACTCACACTTTATCGCCTCTATCATAGATCTTATGTACTGAAAACAACCTGAAATGACATATTTGGGCAGATTTGCAACCAGTTGTGTCTAAATTATAAAGCTGTTAAACAACTTGACTGTACAATGTTCTACCTGTTTTGAGTGTTTACATGAGCGAAGAAATGATGTGTTGGTTTTGAACAGTTTAGTGATGTAGCCGACGTGACATCTGCTGTTCGGTCAGATTGGAGTTGTCTCCCTTTGTCCACTATCTGCACTGACCATCTTGGTTCAAATAGCATGATCGTTAAATTAATGTTTGTTTTTCTGCCTGAGGCCTTCAGCAGTTGTAATTCTTTAACAGATACAATCATCTGACACCATACATAAATAAATCGGCAATAAACTGAGATTGTTAAGAACTGGCAACACATTTAAAGATGATAATTTGTCATATTGTACCCCTGGGGCTAGAGGTCCTATTTCCTTCCGTTTTATTTCCAGCAATCTTTACCTTGTCGGGTGTTTTTTGTAACATTTGATTTGATTTGTGATGCTGGGTTTATTTTGTTTCATCATATCCTTGTGTGTGTTTATATGGGTTGTCTTTGTTGATGAAGCAAGGAAGTTTCCCTGATTAATATGACATTCAATACACTGGTGCTGCCATAGACTGTCATATCGCACCAATTAATATGATTAATCTTTCCTTTACTCATGTTAAACTGATGCCCAAAAGATAGTGGTAAATTGAGTTTTTTTATTCCTTTTGGAGATAAGGGCCCTACGTAAACTGCCAACAGTAACATTATCTCAAATCTTGAAATTTTATCTGCAAACAGAAGAAGTGTGTTGTCCTAATTGAAGTTCTTTTCAGACATATTAAGCCAATGTTTATCCTCTTATGTCAGTTTATTTGAAAGCTCACACCCAAAAAACCTTTTCAATGAATTGAAAAAATGAAAGGGAAAAAACTTGACATGGAAGAAGTGTATCCGGAATTGTTCATGATTTCTAAGTCATGGCTTCAAGTAGTTTCTGGAAACAAGTGACGTGTCTGAGTTTACAGGAGCTAGCCCAGTGGTTAGAGCACTTGCTTTTCAGACAAAAGGATGAGTTTGATTCTCAATATTGGTGCAATTTGAAATGCAACTTGTGTATAATATATGGCTGAAGTATTACTGAAAGCAACATTTTCTTCATGCTTCTTTTGTTTTGTAGTGGTCTGTGTAATTATTTCTGTTAATTCTGCTTTTCTACTTTGGCATGAACCATCTCTCATCAGAGTTTTATGTAATGTTAGGTATTCTTCCTTCAATGGCCATGTAAACTGTCCACTGTCGTATCTGAATCATAAAAGCCTGTCCATTTGTATCATAGGAACGTATTTTGAAACATGACGGTTAAATTTAATAGCACTATTCTATTCTGACATTAAAAAAAATGAATTCAGTTTGATTCCAAGTGTTGTGACAAAGTAGGGAATCCTCAAAGTATATGACTTGATCAGATAATGCATTGATGTCATTAAAATTCTTGGAAGTTGTATATTGTGTACCACATGTGGCCAGCCAGAAGACATGAAGAAACTTGCAGTGATTACCCTGCAGACTCAGTGCCCGAGATTCCCAAAGTTATTCCAGAGAGTCCCCAGGCCCCTTCAATAGCAAGACCTAGGTAAATCCCTGCTCGTTCACTCCATGTCAAACAATGACAGTCTCCTGGTGCTTTGTAATGGAACTGTAAATAAAGAGCTGTCTGTTGTGGACACCTACGACTTGCCTCCCCATGCTGACATCCCCTCATCCGTGCATCAACAGTTTGTGAAGACCGCCCCCAACTCCACACATGTCCAGCCATGAAAAAAAGTTCAATCCAGAGTATAAAGTTTTCATTGAGCGTTGTCCCTGGACCCCACAGCCGGTATTTGAAAATAATCTGCAGCAGCATGCAGTCGGGCAATATGTCAGCCATATGCTGACAGTGATGACTGGAAAGTGAGCTGTTCCTTTGTGGTTGGACTTGGACCTTGCTGTGCTGTGTCGTGCAACATGGGTTGGGAGTGGTTGTTTCCTGTTACGTCAGCACCCACTGATATTCCAGCAGTCTGGTGAAGACAGTCCTGGGGTTAATATCAAGAGCAACTCTGACACACAATCAACCAATCACTGTCTGAACAGGGGCGGTGGTGTAGCCTAGTGGTTAAGCATCAGCTTGTCACGCTGAAGACCTGGGTTCGATTTCCCATATGGGTACAATGTGTGAAGCCCATTTCTGGTGTCCCTTGCCATGATATTGCTGAAATAATGCTAAAAGCGGCGTAAAACCAAAACTCACTGTCTGAGCACCGGTGCATTAGGTTGTTCCATGCAATGGGCAGAGCTTTTACATCGACCTTTTGTTATCCCATTCAGACAGGGTGGTGGGGTAGCCTAGTGGTTCAAGTGTTCGCTTGTCATGCCGAAGACCTGGGTTCGATTCCCCACATGGGTACAATGTGTGAAGCCCATTTCTGGTGTCACACGCTGTGATATTGCCGGAATATTGCTAAAAGAGGCGTAAAGCCATCACTCACTCACTC